CAACACGCGCACGCGTACTCCATTCGTTTGCACTACATGTACACTTTCTGGTTTTACATGACATCACACTTCGGTACTTTATTCAGTTTCAAGTCGGGTTTGCACATCATCACATTAATTTTTAAGTTGCTTTGTAAAAACAGACAAGGATGCATCCAAATTAATCAGTTTGCTACTTCCTATGCGCGTTTACATGTATTTGATGTAACCCCGACCTCAATTAGGTCTGAGGTTACTGAAAATATATTTGACTACATGTACATTTACTATTTCAGTTTTCATTGTGTTCCATTTAGCCTATTTTAATTTTTCCTGCTTCTTTCTTTTAATTTTCTTTTTCTTTTCTTTATAATTATTTGTATAAACATTCTCCATTTTTTATTGTTAGTATAGTACTTAAATTTATACCGATGGCTTATTTTCCTGTTGGTTTGTGTTCTGAGGGGCAATTGACTGCCTCAGCAGAAAATCCCCTGGAACACCATTTATGACCTTGCCATGAGCTTGCTGGCCTGGTTTTCTCTGGGGAGTGCCACGCTGGACCAAACAAATTTGGATGGTCAGAGTGACTGCATGTACATGCATATTGGCCATTTCTCTCCTTGCCACATCACCATTTAACAAGCCAGTGCCGAGCAGGTTAGACTGTGCCTCTCCATCTCCTCTCATGATCTTGTTGGAAGCCGAGATATATATTTAAATCTCGCAATTGGAGAATTTTGCTTTGTTTCATCAATAAATGTTGGCTCTCTGTTATAGGACCAGAATTTGGCAAAGTGCTAGACTGTCCTTCATCAGCCGTCTGCTAGACTGGCCTAGTCCACTCAGTGCTGCAGGAACACCGCTGTGTCCCATGGTCCTACTGTGCTACCAGTAAACAAGAGGAGTACAGCCTGGATGATCAGCCAATGGAGCTGAGGACCGTGAGGGTTTTCTACCATCATCATCGTCTTCCCGAGCCTTGGAGCTTCTGTGAAGAACTTTGATATTAGATTTTGGCGCCTTTTTATTTTTTCTGAGCTCAGTTTGTTTTAATCTTCTACTCACATTACTTAATTTTGCCTTTGATTCTTGCTTGTGTTTATCTTATTGTTTCGTGTGCATATTTGAAGTTTTACCATTTATAATCTTGTGATATTTTCTTTGCCTACTATTAATTAATAAACTAAGTTCTGTGCATGCAAAATCTTTAAATGTAAATCAGTGTATTCTTTCAGAGGGGGTCAATACTCGAAATTGGTTCCTGCTTGATGAAGGTGGACCACGGGTTACATTTATATAAATGCAACTGTTTGTGGTCTTTCAGGTAATTGCTAAGACTGGCCGTACTTTACAGTATGAACACATCGTGGAGGTGGGGCTCCATCCACCAGCAGATGACAAGTCTGGGTCTCCAGAACAACATGGACAAATGGTAATACTCAACCCAGAGAATAAACTTGTAACCCCCAAGTGACTACACCGGCAATAGGCTACGAACATACATGCATATACCTTGACACCTTTTCTAGATAGTATAAATTTTTGTTCACCAATTGTCATCATCTCACTCAAATACTTGATTAAGTTTTAATTAAATCATTAGAAACATCTCGACAGTAAACATTGGCTTTGAATCATGCTCATCTCTTATTGTTTTCCTCTTTAACTGACAAGGAGATCTGTTGCACGTTAGGGTAGCATTACCCTACACGTAACCGTGACAGGAAGATGCTAAGTCGGGTGAAGCAGACCAGCATCAGATGGAAGAGGAGACTGGGAAGGATAATGAGGAGGAACAGGAGATAGAGGCAGGACATATCGGTAGTACTGTGCCAAAGAAAAAGAGGAATAAGTGTGCGAAGCAGCGGTATACACCTGATTCAGACAACGACCAGACGACCCCAGCTCGCCCAGCACAGACGGTGAGCTGTATAAGGCTGACGACTTTGGATGGCATCGGGCACTGCACAAGATTAGAGTCTGCACATTTCAAGGTGCTAGACCAAGTTGGCCAACTTTCTAACTGTTGTCGCCTGGAAAGACTCAAAAGTGATAATGCTGGTCAGCACAGCAAGGCACATCAAGGCCACTGGAATCGCCACTGGAATCGCTAGGTTCATCGTAAGCTTGTAGATGACAGCGGAAGGCGGAGAAAGACGGCTGTTCCTGCCCCATGACTATTATGCCCTTCTCAAAAAAAGGTGGCGAGTGTTTTCTTGCAATGCCGACTTCCTGCCAAAAATGCAGACTTATTCACTTCCCGGAACATTCTGTATGGGAAAACATCTCTTGGTCTGGGTGTAAGCAAGACCAAGGAAGCGAATTCGTTCAAGAAGGCAGAGGCTGTTCCACCTTCATATTGACTTGTTTGACAAGTACCTTAAGAAATAGAAAACGATCTTACAGCAATGCATGTTTGACATGTAACCAAGGTCGAGTTGGCTGCTCACAGACGGAACAAATGGCCGATTCTTACTCAGGCCACCTTGAGTAAGAATTTCAGAAATAAAAAAAATAAAAAAAGACTTTTAAAACCGGCAAATAGAAACACAATGAAGTGCCGAGGTACACTTCATCTCGTCTGCATGCGATAGTGAACGCGCATTGCATACACACCCATAAACATCTCATATTTGGTCCTATTTTGTGGCAATCATTACTAAAATTGCAGTTACCATGGCAGTTACGTAGCAAGTTTAACAAAAAGAAAACAAAGTGAACTAATAAGCTAACATTTGTGGCAGTGAGGACTAGTAGTGAATACAAAGGGCTGTTGTAAAAGATTGGCACACTTTTTCTTACAAGGATTATCATTTCAAATCATAGTTCAGGAACTCTATCAAAACTACCATTCTGTTGCAGCTCTGTGTTGTAGGTATATTATTATTAACACTTGAAGTACATGAGTCATGTCAAACAGTTCAACATGTACAGGTACATTCCCAGGATATCCAGGATTATGTGTCACACTGTCGGATTCTTTTTCTAGGATATCCTGGGGTTTCAGATTTTGTTTTATTGGAGGCAGACTTTGTGTAAAATATTGTAGTGACATAATGAGCACTAAGAAACCAAACAAAATCATTGTTACACATTTGTGATGCGATCAAGCAACATGAGTCGTTTGTCAGGAATTTTCATTTGGAGATTCAGGCCAAAATAGGACCACTTCATCACATCACCTTATCACATTTCTTGGTGTTCCGACTTCCATATTTTTTTAAACTAAAGATGGTATCAGCATGCAGTTTTCACAGCAGTAATGCTGAGATTGTGCTCTTTTCAAATCTGTAATAAAACAAATTTTGACCGGGGTCGACAAACGACTCATTTAGCTTGATCGCATCACATATTTGTTCAAAAGTTTGACACTGCAGCATTTGTAGACAATGTCTGAAATTGACTTTTCGTTTTTTCATTGTAACAATGGGCTTTCAGACTATATTCCAATCTATTTTCGATTTCAATATTTTGATTGCATTATAAAATAGATTCTATGTTTACCCAACTAAAACAATTCTCTTCCTCCAACGATATCACTGAATGTTAATTTTTTTTAATATACCTACAACACACTGTCAACAGGATGAGTTTTAATTTGAGCCCCAAATTGGAATGTTTTCTCAGAGAACAACATTTACACAAACTATTTTATCTTGGGAAGAAAACTATTGGTATTAATTGCCTTTGGCATATTTCTGCAAGGAATTATCACATTTTTTAGGCTTTCCTGATTCTGGTTGCCAAAACTGTTACTCTTCTTTCTCACTTCAAGTGAGGAAGTTTCAGAGCAGAAACAAATAATCCAGAGATGGTTTTAATATTGGGTCTTCATCCTTCGACGGCCCGGCCAGCAAGCCTAGTTTTGAAAGATGTATTGTAATTTGGGCAATTCACAATGCAGTGCGCCACCAAGAGTTTGCCATGGAGAGTTCATTTTTCCCAGTGCATTGTGGGAGATGGTCGACAAATTCGCAGCGCAGGACATTTGAAATTGTTAGTTTTTCCGGCCAAAAAGTTCGTAAGCGTATGATTCGAGTATCTATTTGCCCTTTTTTTTCCGTTTTATTAATACGGAGGTTTTTTTTGTAAGGCGACAGAACGCTTTGCCCCAATCTATAACAAATAAGCTCAAGTTTTCTACTGACACTCGTTCCAATGGGCCATGTTTTGTCAACCGTATACTTGAAAAACAAACTCTCCGTGGCAAACTGTTGGTGGCGCACTGCATTGTGAATCGCCCGAATTGTGTCAACCACATGTCAAAGCACAGGTCATGTCAACACACAGGATGAAAACAACAAAGAAACGCCTTTGTCACTGTTCATTGAACCTAACCCTGCCAGGCATTCCGCTTTCAACACCAAAGCATTAAACAGCCAGTTCCAAAACAATAAGAGCTAATCCCATCGAAAAATGCCACAGTTGTATCCTGCTGCATGCGGTGACCACAGTCTCTGAGGCAGTTTTACCTTGAGCCTTTTGACCTGATAGATCTTGCTACACTGGGTAGTCTTGTCATTTAAACAAGTGTTGCATGTTGCTGCATTCGGCAGGGTTTCTAGCTAAAATACCCAGGAGGGTTCGGGTTAAAAAAACACCGAACTTGACTTGAGTCATCATGACTTGCGACTGTCTTGCGATGACCTGTGTCTAACTTATGGGACTTGTGACTCAATTACAACTGGGCAATTCTCGCATTATGTATCGTCTGTGACAGAGCATTTAAGAGCTCAGTGAATAAACATGAAAGTTTCTTTTTTACATCTCATACATCCAGTAATGGCCTAGCAAATACCAAGACCTTGAGTTTTGATCATTTCTCTGAATTGTTAATTAGTTATCATGGTTTAATCCTGCTATGCCCAGTGCAGTTGGCAAAGAGAATTATCAGACCTTTCAAAACATTTTAAATTTGCCTGACTAAAAGGGTTTTGAAAGGTGAAATAGTGCTGGAACGTTGGGACTTTTCGAAAGCTTTCGGAAGGTGAAACAACTCTGTGGGCAAATTCAGTAAGTTGCATTTCAATACCTTTTGGAAGGAATTGAAAGGTGTGGTAGTGCAGTAACAATAAATTCTGGAGGATTTCAAAAGGTCCAGCATTTTTTTCCCTCCAATTTGCCTGCACCCAGATTTTGGGGTGTTTTGAATGGTCTAACTGGTACAGGACAGTTAATAACTGGCTCTGTCACAGACTGTACACTTCCTTACATAGTGCTGAAATTGCTAACAATCTTTTTCTTGCAAGAAGTCAGACAAAACTGACTACATGGTGTAAGGCAAAAACCCAAATATTAAAAGCTACTTCTCCTAATCCCGGAAAGAAAATTCCACGACACTAGAGATACTTGTCAAGGGTACGAGCCAACCTGATCAGGGAGCAGCACTCCAAACCTTCCTTGAGCCGCATCTTCATGGCGACTGCATCCCCCTGCTTGGGATGCTCCTTCCACCATCTCATCAGCACGGCTGCCGTCTTGTCGCTCGTCGTCCCTTGGCAGTCTTCCAGCGTCTTGATGTCCGACTCCAAGTTGCCGTTCTCGGACATGGGCAGGCGACGAGCGAAGGTCTTCCAGTTGGTCGTGTTGGCGACCAGTTTAGCGACCGTTTCCAAGGCCTGGGCGGGTACATCCCCTTTGAAATTGAACAGAATGCCCCACATTTACAACATTGGCATTAGGACTGAACAGCAACACATCCCAAAGAAAGTCAATCCAATCCTCTGATCAGTAAATGAGCGCCCTCCCAATTACTCCATTTGGAAGTCTTTGATTCTTTGCATCCTTCTATACAATCCATGTGGAGGTAGGTACCAGTACCCCCTTAACGGTTGCAAAAGGGAGAGGGGGGGGGGGAGGGGGGGAAAGGGGTGGGAATAGGGAGTCAGGTTGGCGTAGCGGTACTTTCCTCGCCTTCCACCGCTGTGACCCAGGTTCGAATCCCGCCTGGGCCAATATGTGGATTGGGTTTTCAGTCCCTACCTGATTCTGTGGGTTTTCCCTCTAGAACATTCTGGGGTTTTCCTCCCACCTCTAAAACTGTAATTTCTTCTCATTGTCTCCTCTCTACAGGTTTCTTCAGGCTTGTGAGCTACAGTGCCTGGGGCACTTTTGAGGAATCCTTGGTTTCATTACCAGAAATGATTAACAATTAGGCCTATAATAATAATAATAATAATAATAGGGGCCTCTGGGAGGAACATTTGAACACATTACTGATGACATCTAAGCTCACGTGAAGATACTACATAACCGACATACATATATCCTTGTCATTTGATTGGTGGAGCTCACATCACGTGACTTTCGTTATTACTCCCATTCACGCCAGGTCTAAAAAAGTAGGCTACTATCCGCCCATGGGGAATGAGAAATACTATTGAAGGGGTGGTTTGGAAGAGAGAAATACATTCCCCATCAATTTTGTAGTGAAATAAAAGTTCAAATATCAAATGACAAGGATCTGGACTTTTCCAGTTCACTTGGCTTCGCCTCGTGAAATGGGAAAGTCCAGATTTTACCTTGCGATAAAATTCCTCCCATTTCACTCTGAGCCACTCAATATTTGTATACTATGGCTTCGTGCACATTCAGAATAAAACTATTCATGAGTACTTTTTGCACCGTACACATGCCAAACCAGTATGCGCAAGTGCATCCCATTCAATTGGCTCTTGAAAGTGGTGAAAAAGTAAGGCTATAATTCTGCTTATAAATGGGCAATTCCTAGCACACAGGCATAACAAATCAGACAATTTTACTCTAGGAGCTCAGTTTATAAACATGAAACTTTCAAATCGTACACATCCATCCTCTAGTAATGGTCACAGAGTTTACTCAATGGGCGTTTTGGTCCATTTCTCTGAATCATTTCTCAGAAATCACGATTAAGTGGCTGTGTCACAGACATTACATTTGCATTTGCCCACAAACTTGCAAAGTATGTTTGTGGGTAGGTGCATGTTACATTGCAGGGATGCATTCAAGTCAGCACAAGTCACTCAAAATTCCTCACAGGTCAATCACAACTCATCCTGTCTAGAGTAAAACAGGAAGCAACTATGACAAAGACATTCCTGGCGTCTTGACAAATTATAGAGACCATACCTTCATCACAGCCACTGTCAGTTTGTGAAGCGACGCCGGCCCACTCAAATGCATGCTGCTTCTGGGACTGACTGCCAGAATGATTCTGATACACTGAGAGAGAAAAAAAAATAAGAACAAGTTGGGAAACCTTGTGATGTGATAATGATAGATGTACATTGGAGCGCTGCTATAACGAACATGACGAACATCGCGGGATCCACAGAAAAATGTTCGTAATGGCAATTGATTTCGGGAAAATGATGTTAAGCTGCCAGTGCTCCGGTGCGGTACCGACTTTTCAATAAATAGCGCCCTTCAGAAGTCACCCCTCAGTCTTCAGTGGTTGACTTCCTAAAGCAGCTCTCTGAGCTAAACTGGAAGAGTGACTGACCTCACAGTCGGTGCGGTGCAACAAACTATGGTGCTGTACAAAACTTAGGTACCCTGCATGCCCTGGTAGTAACTGAAAGACGACTTTGAATACATGCCGACTATTGAATAATGTAATTACAGTTTTAGAGCTTACTACCTACATGTGAACAATTGGAAACAGGCTCTTCAAGTTTTGAGATGGAATATACTGATTTCTTCTTCAGTGGCCACATGGCAGCTGAGCACACCAGCACTGTAGAACTTTTCTTTTAATCACAAGACTTAACATGTCTTCACTAGATGGTGGCTAACACAAGACTGAATGCATCTAAGCTAAATCACAGGATGTTGGCCTCTGCCTCACATTCCTGGGCAAACCACACAGGGATCATGAATAAACAGAGCAGGTGATAAAAGGAAGTACGTGTATTGAACTAGTAATAGCAGAAGACCTAATGAATAATAATGAGCTGGGAAAAAAGTCTCTAGTCAGGCCTCCTGCCTGGAGTTGATTACTTTCCCAGAAACTTGGAATGTGTGGCTGTCCCACTCAGGGCCAAAGGACAGATTTTTCTCACAGAAAGATTAAGATGAATAAGCAGAGACACTGAATGCTTTACACACAATAAGCATAGGCCTGTAGCCTAGCCACATGGCCACCTAAATGGCATATAAACAAGTAGTGCAAAGATCGAAGTTTCAGGACATAGATTGCCTCAACCAAATTGGTCTTCTACTTAGTAAATCTGTAGGTCTAATAATCTTGAAATACATAACTATCATTCATCATTTTCCAAATGCAATAGACATCCTTAGTCCATACGATCATTACATTTAGATGCAACCGGTTCAAGAGATATTCAAAGGCCAAAATGATAAAAGAAAACAACTTGATTTTAATACATTAGTGTTACAGCCAAATTAATTTTTTAAAAAGGCCCAAGTACCATTGTAATTAATTCATCAGTCACATACAGCAATGGGTGGCTTTCCCCTTCTATTCCTTGGGAAATAATATACAAATATTGAATGCTTCGAATGGTGAAGTAATTATTAGCCTCCCGAGGTGATCGCCGAGGGAAAATAGAATGCTCCATGGATCACCGAGGGAGGCTAGTTTTACTTCACCACGAGATAAAGCATTCAATATTTGTTTTATAACACTTCTCCCACAGATTCTGCTTGGTTTTAATATTCTAAATTATTTAAATCTGAACACAGTTGAAATAAATTTCAATTTCAATACAAAATTGGTGGAAAATGTACTTCTCTCTTCCAAACTACCCCTTCACGAAATGTTTGAACCCAACTCTGCAGCGCGCTCTCTTTGGAACAAAACGCGCTACGCGCACATCAACATGCATTCGCACACAAATACCGCGCTGTGGATATAATACTTTGGTTGCTAATGGTATAGTACTTTGATTGCTACGGGTATAGTACTTTTGGCCATGCACAGAAAGATAGCAAAATAAGAAAGTAACATGTGACTCGCTCTCGGCCAATCAAGACACAGAATCTGTGGGTGAGGTGTTATAATAGCCACTTGTCACTCTTCTGTTGACATTTTTCAACAACAATAATCGGTACATTTTGTAAACAAAAATTGGGAGCCAAGGATGATGTTCGGTATAGCTGAATGTTTCTGTGTGTGTATGTTTCTCTTTTTGTTGCTAAGATTGGATGAATGTTATGCAACTTACGGTTGAAGGTACAGTTGCTTGGAGAGTCAAAGATGTAGTTGCCTGTGCCGCGTACTTTGTACTCCTTGGGCATGGATAAAACATTCTGATTGTATTGCACATCTACAAAAGCAGGAAAACAAATTGAAAAAAGTTTAACTCAAGAAGGACAAGGATTTGGTTACATGTACCTGTGGGTTGGGAAATTGGCTGTTATAAACTCAAAAAAATGTCATTTTTATGCTAAAAATTGTTTACTTAACAATTGTTGACTGCTGTGATGTGCGACATGATGTTCTTAACACCTGCAGCAGTCAACAACTGTTTTGTTTGTAGCGTTTTCAGATTATCAATTCTTAATTATCAATTCGTCTTAATTTTTAGTTAATTATCACACTTTAATTATCAATGTTCCTTTTGAACTTTTTAATGATTAATTCTCCTGAATGCATTACTCATCGTTTTCCTTGTACATGTATACACATACACTCACACAGTGCCTATGCAATGTGTAGTAATATACTTTTAAGTTTTATACAGAGCAAATGACCTTCACTGCTCACACACAAGTCATTGGTCAGTTTCTTAGTACAACCAAAGAATTGTGTATTGACTCATCCATTCCCCAACATGTTATATTGTGCCAATAACTCAAAAAGATAAATGGTTGTAAATACTGTGTGAGAAATAAACTAAATCACTGCCATGTATTAAACCTTCAGGTTTTGATGCCCTATTGGACATGAGACTGAGCGTTTGACGTTGCAGTTCTCATTGCGCAAAGCTATAGCACGCCGGCAGTTTCCACACGTGTATGCAATGTGCGCAATGAATGCAATGCGATATCACCCTGTCCCTCAGTGTGAGACATGCATTTACATACTGTTCAGACACGTGGCCGTCCTAGACCAATTAAATTACAGTATCCAAGCACACAATATAACAAGACCTTAATGCTGCCACCATGTCAGTCCTGTTCCCTGTATCAGAAAAAAACAGTACCGAATGATGCTTTTTCTGCAAAAAGGAACCAGACTATTTTTCCTTCCAGCCTCGCTTTGGTTACGTTGATTTAAATGGGAAAAATCAAGATGGCCGCAAAATGATAATGGTCTAAACATGGTATACTTGACATTCTCCTGAGGACAGACAGTGTAAACAATGTGATAATTTCACCCCCAAACAAGTAATTTCACAAAGACACTTTTATGTACACCATTCTGGTGCACTTACCTGATTGGACTGTTGGAGATACTCTCTGCTTCTTCATCACGCTTTCTACATCTACACCTCTCTCTTCTGCAAGAGACGCCTTCCTCTTGGCAACCTCTTGCGGACTGGACTCTGGAGATGGCTTACTGTTGGGCTGAAGGTGACCCTGTGCAGTCGTTGCACCAGTATGGCTTATTGCACGAGACGACACGGCGTCGTTATTTCTGAAGGCCTCACCGATTGCAGATTGTAGACGGTTACTCCTGGGCCCTGAAGACTCAGTTACTGTTGCGTCCAATCTTGGAGACTTCGGCAGTCCACCCTCTGGATTGGCATAATACTGGCTGCTTGGGTGCTGCCGTGAATACTCTGCATTTACTCCAGGCAAGTTTAACGTTGGCAGGACTTGGCCCTGGTCGGTTTCGTCAACTCCTCTGCTTGATGCGTCGTCACGGCTACCGTCGCCGTGGGGAGGTACTGAACAGTCGGCCAGACTTGTCATTTCACAAGTATTACGGTCATATCTGTCGGCCGGGGTAGGTTCTGTCATTAGATGGTGGCAGCCACTGTCCAAATGGTCATGATTCTGGCTCTTCACAGATTCCCCAGTTTGAAACGATTCCAAAGTGAAGGCATCATTGCACTGGTCAACAGCTCCAGGAGTATGCGACCATTCGCGTCCATTTAAGTCTCTCTCATCATAAGATTCATTCTCACGCGATGCACCATTTGCTAGTCTGCAATCCAGTGGCTCTCCAGCTGCTGGGTATGGCAATGCTGACCACGGACCCTTCTGCGCAGTCCCATCCCGAAAGATTTCCTCCGGAGCGTGCTTCCCTGTCTTAAAACCCTCATCTCCACTGCCTCCGAGACCCATCGCTGGGCGGAGACCCTTGGGCAAGCTGCAACAGTCTGCTTCATCCATTGTTCCTTAGAAGAATCTGTTGAAGACTGAAATATCTTCTTTGCACAGAGCCCTGGGATGTTTGAATCCCGCAGTACATGTACCGGTAGCTGTTCACTGAAGTAACACCGAAGTCATGGTGATATTAGTTAATCATAAGTGGTGACACTATGAACTCCTGAAGTCAGGGATGGCCTTTTTTAGGAGAGCTTCACTGGATTGCCTTGAAGTCACATGACGAGTAGAGGACTAGGGACTGGTCCGCAGGACAACACGAAAAATCTGGATGAACACTGATGGCAAGATCTAGAAAGGGAATCAAACGTGATGCAAGTACAATTTAGAATTGATTACCTAACTAGTACCGTAATTTCAATGATTTCCTGGAGTGATTATCAGGTGGCTAGTTATTCTGCAATTGCTCCTTTAATCCTAACCTCCCTAACTCCATTAAATTCCATCCCCCCATTTTGGTGGATTTTGGCGGACTTGGTCCAGCAGTTCCAGGCGTGGTTTGAATGAATGTTGATGATGGACTTAGGCCTGGAATGGAGGCCTGACGCAGTGCTAGGGGAGCACGATTAATTTTGCCTAGCATCCTCTACTGCTGTTGTCATATATAGCCATGTGTACTAAGTCCATCAACATCCACCAGGAATTGGTAGCAGACTAATACATGTAAGTGATAGATTTTGGAGGACTTGGTCCTGTACTTAATAGTCAAAGACAGTAAGGAGGTAGTGTTAACTCTTAACTTATACATGTATACTTTCATATAATCCAAAACTTGCACTGTTCTTTCACTACAGTCTTTGATGTGCACAAATTGAGGTTCTCACAATTTCAGACACCTCATTGACACACACACAAATTGAAGGGGCCTACAAACATACATAAGTTATACACAAAATATAAACTGCTTTTAATTTCATAACAAACTTCAATTAAAGTAATAACATGACATTATTTCAGAAATCAAGCAGTCCCGCACATATTGCATCGTGGTAGCTTGGAAAACCAAGCTCAGTCGAAGGCCTTATGTCATAATTTAGGATTGGGTACAGATTAAAGTATTTGCTCATGACATGGTACTTGTAGATTTGCCATAAATGGCAAATCTACCATGTCATAAGCCTTGGCTTAGATAAAAACTGGATTTTCTAACAGTCGATTTCCTATTTTCTAGTTCCGGATACCAAACATTACTCAGTCTGCTTAAATCTGGCTCAACTGATCCACGAATTCAAGTGACATTTTATATTATATTTTACCTTGAGTGATGGAGCTTAATTTACCAATTTAAGCTCTTTAATTTAAAATATGTGACGTCAAAAAGTACCGATGCCACTTTCCTAGTTCAGGATCGGTTTACTCAGATCCAGACTAACCGTTTCACATGAAAAAAAAAATCACACGAGAAAATCAATTTTTCAGCCAGATTCACCTCGAATCCAGCAAATTTTCTGATATTTCATTTAATTTTTTTTCAGAGAGTCACCATAAATGTTTTTGAAACGTTCGTCTACAGAGCGACAGCACAAACACGCACAGGCCAATATGAAACCTTTGCTTCACCCAACACAGAACACATCACATAAATTTAATATAAAGCCCGGGTGGTTGGGTCCTACGTACCACACAATCTGAAATTAGGCAAAAAGATACATTCATTGATGGCAAATTTTAAAATACATTAGAGAATCTACTACTGTATTAGAGAATCTACTACTTATTTTGATTCAACAAACATTCTATGCAAGAAATTATACGACTGTACAGTAGGCTTACCAACAAAATTATCATTGATTCGCAGCTCCTGTGACTTTCTACATACCATCTGAAACATTTCGGGGTCCAAGTTGGAAATCTAGCCAAAATTTCTTTTCTAAATTTTGTTGAAAAGATCTTTGTTCATCAAGAAGCTTTCCTTTTTTTAGAGTTGGCCCACTAAACTGGGGCGCTAGAACTTCTTTTATTGAATTTGACCCAATCCAAAGTTTCGAGCAAAAAAGAGGTTCCAGCACCCCAGTTTGGGTCCATTATTTTTGAGACCAATCCAAAAAAAGGCAGGTTTTAATTTGAAGTGATCCGGACCTAGGATTAGCATATCACCCGTTATCTACAGAGCCCAGACTCTGTGCAACGTCTGATAATATCTAAGCATGCAGATTTATGCGATCCCGCGCCTCAGCCAATCGGAGTCGACTTTTACTAAATCGTTACATCATTTCATTCCCAAATCAAGATTAAATCGCGTAACATAATAATATAAACAGAGCGCATGATCACAGCCTTTGTTGCTATGTTAAGGTTTTTTTATCCATGTCTACATCACGCGTACCCCGAGAACTATAGGTCTTGTTACACAATACACAAGACCTATAGTTCTACTAGGCCGAGTAGTTGGGGTATACCACGCGACAACTGGCACATGACGGGTGAATGACTGAAGACCTGATATTATTGATAGAAAGTGCCCGCTGGAAATCTGGAGGTCATGCAAGGGGCGGTTGTCTTGCATAATTAATCAGCGAATCGGCTGAAATATAGATAAGCAGTAGTCCAAGTAAACTTAGACCCAACTTACCGCCTTTTTAACATTCGGACACGGTATGGCGATCGCCAAACCATGTCCGAATGTTAAAAACTAAAAAAGACGATAAGTTGGGTCCAAGTTACTCGGACTAGATAATCAGGGGATTAAGAAAAATCCAGAACTAATTAGGAAAACAAATGTAGAGTATGGGACTGGGCGAATTTGCAAATACACACAAAATAAAGTTTCATTTATTTAGATCATGTACACCGCTCCGCGGAGCATCATAGTTCTATGAGTAGACCATGTGCATGTACACTGCAGTATGAAAACCATGATAATGCATGGATGTTATTGTGAGACTACTCAAGCGTGCATCCAACCACAGACAGAACCTTTTCAACACGTGCATGTTAACACTACAGGCAGGACGCGCTGCTGGATAGCGCAGAGCATGCACAGCTAGCTTTGTTGACATGCTGAGACTAGTCAGAAACTATTTTTACATCAACAGGTTAAAAGAAAACAACCACAAATACGACCAAATTTTTCAACCAAACTCACAGAAAGTTTGATTATTCAGCTTCCATTGTAAACAGGTCGAGCAATTGATTCGCAAACAAGCACAACACTGTTCACAAAATTCAAGCCAGCGTGCCAAAAGATCGTCCACCTCAAAAGGACGCTGTTTCCCCAGCTAGCTAGATGCCCTGGGAAATGGTGTGGAATGCAAACACGCGCGAAAGAGAAAAGACTGGTTCCCGCCCAGAATACAATGCAATTTGAAAGGATAACCAAAGATCCGGGAACCAGTCTATAGGACGTAGAGAGAAAAGAACGGGAAGTCCCATTGGAGTCTTGAGCTGGAAGACTATTAAGACGAGTAAATACACTTAAGTAGAGGGTACCAGTCTATATTGAAAAAATAAATCCCACACAAAAATTAGTCAACAGCTACAGCAGATAGATGGCGCACTTCTACTTTTGTGGAGTAGCCATATGATCGTCATTTCGTTCGCAGTCGGATGGTTTGTTTGCATTTTGCCTGCACAAATAAACACAATGTCAGAATTGTCTGGCAGGTAAAGAAACTTGAGTGACATCGCACAGGAATTTCCTCGTATCGAACTGGAGCTTGATGCCTAGCCTGCAAACTCCAGCAATACCTGAGAGTGTAAGTGTAGTCGACAGTCCCACGTACATGACGTACAGCGCAGCAAAACGGAGGCCACAAGTGGGACGTCACGGGGTGTAGCGGAGGGTGGGGCATGGGGGGGGGGGGGTGGGCGGTGGGGGGGGGGGGTGCTAGAGCTACCAACAGCTCAATTTTTGAGGGATTATTCTATTTCTAGTCAAAATTTTAACCCCCAAAATTTGGTTCATGAAATTAATTGTTTCACTGTATTGCGCCATCTTGCCCGTGGGGTAGCTTGACTGTAACTCCAGCTCTAAATTGCCTTAATGCGATAGGCATTAGAGCTACCCGTGGGGCAATTTTACACGCATTGCTATGTACGCATCGTCATTGGAAAGCTTTGGCGCTTCCAAGTCATCATGTGTTCATTCCACTTTCCAATTCCAGGTGCCAGGACACAGTCGCAGTGTCCCTTTAAGTTTAAAAAGAGATTTCAGCTTAAATATCAAATGATCTCAACATCGGCAGCAAGCGCTGGTGGTCGATCGAGCGGGTAAGACTAGTGTGTGTTGATTTTGACAGTTTGAGAGTGCTCTTGGCATGCATGGTTCGATTCCCATGGATGATCATTAAGTAAATAACTGATTAAAAAGAGGGAAGAACCCATATTTAGGCTGAAAAAAAAACAACATTTCTACTTCCAAATTACATGGCATTTGAAAATAGGGTAGGTAGGTAGGAATTGGGTTTTTTGGGCTAATTTTTTTGGTATACAATCATATGGAGGTGTCTGCGAGTTACTCCTAGAACTATGAGGCTCCACGTAGTGGAGCCTCATAGGTTCAGAACCCCGCAAAATTGTTGTCAGCACAAAACACTAATTAAGTACAAAAACGTCCATCCCAACGAAGCCGTTTCCCACAGAACCGCTGCACAGTTTGCCCCTAAACTCCGTACAATACCTCATGACATACTCACGCTATGTGCACTCAACAAACATCGGTGGATTCTGTCGGTTTTTTGCAAAAATGATGGAAAATATGCCCTTTCCGCACTGAGCCAACCTAACACTTGAAATTTGCACGCGCGCAGAACGATCGCAGTCATTTTCGGTTCGATTGCTCGGAGCGCGCCGCGGGGGGTATGGTGTAGGAGCGGAACGATAGTATGCGCATGCGTACAAGTGCGAGTACGTACCCCCCGCGGCGCGCTCCGAGCATCGAACCCGAAAATGACTGCGATCATTCTGCGCGCGTGCAAATTTCAAGTGTCAGGTTGGCCTAGTGCGGAAAAGGCATATTTTTCATCATTTTGCCGAAAAACCGACAGAATCCACCGATGTTTGTTGGGTGCACATAACGTGAGTATGTCATGAGGTATTGTACGGAGTTTAGGGGCAAACTGTGCAGCGGTTCTGTGGGAAACAGCTTGGTTGGGATGGACGTTTTTGTACTTAATTAGTGTTTTGTGCCGACAACAATTTTGCGGGGTTCTGAACCTATGAGGCTCCACTACGTGGAGCCTCATAGTTCTAGGAGTATCTGCGAGTAGTAAAGGGTAAAAGGAAGTAATTGATGGTTTTTGTTTTTTCCCCTCATATTCCCTCCAAAAAATTAGGGTAGTGGCTGTCTAAATAGGGTAGGTACCGGTACCTATGGTAACTGGAAGCAGAACTATTGTGGGTTTTTTTTTGCCCTTAAAGGGAAAATACAACATTTGCAAACATCAAAAAATAAAACTACCAAATCATTTTGAAATACCTTGCTGGACTGTTAGTGAATGACAGTGTAAAGCATCCTGTAAAATCATGGCACCTGGTATACTGTCATTTTCAAGAAAAGTGGTAATTTTGTATCAATTTCCAACGCTGATCGGCCGATCAGCGTTGGGAAAAACTGGCTTTTTTCAAATACTGGCCCCAGTTGACCATCGCGCTTGTTTGCAGTACACACCTATGAACGGGTTCAAGCCAGCTAGACTGGTTCCCTGACCTTACAATTCCCCAATATATGTAAACTGCTCTGTTTCTTCTTAAATGGAGTCAGGGAACCAGACTACAGGGAAATGATTGTTTTTCTTGGTTTTTATAGCATTTTCGAACCCAAAACCTCAAAAAAGTCAGTGTAACTATATTTGCTATATATATTTCCAACCCCCCAATTCCATCCATTTCTGAAAATTACAGCAAAATCAAATGATGTATATTCCCTTTAAAGGGAATGTACATCATTGGTTTTTTGCTGTAATTTTCAGAAATGAACTATTTGAGGGGTTAGTATAATAGATCAAATATGTTTGAAGTTTGCGTTCGAAAATGCTGGAAAAACCAAGAAAAACAAAAATGTTCAAGTAGTCTGGTTCCCTGACTCCACTTAAGATGAAATGGATCAAAAATGCCGGAAAATTGTGAGGCAATAGGGAACCAGTCTAGCTGGCCTGCACCTGTTCATGAACATGTAACCAGTAGCAAACAAAATTTGGACTGGAAAAAAAATGGTAAACTTGAAGCAGTAGTTGAAAATAGTTAGGTTTTTCCAACGGTGGTCAGCTGACCACCGTTGGAAATGTATACAAAAGCACCATATTTCTTGAAAATGACTTCACAGGATGCTTTAGACTGTCATTTTACCAACATCCTAGTAAGGTATTTCATAACAACTTGGTAGTTTTATTTTTCGATGTTTGCAAATGTTGTATTTTCCCTTTAACTGAATGAATTTGAAGTTTGTCAACCAAGAAGTTTGGCAACACTGCATGAGGAAAGTTGGAGAAACGTTGAAGTGCGCCATGTTGGGGAACACCGCTACATTTGTAATAAGGCCAAATTGTGTCGGAGTCGGAAATTCAAATATTTTAAAGTGGACAATTAATTTTTTATTTGACAGACAATATTCAAGTGATGTTTCAAGGCTCCAAATCGGCACAGTATTATTCCTACATGTAGAATGAGAGAAACCAATTTCTAGCCTAGTGTGCAGTAGGCACCCTGCGTTCCTCAGACATGACGGAGAAGCTTTTCAAGGTTATTCTGGTTGGTGATTCGCTGGTAGGCAAGACTGCCTTTGTGCAGCGATACGTGCACAGCAGATTTGATGAGAATTACAAGGTGACTGTTGGAGGTGAGTTGACCTTGTTTATGAGCTAATTTAAAGCTATATAGTCCATCATTTGCAGCCATCCGAAAAGTAACTGGCGTAATTATTGTTGAAAAACAAACTTGGTTGAAAGATAGTAAGGGAACTAAACTCCCTGTGAAATTATTCTTTCTGGGAAGCTGTCATTTTGAAGTTATCAACGAAAGAAGGCATTTCCAACGGTGATTCTTAAGAAGCACCGTAGGAAAATTTAAATTAGTAACTAGTTCGTTTTGTTATTCAGCGCAGCGCGCACAAGTATTGTAATGACGCACATGCGCGCGCGGTTGTTATAATTCGTCGGATCAGTGCGCGACGTCGCGTATAGCTGCAATTCAAAACAATTCAAAACATGATTCAGTAATTTTGATTTGAAGTTGAGATCTTAGAATGCTGTTTTTCTTGGAATGTACAGCTGAAGCTTAGCTGATACTTCATCAGGTTAGTTGTTCAGTATCCTTCATTAGATTTTGAACTCTTTTGTTGCTTCAAACGAACAAAATGCACAAATTACAAATGATGGACTGTAGCTTTAAAAGTAGACCTGTAAATGTGGCGAATTTACTGGACTACCTCCGTAAATAAAGGCCACACACTTGGAAAATGTACCTGAAAATGTCGAACTTTGTCAAGTTTTGATTTTCATATTTAGACCGCTTGTAGTTTGTTTACGCTTTAGAAGCATACTCGCCCTCTAATAAAGCGATAGAAAAGTACTCCCTCCTTTCTCAGACGTCTATTTTTCGTGTAAATTCCAGGTTCGTTTCCATACGTTTGCGTATCTAAATTCTAACACAATGCAATAATAAAGTGCATAAAAAATAGACGTCTGATAAATGCGGGATTTCTTTTCTATTGCTAAGAGGTGAGTATGCTTCTAAAGCGTTAATAAACTACAAATAAGTTTTAATGTGAAAATCCAAACTTGACAAAGTTCTACATTTTCGGATGCATGTTCCAAGTGTGGCCCTTATTTACAGAGGTAGTCAAGTAAATTGGCCACATTTATGGGGCCAATTTAAAAGAAACTGAATTTTATCATGAAATCAGTTTTAAAAATTGTTGGAATCGTTTGGACTTTGGGGTCAAGCACCATATTCCCAATAACACTGGTTGACAGTGTGACAAATAACTACTTCAATACTTGACCAATATGCTTACTAGATTTTTTATGGTTTTTCTTTTGTTTGCCAGTTGATTTTGCATTGAAGAAGATCCAAAGATCAGAGGATGAGCTGATCCGAATTCAGCTCTGGGATATTGCAGGTAAGCTGCAAACAATCCTCTTCCAAAAAGTAGCACCATAAATGTGTCTCATGTACTGGACTTTCTCTGTGTTGTGAGCTCTGCATCAATGCATGCTAACTTTCTTTGAAAGCTGAGCTTCCTGAATTTGAAATCTATACTGATTATTGACATGGTAGTCTGACTATCACCCATTGTCCAACAGAGTCCTCCCCGTATCCAACGTCTGATATAACTAATCATGCAAATTTTATGCGGGCCTGTGCGCCAGCCGATTGGATGTGACGTTGTTTGGATCACAAAGCGGACTAAGCTGTTGATTGATCAATTTGGGCTGAAATGTTTTTGTAATACAACAACTGGTTACAGAGGACCCGTATACAAGGCGCTTGCTGAATGGTCAGAATCTCGAGGTCAAGAGGCAGTCTTGTTTTGCATAATTAATCGCAATATCTACTCAGATATCATAGACGCTTGTATACAAGTGGATATTCCATAGACTACTTACCTGGGGCCAATTTCACGGCGCTGCTAAGCACAAAATTGTGCTTAGAACAAAAAAGGCTGGCTTATAAAAGCAGGTTACCAGCCAAAACTCCACGGAATGTATGTTGCTTGTGATTAGTAATTCAGCTGTTGTTTGCTTAGCATAAAAAACAAATGGGGTTTTGGCTGGTAACCTGCTTTTATAAGCCAGACATTTTTTGTGCTAAGCAAATTTTTGTGCTTAGCAGCGCCGTGAAATTGGGCCCTGGTTCATAATCAGGAAAAATCAAGAGGTCAAATGTGCCTGACCCATGACCTTGAGAAAAATACTGCAGTCATTGTTTGACAAACTCTCTCCAAATTTCGCCTGAAAATTACATGATAACTAAAAGTCTAAAGGTATCAGAATTCAGTTTTTCCTGGTTGTTAACCACATAAGTAGCTTCCATAGCGCATATCAATTGGAAACAAATCTAGATTTCAAATTCAGGAAACAACTTTTCAGGAAATGTGCTGACAATATGTAGGAAGTCCGGTAGTTGAGACACATTCATGGGGTTTATCATGTATTAGTATTAAGGGTTGGGGAAGTGAAGGTTAAATAGAGATATACAGTGTATACATCATAAAAAATATATAAAATGTATTAAACTAATGTAAGACTTAAAGGTTTGCATGGTGGACATGAACAATGAATGGGAGGTTTGCGGTAACACCATGTGAATGAAAGATATCCCTAGTGAGTTGTGTGGTTCTGAGAAGAACCAGTGGTTTAACTCGACGTTTCAAACAGTATGCTTTGTTCATCATCAGGAGACGCCTGATGATGAGCAGAAGTTAGGAACGTGGAGTTAAACCACACAACTCACTTACAGATATCTTTCATTCACATGGTGTTACCGCAAACCTCCCATTCATAGACTAACCCTTACCCTACTTGACCCTCCAACGCATGCCAATATGTGCCTCAAGAAAATCTCCTATGTTTTTTGCATGGCCCTCCAATATCTGCCATGTCATTTCAAGGGTAACTGGACAGGCACTCCAATACATGCCACAGAGAACAATGAGAGTCCTCTGATAACAAAGTGAGTGCCCCCAGCTGGTCAGTATCAGGCACCCTCCAGGGCCTCCAACTCCTGCCAATTGGAGCCTTCACTGTCAAGATAGTTTATCTGCCAATATACTGCAGCTGGAGGGCATTGGCATAACCAACTGACATGCAGTAAACTACCCTCAGAGAGTAAGGGTTAATGTACAGTTTTGTAGAAATTAAAACATCTTCAGAGCTGCTATCGGTACTCTTAGTATTTGTCTGTTATCGTCCTAACTTTTTTATCCTCTTTATAATTTGTTTGACACACTCTCTTTAAAATCTAATCCAAGCAACCAGCTTCTCTTGTTAGATAATCCTGCAGTACAGGCATGATGTTTTGGGATTCAGTATAGACCCTTTGCAGGGCAGCCATATTGAAGGTGCACTGAATTTTTTTCACAAGGATATGCACGAGTAGACGCTCTGTGCATTCATTGTCTGAATTAAATTTTTAAAAATACAACAAAATAGCTACTGTATGCAAAGGATCTTTAGAAACATGCAAATTGGTTTTTGTTTTTGTTGTTTTCTTGCCTTGTAAATTGCTTATTAATTTTCAAACATACATTCTGTGCCAAGTAGTCCTTTCAGTCAAAATCAATCAAGTGACTGTTTTCAACAGTTAGGAATTTCCAGCCTGCGTAAAGCAGGATTGACTGGCTGTGACAGTTTAAGGAACTTGTTACAGCTATGCTTTGACTGTGGGTGATTGATAAGCCAGCTGTGCCCACAACTTGCCTTCTTTATCTGTTCATGGTCCGTTGACCTAGTTTGACTAGTCACAGTGCTTGTTGGACATATGATCTGACTGCTAGTGACTAGCCTGTGTTAAAGGGAAGATACAACCATCAAAAATAAAACTACCGAATTATTTTGAAATACCTTGCTGGACTGTTAGTGAATGACAGTCTAAAGCATCCTGTAAAATCATGGCACCTGGTATACTGTCATTTTCAAGAAAAGTTTGTATCAATTTCCAACGCTGGTCGGCTGACCAACGTTGGAAAAAAACTGGCTTTTTTCAAATACTGGCGCCAATTGACCATTTTTAGTTAGTCCGCATTTGTTTGTAATCGATTACACACCTATGAACGGGTACAAGCCAGCTAGACTGGTTCCCTGACCTTAATATTCCCCAATATCTATAAATTGCTCTGTTTCATCTTAAATGGAGCCAGGGAACCAGACTACAAGAAAATGATTGCTGTTCCTGGTTTTTATAGCATCTACGAACCCAAAACGTCAAAAAAGTAGGTGTAACGACATTTGCTATATTACCGACCCCCAAATCCATCCATTTCTGAAAATTACAGCAAAAGCAAATGATGTATATTCCCTTTAAAAGTATACATTGTACATGATGTAGTCGGGGAAGTGGATGAAATTCATGGGAATTTTTCTCTGACTGTTTAAATCGTAGCACAAGGGTTAGTACTGCACACTTGTTCTGATATATATAAAGACACTACTATCAAAAGTGGTATCTACATCATAATGGCATAAGGGCAATTCCACGGTTACTCACGTTACATTTTTGATGTACTTTTGAGTTTCCTTGGGCCGTACCGGGTAATTACCTTACTGAAAAGGTTTAATAACTGTTATCCCCATGGTAGATAGAGTAGACCTACCAGTAGACCTACCTAAGCACCAAAGATGGCATCCAGAAAAATGTGTTATGTATGATAAACAAGACACACATTACGGTTACTCACGTTACATTTTTGGACATGCATAAAAAGCCAACATGCTTTGAGCAAAAAGTGTCCTCATACAGGCAACCTGTGGAAATGTCTTTTAAATGGATAAAAGACCATGCCATGGGGCACACATAATAAGAGTAAAACAATCCTCTAGAATCTTCCATTTTTTTGCAATCCACAAAAAACATGGTTACTCACGTTACGGTTACTCACGTTACATTTTTGGTTACTCACATTACAAAAGTTACTCACATTACCAAATTTAGTTGCCTTTTATTCTTAAATGTGTTTATTAGTGTCAACAAAACACTTATATTTATATCTATGTTCATGCAAAGAATGATAATCCTAAATACCAAAATTTAGTTCATTAGAAATGTTGGTGAGAAAACTTTTATATCTTTTCGGTTACTCACATAACATTGACCAAAAAAAGTATAAAATGCTACTATTTGACATCTAAAAATGGATGACGGCTGTGAATTGACATATGTTTCAGAGATTAAGACTATCATACATGCTAGAAATAAGATTATGATTGAAATATCTCAAATTGCATTAATAGCAATCAATATTTAAACTTTACCAAATTGTAGTAAAAAAATATTGTTGACTTTACGACACGATTTTTCAAAAAATGTTTTCAGATAAAATTGGGTTTTCTTTGTTAATTTCTCATACCTAAATGTATCATCTGTAATAAAAATGTGCAACTTGGTTAAAAAATCAAATTTTTGTTTTCTTAGCCATGTCCATCAAACCATGGAATTGCCCATAATAGTTTTAACCGCAATGCAAATCGATGATATTCTGACAAGAATGTTTTGTTGAACATGCATGTAGGAGGCTGCAGTGCACTATTCTCGGATGGATATAACGGTAATCACTGCCTAGTACACGTATGTCGGTTGTAGTTGCATGAATAACTCTCCAGTGCAAATCAGTAACCATGTTAACCATAACAATGGGCATGCTGCACCCCTATTCAAATCAGCAATAATGAATTAAACCAGACAGCCATATATATTCTTTTCTTGCTCAATGTACTGTAGACAGAGTAGGCCCTACTCACCCTAAAACGAACACTGCTTCTCACACTTCACCAAAACTCTCCAAGTTGGATCAATGTTTCATTGTTTGGTTTTTTTTGACACACACAAGCTCATTGGACTTTAACCAACAGGAAAAAACCAGGTTCAAAATTAACCCTTTTCAGTCAGGAATTGAAAATCATCCATGGTTGAACAACTCTAAATGATAGTTTTGTGTATTTCAAATGATGCATGCAAAGGCTCTACATATTTGTGTTTAACATGTAGCTGTTCCAAATTAAAAAATGAATCATTTTTTTTTGAGTTCATGTTTTACGGCACGTCAAAACATTCGGCTTGTAACTGGAAGCATCTTTCGATTATTGAGAAGCTGAATTTGTGGATTTTACTAAATACCAAAATTCCACTTGTCCCAAGTCTTTTGCAAAACTTTTATGAGTGAGCGTTAATGGTCCCAATGTCGCAAAAAAATACCATTATTGTAATTTATAGTTTTTTATTTAACAATTTTTCGCACAGTTGTTTATTCAGTTGTATCATAAACATAAGGCCAAAAAAAGTAATTCTGCTTCCGGTTTCCCTACCTACCCTATTCTGACAGCCCCTACCCAATTTTTTTTTTTATGGGAAATATGGGAAAAAAACACCCACAACCATCAATTTCTATCTATTACCCTTGACTACATGCAGACGCCTCCATATGATCGTACACGAAAAAAAATTGGCAAAAAAAAAAATTCCCTACCTACCTACCCTATTTTCAAATGCCATGTAATCAGAGGCAGAAGTTTTGTAAATAATAAAAAAGGTGTTCATTATCCCTTCAGCATTTGTTCAACTAGTAGTAACCATAGAGCTATATTAAATTACTAGAGCATAACTCGATGTACAAAGTAATGCCTGATGGGCGCATCCATGTTTGTGCACAAACCTATGGAAAACTCGAAATTTTGTACCGCTTTTGTACGACTATTTGCATATCTGCATTTGTATTCCATACCGGTGCGTCATCGAAACCGATACGCCCAAAACCGAAATGCACGATCAGCAAATGAGCATTTCATTTTGCTCTACGCAAACAGCGCAACGTGTGCGCGTCCCTAGCTCCGCGCCTCCCTGCAGATGCTTTTCGCCGTGACGTTAGTGAACCGTCATGACGCGCTTAAGTTGTTTGCGTATCTTCTACTTGCGCGTTGCATTTAGTGTACACTTTTAAAATTCAATCCATCTGTTTTGATTTTGTTCTACAAACACGCGCATAAATTAAAATGTCTGCGCCCAGAGCGGCTTCAAAGTGTCTCCACGCACAAGAATGAGGAGTAAGCGCTCTAGTAATTTAATATAGCTCTATGGTAGTAACCCATTTGTGTAAATGTAACAAGTGTTTGATGTGGTACGTGTATTCATAAAGACTAAATACATATTTTATGTTATTATCACTTTGCAACATTAAATAATTATGTACTATTTTCAAACAGTTATATTGTGATCATGTGGTAGAAGCATGCTGTATGTATGCTGTTCCCCCAATAACATGAAAGGAATAACATGCAAAATCATCCTTTATCGTTGTCCTTTCAGTTATTTCCTTATCTCCTTTTGTAGAAAGACATTTAAAATAATGATATTTTTCATATCTACATTGTTATCAGCATTAAATTATTTTATGCACATGTACCTTGAGCCCTGATAGGTGTGTGTTGGTAAATTGCAGACAGTGTTTTGTATTGTAAAAAGTTCAAGTATATATAAAAAAAAATGATTGCAATAATTTTAGTGCAATGCTGGAAACAATTGTACATATTTTAATCTTGTGCTCTTGCAATTTTAAAAATGTATGTTCCCTTAGAAAAAACTCTATTTGCCTACAAGTTAAAAAATTTAAATGCACACCCTAATGCACGCAGTTGTGTTTTACATAACACGCGGGGACAAGGCATTGTCTTTCCCTTAGTCCCTATAAAATAACTCTCTCCCATGAGCACACAAACATCTTAACAATAAAACTTTAACACAGGTCACTGCATGCACGCATTAACATTAATTTACACACATTAACCCCTTAAGGACGGAGAGCGGTCATGGCCGCGGCCGCTAATCCTCATTGGAATGCAGTTGCCAGCTGTGGTATGCCGTGGCACACCGTGGCACACCGTGGCACACCGTGGCACACCGTGGCACACCGTGGCACACCGTGGCACACCGTGGCACACCGTGGCACACCGTGGCACACCGTGGCACACCGTGGCACACCGTGGCACACCGTGGCACACGGCTAGTGGGTAGTTCCATAGCTGCTGCTTTTGTGCAGTCCTGCTACCACACAAAGGCTGTGCAGTCATGCGGGCCACTTGCTCTATGTGTGGAGGAATGTCCCCATTACACCCGTCCTTAAGGGGTTAAAAATTGACACATGTTCACATTAGGCCAAAAAAAAAAAAGTCTCCGGTTTCTGGTATGCGCGCGCGTCGCCGTAGCCATGCGCGTCGGCAAAATGAAAAAGTTTTTTTTTCAATGAAAGATGATGTCTCAAAACCGCCAAACTCACTGGTTTGACTGGAATTCTGCTGCTGCACAATTTTAACGTGTTTTAAGATGGAGTTATGATCGAGAATAAGCTTAATGTAGCCTCTCTGAACTCCCATATATTTGCACTAAGTTTAGTGGGGCACCATTTGCAGTCATCAGTCGACATTTGAAGCAAAAAAGTCAGGTAAAAAAAAAAAAAAGCCGCGTCGCCGCACCACTTTTTGGACAAGCTCCATACCAGAAACCGGAGACTTTTTTTTTTTGGCCTTACACACACATTTTTTAAAATGTACATGTCGTAATTGTATTGTAATTGTATTGTAATTAATTGTAATTAATTCCATGATAAAATGATCCCATTTATGCGAAAGCGCATTCCATCTGAAGATGAGTATTTTTATTGCTACTTTGTGCATATTTACATTGCAATAAATTAATTTGAACTTGTAGGTAAGAGGGAATGAATCTGACCACTTGCTATTAATTGCAAACTTTGGGTCTGACTTAAGGGGTGATTATATCCTGCAAATAAAGTAAGTGCGTGGTCATGTTAGAAGTAATTACAGTTAACATCTCACTCTCTCAGTTACACTAGGCAGTGCTGGTTTTTCTTATCTGGTTGAATTCTCCCCCTTTACAATCTGTTTACCAGTAAGAGGGGTATATTCCACCCCTCCTCCTCCCCCCCCCCCTTGAAAAATCGTAGATCTGCCACTGTTAATGTTTTGATCGGTCGCAAATTTCAATTTTTGTGAACAGGCCAGGAACGGTTCAGCAGTCTGACCAGAGTGTACTACAAAGATGCCTCGGCATGCGTCATCATGTTTGATCTCACCTCACCTAAGACGTTCAAGAGTGTCGTCAGGTGGAAGAATGACGTCGATTCCAAAGTCTTCCTGCGAGATATGAGCCCTGTTCCTTGTCTCTTATTAGCAAATAAGGTAAGCCGTGATGTCACTTAGTAATTTTTTGGATAAAGGCTTCCAAAATATAATTGTCTTTTTACTATTGCTTTTTTTTTGTGTCGGAGTGGTGTAAAATCTATTGGGACTCGAACCCACGGCCTCAAACCAGCCAGCCTACCCTGTCAATTAAGCTTGGTGATCAAGTGGGAGACGTCTTTACTTGCTAGCAGGAGGTTGTGGGTTTGAGACCTAATGTCAGGTGCAACAGTGTGGAAGTGCCAATAATAAGGGTTATGTGTGCTTGGGAGGTGTTAAACACTAAGTTTAAGACTGGTTGGAGACTGGAATGCAGATAATTACGTGAGGCGAAAAAATGCCCATTCATAAATACCTTTTCCATCAAAAATTAAAAATTTTCGGTCCAAAAGTCAAAGCAAGTCAAAAATAAAAAAATTCCCAACGATTTTAGCTACATGTATATAATGGAGTGTCCAGCTTGCTTTTACGGAGATTGGCGTGCACGTCACGCGTACTGCACGATGATGCAAAGATGCAGCTGTGGTGATTGCGTTGTGAATTTCAGACTATAAAATATGTGAACTTTTAACCAATTAAACTGTAAAAGGCACTGGATTTCATAGGAGTCCAAATTTTATGTGACACTAGAAAAGTGTTTTAGCGAGCCAGCCATGTCTTTATCATCTGTTTAAGACCGGCCACGTGACGGGCTCTCGACCAATGGGAATGGGTAAACTGTCTTGGGTATTTATAAATGTATAATTTAAACTTGACTGTTTTCCTTTATAATCAAGTCGGATCGGGATGATCAACGCGTAACGGAGGAGGAGATCAAACAAATGTCTCAGGACCACAACTTTGTAGGATGGAGCAAGATCTCCGTCAAAGACAATGTCAATGTAGAAGAGCCTATGCTGTAAGTATTTTGCTTAGCATATTGTTATTCTTTAGTTTCATGGAGCATGTGAAATGGTTAGCAAAAACGTTGTGCTTAATATAGACAAGAAGGTCTCCTAACCTGTACTTTATGTAAGCAAGCAAGTTATTTTCCATGAGCAAAAACAATCAACGGGAAACCAGTCACAGGTAATATGTATATCTCTTGGCATTTTGGCTGGTAATCTGAAGCATAACTTTACTTAGTTCCGTGAAATTCGGGCTGATCTTTCAGAGTTAATGCACATTGTTTGTCAACGCAGTGGTCCAGAGCATAAAGTCTCTGGCTAATCTTACTATAATTCCAGGAATCTCTGTCTGTCTGTCTGTCCGCCGATTATCTCCAGAACCGGGCACCGTATGAAGTTGAGAATCGGCGGGTGTATTTCTCGGGGCCACAGAATGTGCAGTGCCAAGTTTGAAGTTGTTTGGAACAGCGGTTCTCGGTTCTCGAAAAAGCTGCAAAAAAGCAGTATTTTCGGAGGCAAACATGGCAGCTTAGAACATAACACCACGCACTGCCGTTCTTTTCAATTGATTACGTCATGTATAGGCTAAAGCGCGCGCGCTCAATATGACGCAAACAATGCACGGACACACGCACGTGCAGTGGTGTAGGCCGACACATTGTCCAGTACGGGTGAATAGCACTGCATACCATGTTTTCGTATGTACACGGGCACATTATTTTTGCAGTCGACTGAGCGACCATTGTAGGTGGTCGAACTTCAAACTTGGCACAAACTTTGACGTAAGTGTGCGTTCAACCTGTGAAAACAACACCATTGAATCGCGTGCGTTGTTTGCACGAGCAGTTCTCCAAAACTCTGCAAGTATGCAACCTATACCAGCGGCAAAGCAATTTGCGCTTCCCGAACATGCACATTTTAGACGGGCACTGCACTAGTAATATCTAAAAGCACAAGTTTGACATATTCAGAAAAGACGTACAAGTTTGTCTTCCCAATATAATTTTTAAATGGTTAAAAGTCTGTGATCCCACCAGAAAATGTTTGACATTCACCATCCACGATTCAAGATGTGCTTTCAAGATGCTAAAATGTATGGCAGTTTACTCAGCAGAGTATAGTGTGTTGTAAATTTTTTTTTTTGCCTCGTGAGGTGAAAGAAATCAAACAGGATAGAAATTGGCCTCACGGCCTCGCGAGGCAGCAAACAACGCCGCAAAAATTCACTGCACATGTTCAGTATGTGCTGAGCGAACGGCCTCAAGAGACTTTTTGCTCAGCATGTAGCTCTTGTGTGCGGCGGGCTTTATGTGTTTATTTGCACTATTCCTCATTCAGGTTTCTAGTTGAGGAGATTCTAGCGAGGCACCAGTCTAGAGGTCGGGGGTCAATTATCGCCGAGTTCACAGACGACGACGGGAGGATAAAACTGCCCCACAGTTACGACAAGCAGAGCAAGTGCTGTTGGCTTTTATAACAAAGTAGTCAGGCAATGTGAACTCAAGTACGAGCTGTTTGCACAAAGCACCATCCTCTCAATAGAGAAAGAATGGTTAGAGACACTTGAGCAGAGCTGCAATCAAGTTATCAAAAGTTATCATAAGTCAATCACAAGTCATTATTAGTCAACTACAAGTCATTAAGTCTGTGGTCTAGTCACACTCCATTGCAGTGAACGACATTCCATTTTGGGAGAATGATTTTTTAAGCGGTAGGCCTACCTCGGGGAACCTCAGGGTTCAACTTCAACCTCGGGGTACCTCAGGGTTCAACCTCAACCTTGGGGTTCAACCTCAACCTCGGGGTTTAACCTCAACCTTGGGGTTCCTCATGGTTTACCCTCAACCTCGGCATACCTCAGAGTTCAACCTCAACCTCGGCATACCTCTGGGTTCAACTTCAACCTTGGGGTTCCTCAGGGTTCACCCTCAACCTTGGGGTACCTCAGGGTTCAACCTCAACCTCGGGGTACCTCAGGGTTCAACGTCAACTTCGGGGTACCTCAGGGTTCAACCTCAACCTCAGGGTACCTCAGGGTTCAACTTTAACCTCGGGGTACCCCAGGGTTCAACCTCAACCTTGGGGTACCTCAGGGTTCAACCTGAACTTCGGGGTACCCCAGGGTTCAACTTCAACCTCGGGGTACCTCGGGGTTCACCCTCAACTCCGGGGTACCTCAGGGTTCACCCTCGACCTCGGGGTACCTCAGGGTTCAACCTCAACCTTGGGGTACCTCAGGGTTCAACCTCAACCTCGGGGTACTTCAGGGTTCAACCTCAACCTCGGGGTACCTCGGGGTTCAAGCTCAACCTCGGGGTACCTCGGGGTTCAAGCTCAACCTCGGGGTACCTCGGGGTTCAAGCTCAACCTCGGGGTACCTCGGGGTTCAAGCTCAACCTCGGGGTACCTCGGGGTTCAAGCTCAACCTCGGGGTACCTCAGGGTTCAACCTCAACCTCGGGGTACTTCAGGGCTCAACTATTTTGTTTAATTTGCATTCTTCCCTTGCCAATTTTGTACCGCTGTCATTTGTGACCTCACTTGTGATTTGTGATTTACTCAATTGCCAGTACAACTCAGCACTAGAGCACCATGGGCACCACACCCCTATACTCCGCTGCATTCATCTGATGAAGGGGCGTGTGCATACTCGGCTGAAACTGTTTTGTGCACTGTGCTAAAACTGCGTGCGTTAGCAGTGACTGTGTTGTGGGGAATTTTTTTTTTTTTATTGTCAGGAAATTTATATTACAACCGAGTTATGGGGACTTTCTACTGTCCCCACAGCGTCTTTGGTCCACTCAATGACAATCGCTGATTAGGCGTGCGGTACTCACACCTAAGAAACAAGTATGTTACATATTTTTCTTTACATCTGAGGACTTGGAACAGTGTGTTACGTATACCTGTGAGAACATAGAAGCGGATGTACAATCTTTATGGGATATGTTGAGGGAGAGTTTAAGACCAAACAATGGGAACAAAAGATGGGACCAGTAAAAGTCCCCAGTAAAACCAGACAGTGTGCCTTTTGATCCTGTACATCTGAGGACTTGGACAGTGTGTTACCTGTGATAACAGTAAACCCGAGGACCTGAGCTCAAGTTCTCCGAGGGTCTTCATGTACAAACCTTATGGGACATGTTGAGAAAAAGTTTTAAGTCCAAACAATAGAAACAAAAGAAGGGAACGGCAAGGGTCCTCACTCGTGTAGTAAAACCAGACAGTGTACCTTGTTATTCTTTACATCTGAGGGGTCCTCAGAAGTCAAAACACACTGGAGCTCTCATGAGCCGGCAACACCGTTCCAACTACTTTTCCCACACGAATACAACAAAACTTCAAGTCGTGTAGCTTGCTTATTATATTTCACCTCTTAAACTGATTTTTGTTTTCGAAAAGAAAAAGCTTCCACCGAGACTAAACGAATTGAAGAAGCGTTTTCGGATTGATACAGATTGTATATGTATATTTCTTGGGAAACTGAATAAGCAGACGTAATTGCCAAATGATTATTACCAAACTTATTTTAAAAATAAATTATATTGTTATATAAATTCCTTAACCCAAATCCAACCTTTGCTTTTGCATTATGGTATTGGAGCTGTGCAGTCCAATCACTGTTACTTGAATTTTGAAGGATTTGGGATTTTCAGAGAAAAAATGCACAGTAATATATGAGGGTTAAATAGAGTAGACTTATGTTAAGGGAATAAATGTGTGCTCCGACCGACCGAGCACACATTTATTCCCATTCATAAATACCTTTTCGGTAAAAAAAAATCAAATAATTCGTTCAAAAAATCCCGGTTTTGTTCAACAAGTTCACTTCATGCTTTTTGAAACATCCCTCTAGCAAAATAATGGAGTGTTCAGCTGGCGAGTAAGATGTAAACAGCCCTTTTATGGAGATTGACGCGCGCGTATCATGTTCTACGCGATGTCGCGCACCTGGGGTGTTGCGTTTTGAATTTAGAACTATAAAATTCTGACTCGCTGGTAGTGTTGCGCATGCCTACGTGAGGATTGTGAACGTTCAACCAATGAAACGGTAAGAGGCACTGGATTTTTAGGAGTCCACATTTTATGTGACACTTGAAAAGTGTTTAAGACCAGCATCTAGCCATCTGCTGGTCTTTATCATCCGTTTAAGACCGGCCACGTGACAGGCTCTCGACCAATAGGAATAGCTAAACTGTCCGAGGTATTTATGAATAGTGGTTTAATTGGAGGAACAAATAAATAATCACAAATATGCAATTTTTTTAAAAGATTTTATTGGTGCAAGTATAGAAGTGATGTTTATTCCCACCTTTGTTTTCGGGGAAAAATGTCCTTACAATATTTTTCTGTTTTCCCCATCGAATCAGTGCACTTGTTTTAAATCTGAAAAAAAAAAGTGAATTTGGTGCTTGTTTGTATCAACCTTTTAAATGTGCAGTCATGCATGGGAAAACAAAAACAAACATGCTTAAATGTTAGCACAATTTTCTTTCTATAGTTAGCGCAAAGTGTCTACCGTACACTACTAAAAATTGTATTCTTAAAAACTAGAAACAAATGTTTCAAAAAAGAATTCTTGTCTCATTTCCTAGAAAATGTTTTTGAGTGAGACAAGAAAATATTTCTTGAAATATCTCTTGAAACAAGAAATATAATAATGGCGGGTATTTATAAAGCGCATGTATCCACCAGGACTGGTGCTCAAGGCGCTACATCATTATTACCCCTGCTCATTGGGCCCATGAAACATTCCAAATACCATCTCAGCTCCCTGGGGAGTATACAGCTCGATGCAGCCTGTTACGCGCAAGGAAGCTAATTCAATCACAATAACCATCTCTGCCCTCACAGGTACCCATTTACTCCTGGGTGGAGAGAAGCAATGAGCGACAAAGTGACTTGCCCAAGGGCACACGCACCATGACCCCAGGCTGGACTCGAACCCACAACCTGCAGCTTTACCCACAGACCACGAATCCAATGCCCTTAACCACGAGGCCACAGCACTCCAGAAATATGTTCTTACATTAAGAAATGTAAGAAAATAGTAGCAGTGTAAATGTATATACCGGTACTGTGAAGCTGTTTTTATGAAATTGCTTATTCCAGTTTTCCATCAAATGAAGAGTTTGCTTCCAAAACGCAATAAAAGCAATAATTTTTGGAATGCCACCCTCTTCCAGTTGCCCAAATTCAGTTTCAATGACTGTTATCTAGAGTTAAACACAATTCAAGAATACAGTGAAGTGAAAAATGTGGTAAAAACAGCCGTTATACTGGGCGTATTTGAAAACCCCGTTCTCGAGTGATCCATGAACAGCGTTCTCTGGATGCCGATTGGAGTACAACTGGCCGAAAAATCAAGATGGCAACCAACAAATTAAAAATGCTGAATGAAAAGAAGGGAAAATTAATAATCTTTCGAAAATAATTTAAATCCTGGAACAGGTATAAAAAAAATTGGCAAAGACAAGCCCACTCCAACCGGTGTGGTTGCTTCCACCAGCATCGCAAAAGTCTCCCATTGGGCTATCAGGCTTTTATCACATATAATCCTTCATCCAAGTGCGATAGGGTCACGGTACCTGTGGGGTGCTGTGGTCCAATGGTTACGGTGTTCGATATTTGTGTGCCGTGGTACATGAGTTCGAATCCTGACCGTGGGAACATGGTGCTTGTGCTCTTAGGCAAGGCACTTTACTATTATTGCTTCGTCCTTCGGATGGGACGTAAAGCCGTAGGTCCCGTGTGTGTAATGCACGTTAAAGAATCCAGTAACACTTATCGCTAAGAGAAGGGGTTTGCCCCGGTGTTTCTGGCAGTGGCTGCAATATGCGCCGCAGCACCTTGTCAACCCTTATAAGGTGCTACATAATGGGTCTCATATTTCTCATATACTTTATTTACCTTTCGTTAATAATAGACATAATAACCAGCGCCTTGAGTACCTAATTGTTGGTAGATACGTGCGCTAAATAAGACTCTGTTATTATGTTATTATATTATCTATGAAAATCATAAGTCAGTTTTGAAGATGAAAACCTCAGAAATTTAAGAATGCCTTCATCTAAAAACCAACATTTGTCAACTTTGTCCCTGTTTTGTGGGAGCAGATCACATACAGGTGGTTTTTTTTAGGACTCGAGGTTCCATCATTATTTTGTGCTTGGATATATACAGGGTGGATATAAAAAAATTTAAAAAACGAGATATTATTGCTAATTGGAACAGAAGTAGGGCACATGTGAATCAAAGGGAGATATCCTCTGTTAGGGTTGAATCTCTTTAAAATGACACCCTGAACATGTCATTGCAATCACGGTTGACTGAGCAGTGACCAATTTTATGAAAGTGTCTACTTAGAGAATTTCGCCACTTTTCAATTGTGGTTTTTGTGGTGTCATTTGTCACAGAGTGAAAGGCTATGGTTACAAGGCAGGTGGGAAAAAAAAAGAGATTTTACCATGAAAGGTGGCGCAGGTCTCTAAATAGACCCTTCATAAAATTGGTCCCTGCTCAGTCAACCATGAATGTAACTTAGACACAATAAGGGTGTCATTTTAAACCCTCACAGAGGATATCTCCCTTTGATTCACATGTGCCCTACTTTTGTTCCAACTAGCAATTATATATCGGTTTCGTTTGTTTTGATCCACCCTGTATAGACCCCATGTATAGAGCACACGGGTCTGTGTTCCCCTGCGGTAGAAATAAGTAGACACTATTACTGTATTTTGAATAACACCTTTTCTCACCCCTAGGGCCCCCTGTGCAAATGGTCTATATTCGACCTTGATTTTTAACATGACCACTTTTTCAATGTTTTTATAATCAGAACAGGATTTGACAATGAAACCACCGTATTTTCCCAACGCAAGGAGTTGTAAAAAAAGTTATTCAAGTAGCTGTTTATTCTGTAATTGATTATGAAACGTGCATTAAATTCTGAAGCATTATTTGAATGTATTTTTTTATTCGCATAACCATGATGAAAACACAAACAGTAAAAAGCACAAATTACACAATGTGATGGCTTACTATGTTTAGCTTTAATTTGTAAATAAACCATATGTGAATTTAGAATTTGAAAAGTGGCTGGCTTATTTCTTCAAGATTGGTACTTGGAATCATTACCTTGGACATGAAACTATCTCTTCTCCTGAACTCTCTGGCTTGACCCCTTAGCATGGTGACCGAACTTTGACAGATTGTTTTGTAAAAAAAAACGAGTTTGACAGAAAATTTGACAGAATGGAATTTTTTGGCAGATTTCTGGCAGAATTCTGCAAAAATGGTTATTTGACAGAAAAACATAGCAAATTTGAAAAAAAAATGGTACATTTATTTAAAAAAGCTTTAATCTTTTCAAACAGCCCCTTGCATAAGGGGACAGGTTGACTGGTCTAGGTGCTGAGGTTCACTGGGAACCGGACTTTGTCGTGACGCAACCGCGTTTTGCCTGAAATTTACGCAATTTCATGACATCTTTACAGATTGTTTATAACTGATAATGTAATTTGAACCTTAATTAAGGCAATACTACACCATCTGCATGTGATTTTAAGTGTTTATAGTGTATTTCGAGTAATTCTAGGGAATTTGGCAGATTTGTGATAAATCTGACAGATTTTTCAAGTGCATTTAGCAGAATTTTGCCCTGACCTTATGGTCACCTTGCCCCTTAGCTGCTTAAATTTTGCCCATGCACCAAATCTGCACCATTGAGTGCCGCACCTACATGTAAACTGCACCACTGTGAATTAGGGGGTACTTTTGGTGCTCATTTAAATAATTTGAAATAGCACCACTAGATAGTGCCCCAGCAGTTTTGGTTGAAGGATTTTTTCTGCTGAAATTTGCCCGTGCACCAAATCTGCACCATTGTGTGCCGCACCAAAACAGCACCACACTCACTGGTGTGGTACGTGCACTTTTGGTGCCAATTAAAATGATTGGAACGCACCAAAAATACATCCAAAACTACATCCTGCCATGTACAGTTTTCAGGTTAAAGTTTTTACAGAACTACCAAAACAGCACCATTCACAAAAGTGGTGTCAACTAAGTGGCACACCCAGGATTTGGTTGGGGGGGGGGGGGGGGCTCACAATATTTTCTTCTTTGTTTCAATTTTTTTAGAAGTAAATTTTTTTCAAAAAATTGTGCCCAAACGTTTTGGCTGCAGAAAAAAAAATAGGGTTTTTTTTGGGGGGGGGGAGGGAGGGGACTATTTTGACGGCGCCACGTACACCCTATTATTCCAAAATAGGCCACATACATATCAACAAGGTCAAATCGTGGGACTAAAAACAATATTAACAACCTTGGGTGCGCAAGTCCCCCGAGGCCCCCCCCCCCCCCCCTTGTGTGCGCCATGCATGTACACCAACTTTTGAAATATAAAATTACACCATGCACCAATCTGTGCTGCTATTGGTCGAGAGTTCCCACCTTCGAACCTTCCCCTGCTTTCTTGTGTAATGAGGGTTAAAAAAGGTACCTTAATGAAGTCATACAATGGCTCAGGTTAGCTTGTAAATTTGTCTATCCATCTGTAACAATTATAAGATGGAATTTTTGCGCCGGGGTGATATAAATCAAATTAGGTTTTGCCCTTCACCGACGTTTTAAACACTGTATACTCATCTGTAACAAGTTATAACTTATATATATTTATGTAAAAATATTTATCAGGAAACAAAAATAATGCCCCCCCCCCCTAAAAAAAAACATTCGGAGGAATTATTGCGTTTTCGAAAGCCTGGCTTCATGATCGGATGCAGAATCATTTAGAAGCCCTATTTACGTCATGGAGCTACAAATGATGTTGAATCCTATTTCCAGAACGCAAAAGGCAAAGTTTCACAAAAAGTCCACTTTGCAATTAATTAGTGCAGCGCCCTCTATTGAAATAAATCTGGCCAGCGTCCCTAGTGATGAAGCATCACGCATGCGCTTCATGTAAAATTGGGCATACTTTTGGAGTCCTCAATATCGAGGAGAAAACATCATGAGGGCCGTACCGACATGGGTCGACAAAGTGCACGACAAGGATAAAATTGAACAGTGGTAGGTTTGATTTGATATAAGGAAAACATTCTACCAAAGCTTAAGATCTGAAGGAACTGAAGAAATGACAATTTTTACTTAACATTTTGCTTCTTCACTTGTCTGACTTTTTCGAATACGTTGCCCACTTTCCGGACATGCCGAACACAATATGTTGACTCCATCTCCATCTCCATCTCCATTGTTTAAGTCAGCAAAATATCCTGCCGGATACATCAACGCTAACTTGCGCACTGCGTGTGGAAATAGACTACTGGTGGATATTACTGATATGTCCCTTGAATTCAGCTAGTTGTTGCACTGTTCACAGCAGCCGAGGAGATAGCCCCACTAGTGTGGCCGTCGGTATGCTGCGCTGAACCTTTGGCCACACACCGTGGTACCGCGCGCTACTGAGGACGAAGTTTTCATAAAAATTCAGGGCAGTTTCTTACATTCTCAGTTTCTTACTTTCTTATGGTTGTATTCTATGATGTCTCACCTGTCACTTCTGGGATGCTTAGGTCTAATGATGTTCCATTTTCCGAGATATTCTTCAATCTTTCTGGAGCCCATATGCACTCGTGAAACGTCTGGTGGTGGCAGCCATTTTGAATGTGACAAGAGATGACCTCAAGCTGTGACGTCGCGTTTATGCAAATTGCTTGTCGAGCGCGCGAGGGCGCGAGTTGCAAATGCGACGGCTGTTTCCTGTGCCGTAGATCCTGAATAGAGATCGGTGCACGTGGCCCCCTGACGATAAATGCATGGTACAGGAAACAGCCGTCGCATTTGCAACTCGCGCCCTCGCGCGCTCGACAAGCAATTTGCATAAACGCGACGTCACAGCTTGAGGTCATCTCTTGTCACATTCAAAATGGCTGCCACCACCAGACGTTTCACGAGTGCATATGGGCTCCAGAAAGATTGAAGAATATCTCGGAAAATGGAACATCATTAGACCTAAGCATCCCAGAAGTGACAGGTGAGACATCATAGAATACAACCATAAGAAAGTAAGAAACTGAGAATGTAAGAAACTGCCCTGAATTTTTATGAAAACTTCGTCCTCAGTAGCGCGCGGTACCACGGTGTGTGGCCAAAGGTTCAGCGCAGCATACCGACGGCCACACTAGTGGGGCTACCGAGGAGAGTGAGTTCCAGTGTTTAACAGTTGATACGAAGAATGAATCTTTGAAGGCCCTAGCTTTGTGACTGACTTGAATGATTTTTTGGTTGTTTCCCCTTGTATCTCTGGTATTAGGCTGAACATAGTTGTGAAGTGGAATGTTGACCAACCCATTTTTCATCTTGTAGAGCATACATAATTTCTGTTGATTTCTTCTGTTCTGTAGTGTGTCCCATCCTAAAGGACCTAAGTCATCCAGAAGTTTAGTAACAGTTCCCGTATCCCTTTGGTAGTTTCCTGTGCAAAATCTAGCTGCTTGACGTTGAACTCTTTCAAGTGAGTTAATGTTCTGCTTTGTTGAGGGGTCCCATGCGGATGCAGCATATTCTAAGAGTGGTCTCACTAAGCTCAAATAGGCAGTTGTTTTCACTTCACTGTTACAGCTCCACAAATTCCTGCGGATAACATTCTGCACTCTTTGAGCTTTCTTGATGGCCTCCTGAACATGGATGTTCCAGCTCAGTGTATTAGATATGTGAACACCAAGGTATTTTTGAGATGAGACGCTGTCCAAAACTTGATTGCAAAACTTGTATTCATGCTGAGGTAGCTGGAGTTACCCAGCCCTGAGTTTTATCATTGGGTTGTCATCTAGGGCTGGAGCGAGTTTTTCTCGTAACTTGTAGTATAGGCAAAAAATTTTGGAAAATGTTCAATTTTAATGTCCCCTTTACACACTAATTGCAACTGCAACTCACCCCAAACTTGCCTGGAATAACCATTACACAGGTCCTTGAAGTAAAAAACGATCCACGATGAAGATTCAGCCTACAATTGCAGTGAAAACAGGAGGAATAACCGCTAACCTGACAACCTTGCTGGCATGGCCAGGACCGCAATTGGTTTGTGCACAAAAAAATTGTGTACAATGAATGGCGGTCGATTAACAGACACAGAGAGCGATCGCTGTCAACTACTCGTTTTTGCCGGCTGCGCTGGCTGTTGGCGCATGACGTCACGCGGAAGCGTAACACCCGATGACTGTTTCATGCACTATTGGTTGCGGTTCCAGTACCAAAGCTGTGATGCGAGTGGTAAACCTTATATTAGTGCATGAAACAGTCATCGGGTGTTTCCTGATGTAGAGCGCCAGCCATGCACCTGGCTAGCCAGCGCGACTCCTAGGCGTACCGCGAACTTACACAGCACTCTACATCAGGAAACAGTCGTCGGCGCGGCGCAGGGGAATCTGCCGTGCATGCAGTGCATTATGCGCAAGCGCGCCGTCACGACATTTGCATGAGGTCGAGGTCAGACGCCATTATCATGCAGTTTTGAACGTGAGCACAACAACGACAACCTAGGCAGAGGGGGTCTTCAGAATTGAACGGAAAATTTCACTTTTTTCCGGATCGTAAGTAAACTTCAGTACAACCATCTTAATTATCGATGTCTACTTGTACCTCAGGTGGCATATCTAGTAATTTGGAGGCCGTTTTGAAGGTGAAATCTGATGTTTTTTGTTGGAAAATGTTGGTTTTTGGGACTGTGTTGTCTAGGTCTTGGTATTAGCTTGGACCTTACTATCGCCAGACCATGTCCAAATGTTAAAAAAGGCGATAAGTTGGGTCCAAGTTACTCGGACTATAATTTCTGTTGATTTCTTCTGTTCTGTAGTGTGTCCCATCCTAAGTCATCAAGAAGTCTAGTAACAGTTCCCGTATCCCTTTGGTAGTTTCCTGTGCAAAATCTAGCTGCTTGACGTTGAACTCTTTCAAGTGAGTTAATGTTCTGCTTTGTTGAGGGGTCCCATGCGGATGCAGCATATTCTAAGAGTGGTCTCACTAAGCTCAAATAGGCAGTTGTTTTCACTTCACTGTTACAGCTCCACAAATTCCTGCGGATAACATTCTGCACTCTTTGAGCTTTCTTGATGGCCTCCTGAACATGGATGTTCCAGCTCAGGGTATTAGATATGTGAACACCAAGGTATTTTTGAGATGAGACGCTGTCCAAAACTTGATTGCAAAACTTGTATTCATGCTGAGGTGGGTTTCTCTTGCCTATGGTCATGGTACAGCACTTGCTTGGATTAAAGTTCATTAACCAAGTGTCTTGCCAGTTTTCTAGGAGTTTCAGGTCATTCTGCAAAGTGCTGGTGTCCCGGCCGGTAGGAATTGGGGCGTAAAGCAAGCAGTCATCTGCAAAAAGCCTGGTCTGGGAGGTGATGTTGTTTGGCAGGTCGTTGATGTACAACAAAAACAAAAGTGGACCAGTGACAGTGCCCTGTGGTACACCAGATGTAACGGCTGCTGGGAGTGATGTATGCCCATTATTTACGACTTGTTGGGTACGCCCCGTCAGGAAATCCTGAACCCATGTTGAGATCTCCCCACTTAATCCATAATATTGAAGTTTGGAGATAAGACGGCGGTGCGGGACTTTGTCGAAGGCCTTGGTAAAATCAAGCACTGCGACATCAACCAAGTTGTTCTTGTTGAGTTCCATGCTAATGTCATGAATTGTGAGGATGAGTTGCGTTTCTGTTGACTTTTTAGCCCGGAATCCATGTTGAAAATCGGTTAAAATATGCTGGTTCTCCAAATGTTTCATCACATGGCTGTGTACAATGTGCTCCAAAGCCTTGCAAACCACTGAAGTGAGTGAAACAGGACGGTAGTTTGCTGCACAAGTACGGCTCCCCTTTTTGAATATTGATGTAATATTTGCTTCCTTCCAATCTTGTGGTACTTCACCTGTGTTGATTGAACTTTGGAACAGGTCCTGAAGTGGTGAGGCTAGCTGCTTAGCTCCAAGTTTCAGAAACCAAGGTGGAATTCCGTCTGGACCTGGTGCTTTGTTAGGCTTAAGCTGGCTGAGGAGCTTTTCAACTCCCTCTTTGGTGATGATGAGCTGACCAATCTGTTCGTACGGGCTAGCACCAAGTTGGGGCAATTCCCCAGGAGGCTCCTTGGTAAACACACTCTGAAACTGTTCATTCAAGATGTTCGCCTTCTCTGTATCATCGCTGATAATCTTTCCATCTTTCTCAAGGTCTGCAACTCCTGGGTTTTCTTGCCTTAACTTTTTGATAAATGTCCAGAATTGTTTAGGCTCCTCCTTGATGGCAGATCCCAAGGTTTCTCTGATGTATGTAGAGCGAGTTTTTTTGATGAGTTTGTGTGTATTTCTCCTGCATTCACGGAAAACTTCCCAATCAGCAACCTTTCCTGATTTGATGGCCTTATTGTATAGACGTTGCTTCTTTTTAACAGCCCGTCTCAGTGCCCTATCAAACCAGGGCAAGTTGAAACGGCTAGATGTCATCTTGTGAGGAACACATTTTTCCATGGTTTGGAGAATTGCTGTCTTGATGCAGTCCCATTTTTCTGTTACAGTCTTCCCTGTGTTGGTCTTGAAGTATTCGTCTGTACAATCTTCCAAGGCTTGTGTGACACACAGTGTCAGCTTTGTTGCGCAAGTAGATCTTTCGCTTCACTGGTCGTTTTCTAATCGGGGCAATCCTTAAATCCACTATCCCCGAGCTGTGGTCAGAAATACCCTCAACAACCGTGATCTTGTCCACCATGTCAGGATTGTTGGTGAAAACCAAGTCTAAGATGTTCTCGGTGTTTCCCTGTTTTCTTGTGGGTTGATTGACATGTTGCGTAAGCCCATGTTCTTCAACTAGGGTGACCAGTTGTTTTGCAGCTTCAGAGCTGTACCCACTTCTGGTTGACACACTGTTGTCACTCCAATCGATGTTGGGCAAGTTAAAATCTCCAGTCAAAATAATATTATGAGAGTTGATCTTATTTCCCAGGTTGGCAAATGATTGTCCCAATATTTCGATTGCTTCTCCATTATCCTTGGGTGGGCGGTAGAAAACGCCAATTAGCATAGGTCTACATCCCTTTGCTTTGGTTTCAGTCCATAATATTTCACAGTCTGAGTTTAGTTCACTGCAGTGAGTTGAAGGTAAGTCCCCTTTAACAGTCTGAAAAACACCCCCTCCAGTAGTAGTAGTCTTCCGATCTTTTCTGAAGACAGCGTAGTTTTCGGGAAAAATCTCAGCACTATTTATGCTGGAACAAGCCACGATTCGGTCCCACAAATGAAATCAGGCTTGATGGTATCCGACAACACGGCAATGTCACCAGATTTCGATTTAACACTCTGGCAATTAGTCAACACGATCCTGATTCTGTCTCTAAGCTTGGGAGTGGTTTTCTTTGCCCTCGCTTTCCTCTTAGTTTGATCATTAATGGCAGATGACTGGTCATTATTCGGCTTGTTGTTATCTCGAGGAGAACCGACAACTGTCAAGCATTGTCAAGTCTCGAGCAGAACCGACAACCGTCAATTCTCCATCCACAGAATTTTCAACGGAAATGTCCCCTTCGTTGAAAAATGAGTCCGAAAAGTTTATGGCATCACACAGTGGACAAACCCAGTTGCAGTCACTCGACATGAGAGACGTGTAAGTCAAATCATCAATGTTGCAACACGCAGTATGCAGCCATTTGTCGCACCTGTCACATTGTACTGCATGGTGTTCCCTAAGCACATTTCCATCACACACGCTACAAGGGGCACAACAGTCAGAGCAATACCACGGCAATGAGTTGGCAATGATAATTTGAGCCTGTTTTTGTGTAGTCCCAACACAGCTCGGATGAGCAAAATTTTGACAGTCTGCACATCTGAGTTTATATTTGCTGTTAATCCTCCTACTACATGCAATGCAATCTGGTAGGACACGTGATGTGCATGCAGCAGGCCTTGGATTCAAATGTACATCCCCTGCACAGGCGAGTAGGCCAATGACAACAACTCTAGGTTGAGTATAAACACATCTCCTACTTCCGATCAATATGACGTGATCTACAATTAGACATTTCTTTCTTTCTGATTTGAGAAAATGTTCCACATGATAGCATTTGTGTCTGGGCTTGGTAGGCAAATGCAGTTCGAAGGTACATGTACATTCTGGTAGTGAAGGTACCCATCATACGATTTATTCCTCAAAGAGCATGAAGAAAATAAGTCAAAAGTACTTACAGTCTGCGAGTCCCAATTCCCTTGTGAAGTATCACACAATCCCACAATTAATCTGGTGATAACATAGATAAGCACAGCACCGTTGAAATTAAGATGATTCTTTCCACATCCCATTGTAGAAATCGTATGTCAAAGGTGAAGTCTGCTGCGTCACAAAATCCAAGATGGCTTCCTTCAGGTTCAGATTCACATAATCCCCGTGAAAATGAAAAGGGCAAGAATGCTGCTGTCTGCTGCTGTCTTATACACCAAAACGTTGAAATAAATGCATAGTTTGGGCAATACTGTTACGAGTTATTGCGCGATGATTAAAAATTCCAGATGAGAAATGTAGCACAAGATTTTAATCCGCCGATGCGTAGTTCCATATAGCTGTATAGCGATGTATTGCACTGGTAAAATGGCATTCCCGGTGGCAAAGTTCCAGTAGCCCAATTCGAAGTTAAAAATCATCCAAAATATACGTCCAAAATCTAAAATAAGTTCACAACTAGAGTCACCAAAGTTAAAAGAGCAGTTAGCTCGGTTAAAAAGTCACGATGACGGATCTAAAATGAAGAATTTTGTGGATTAAAAAACAAGAATACGTAGCGAAAATAAAAAACACGTCTAAACCACACGCATGCGCACGTAGGGCTTCACAGCAGGGTGTAGAAATGCTAGAATGCAACATACCGCTTTGTATTAAAAATAGACCCCCATAGCCTAATTTAGTAATTAATCTTAATTTACAAAAAATAAAAATTAGGCCCGTCCTTGCACAGATAGGCCTAATTTCTTAATCTATCAATTATCATGCTTATGCAAATTTGCAAATTTTTAATTTTTTACTGTAAATTAATCAATGTATCCATCCGTCTTTGCCGCTTGCGCTGTTGGTTGATGTATGAAATAAATAAATAAATAAAATGAATAAAGTCTTCATAACCTTGGTGATCATGGTGATGATCTGTCGGAAACATTCGCAATTTAATAGGCCTAATAATTAATACTTTATAGAACAATAATTACATAGTGCAAATCTTAACAGAAGGAAATCTTGATGTGCTTTATTTATTCATTAATTTAGTCTTGACATTGCATTAGCCATGTTAGCTGGATATGCAAACACATGAAATATCTTAATTTGAATTTGATTTCTGTCTTTTTCTCCAGCATTTATGACATTGCATTCAGGCCAGATGGAACACAACTCATAGTAGCTGCTGGTAACAGAGTCTTGGTATGTACTAACTAAAAATTAAGCCGTCTCTCGCATCACACCCCACCAAAAGTGCTGTAGTCTTCAATTGTGAAGTTAGCGTTCAATTGGAAGAAGAAAAAGAAGACTACAATCGTACAAATGAAGTTAACCAGTGTTGGCATTAAAATCCGCTAAACATGACAGTAAAAAAACATTCTAGTCTGACTGGTCTCCAACTGTTATTATTTTGCGCCTTTACCCTAACCCCCTTGAGTGATTTTGTACCTCAGTCTTGCAAAATCCAACACCATGGTACCTCAATGCCCAAACTGTTGGACTCTTATTGTGGTGGTATGCCTGACTCCATGTAAAGCATTTTTAGTTTACTGGTGCAGTACTCATCCCAACAGATCCCAACAAACCCTGGTGTTAGAGTTTGACTGGATGGGGACTGTGAGGGTTAACCCTAACCTTCCCAAATCCTCCAAAATCCTCTTTGCAAAATGGAGGATTTTGTAGGATTGAGGCTATGGCAGAAAGATGTGGCTGATTTTGGAGGATGCACTGTGTCAAGGTTTTGGACCGGACCTCGTGTTATTTATGCTCAGCCGTGCACAAATGTAGGCCTAGATTATACTTTTAATCCTCCGCACTGCTGCAGGATGTCACTGGCTCTGCGTCAACATATTGACAGTGATTGCTGGACTGGATTTTGCAGGATTGAGGCAGTGGTCACCCCTCCAAGGACCACATTCAAAAAATGTCGGAGGATTTTGCAGGAATGAGGCTGTATGGAATTTTTACATGGAGGCAGTTAGAGTTAGATTTTGTAGGATTGAGGTTGCATCCTAGCAAAACTCCTAGGGAGTAAGGTTAAAGGGAATGTACATCATTGGCTTTTGCTGTAATATTCAGAAATGGAGTATTTGAGGGGTTAGTATAATATATCAAAAATTGTTACACTGACATGTTTGAAGTTTTATGTTCGAAAATGCTGGAAAAACCAAGAAAAACAAAATTGTTGAAGTAGTCTGGTTCCCTGACTCCACTAAAGATGAAATGGATCAATTTATAGTTGCCAGAAAATTGTAAGGTAAGTGAACCAGTCTAGCTGGCCTGCACCCGTTCATGAACATGTAACCAATACCAAACAACATTTTGACTGAAAAAAGGTAAATTTGGAGCAGTAGTTGAAATATAGTTAGGTTTTTCAAACGGTGGTCGGCTGACCACCGTTGGAAATGTATACAAAATACCATATTCTTGAAAATGACTTCACACCAGGTGCCATAATTTTACAGGATGCTTTAGACTTAAGGTAATTCTTAAAAACTTGGTAGTTTTATTTTTCGATGTTTGCAAATGTTGTATATTCCCTTTAAGGAATGATGGCTCTGCTAGCCAAAACTAATCGAACAATTTAAGGAGTGACATTATAACTGTATGTTGTTTGTAGGTGTATGACGCCAATGACGGGACTCTGATACAGCCTCTGAAGGGACACAAAGACACGGTCTACTGCGTGGCTTACGCTAAGGATGGCAAGCGATTCTCCTCAGGGTCCGCTGATAAAAGTGTCATCATATGGACCTCCAAACTGGAAGGCATCCTCAAATACACGTAAGAAATTGCTCCCACAAATTGGACACTTGCGGAACATCCATTGAATTGGACAGTTAAAGTATTTTTTATACAGTATCTCAAGTATTTATTGTCATTATCGAGTACTTCAAGTCAACTCCCTTTATACAGACATGTCCTGTAGCTAATAATTCGTGCGATTCACAATGCAGTGCGCCACCAAGAGTTTGCCACGGAGAGTTCGTTTTCCAAGGTCACGGTCGACAAAACATGGCCCATTTGAACGAGTGTCAGTAGAAAACTTGAGCTAATTTGTTATAGATTGGGGCAAAGCGTTCTGCTGCCTTACCAAAACACTCCATATTGATAAAACGAAAAGAAAAGGGCAAACGCTTACAAACTTTCTGGCCGGAAAAACTAACAATTTCAAATGTCCCGCGCTGCGAATTTGTCGACCATCTCCCACAATGCACTGGGAAAAATGAACTCTCCGTGGCAAACTCTTGGTGACGCACTGCATTGTGAATCGCCCGAATTCTTGATGCAGTACCACACCAAGACGTGTACTTAGAGGCCTTTATTTTACAGAAATAAATGAAGATTGTGAACTCAAAACACAATCAAAACAACGAATCAAAACGAACAATCCCCCCCCCAAAAAAAAAAACCTCAGAAAAGAACAAAATACCCAAAATACAATTGTAGTAGATGTTTTGGCACATGAACAGAAAAAGGAATGTCAACTCCTTTTGTATTCAATGGTGCACTGCGAGCATAACAAAATTTGTACTGAAATAGCAACTATTTTTGTATCATGAATTAATTCTTTGTGGGGCAGAAAAGTGGCCATTTCATGTCATGCTGAATTATTTTCCAAGCATGTCTGAATTTGTGATGGTTTTTCTCTTTCTGTACAGTCACAATGACGCCATACAGTGCCTGTCGTTCAACCCCATCACACATCAGCTGGCAAGCTGTGCGTGCAGTGACTTCGGTAAGCTAAGTCTAGAGTTGACATTGACCATGAGCTTTTGGCTGGAATAGCAGACGATTTCACGAAACAGTGTGGAACTTACCATGTGTAGGACTTGCGCAACAATATATTTCATGAAACTTGGCCTACGATCCTGGCCAAATCTCGCTGGGCCCCCAACCCCCCGGCCCCCACTCAATGTTGTCTCTCATTGCGCGGTGTGTGCTCCATCAGCTGGAGAGAACAACATTGACCGGGGGAGCGGGGGAGTGGGTGACCGTGGCAGGCTCAGGAAGTGTCCCAACCGTTTTGGCCGGGATTGTAGCTGCACAACGTTTTAAATAATCTAAACATCTTGGACAAGGATAATAACAGCATTAACGACGGCTGTTTGTGTACATGATTTTGTGCGTTCATCATGTTCATGATAATGTCGTTGAATCACTTTCGCCCGCCATTTTGAAAATGGTTTTGTCTGACTTTCTTCGTAATCGTGTGGCAACTCTAAAAACTCGGTCACAAGTAAAATAGCAATTAACTTACCTCATATACAAAACTGTGAGTGTCTTTTATCAACCTTGATTAGTTGTGCAATAACAGGCTCCACGATGATCATGATTTGCTAGTAAAGTAGGTCATTTTCAGTTGCTGTGCCACAACTTATGCCACCTAGAATGATTGCGCAAGTTACGCCATTATTTGTTACGCAAGTCGCGGATTCACGCACTATGAAACTTACGTGAAATTGTCTTAACTGTAATGTTGCGCAGCGTGGAATGTTGCGCAACTTATGCAATAAATAGTGGCACAGGTGGACTTATGCCATTTTGTGAAAGGGCCCCGATAAACAGAGTTTGCAGTTTTAAAAATAATAGTTTGATTCATTATTTTGCTTTGTTTGAAAGGTTTGTGGTCCATGGAGCAGAAGTCGGTGTCCAAGCATAAGACAAGCAGTAGGAACACATGTTGTAGCTGGACCAATGATGGCCAGTACCTAGCGCTGGGCATGTACAATGGCTGTATCAGTATACGTAGTAAGGTACGTAAGCAATGCCACACAGGCAGCATTCACAAGTTGCCACTAGTCAATCACAAGTCAGTCACAAGTCAGTCACAAGTCAATCACCTTTGAATTGCATGTCAATCACAAGGTGGTAAGAACTCAATCATAATTCAATCACGAGTCAATCACGAGTCAAACGCAAGTGAAACGCAAGGTGATCACAAGTCGATCACAAGTCGATCACGAGTCTATCACAAGTCAATCGCAAGTCAACCACAAGTCAATCACAAGTCAATGACAAGTCAATCGCAAGTCAATCACAAGACAATCGCAAGTCAATCACAAGACAATCACAAGTCAATCGCAAGTTGGTAAGAAGTCAATCACAAGTCAACTGCAAGTCGATCACAAGTCTATTACAAGCCAATCACAAGTCTATCACAAGTCAATTGTAAGTCAATTGTAAGTCAATCACAAGTCAATCGCAAGTCAATCGCAAGTCAATCACAAATCGGCCGCAAGTCAATCACAAGTCAATAACAAGTCAATCACAAGTCAATCACAAGTCAGTCACAAGTCAATAACAAGTCAGTCACAAGGCAACCACAAGTCAATCACAAGTCAATGGCATGTCAATCACAAGTCAGTCGCAAGTTAATCACAAGTTGATCATAAGTCAATCACAAGTCAATCACAAGCCAGTCACAAGTCAGTCAAAAGTCAATCACAAGCCAGTCACAAGTCAATCACAAGTCAATCACAAGTCAATCACAAATCAGTCACAAGTCAATCACAAGCCAGTCACAAGTCAGTCACAAGTCAATCACAAGCCAGTCACAAGTCAATCACAAGTCAATCACAAGCCAGTCACAAGTCAGTCACAAGTCAATCACTCGTCAATCACATATCAATCACCCGACTTGTGATCTGACATGTGACTTGATTTTTGTTTAACTGGATTGCAAATCAGGTCATTGAATTGAAACATCAAATATAGCACCAAGGGAAACTGACTTGGTGTGTAATTGTTATAAAATACAGGCATTGATTTTTCAGATTTTTGTTTGAAATCAGACTTTTTGTAATCAGAGAGAAAGACATTATCAATGTAGAAAGAAGTGCATCTTTCAGACCTTTCATTCTTCAATTTCCAGCCTTAAATTGACATATCTCATAATAGAACAAAAAAAATACTGCAGTGGGGATCGAAACCTGCGACCTCCGAATTACCGTTCCAGTGCTCTACTTACTGAGCTATCCAGCCCTATGTTGGCGGTTCCCCTACTTGTCAATATCTTTGTTCAAGGGTGCTAGTCAAAAGCTTTAAAATTTGTAGCTAGGAATCGTGCCCAGAGTTTTATTTCTATAGTTTGTATAAATATTTATGTATTCCTAGAACGGTGATGAGAAAGCAAAGATTGAGCGCCCTGGTGGAGGGCTAAGTCCCATATGGAGCATACAGTGGAATCCATCAAGGTAAATCCAAAATATAAATTTAAATAACTGTCAGTTTTCATATTGGGTTTTGCTTTTCATTGATGTAATGTTTATTTTAAGCACTGTATGTTCTATGCTTTGTTAGAAAACCTTGCAAGAATATTAGGGTGGAGCTTGAACACGTGGAAACAGGACAACTCGTACGCGGACCAACTTGTACGCGAGACAACTTGTACGCGGATTGGTCAACTCGTATGCGAGCCAACTCGTACGCCAGCCAACTCGTACGCGGGCCAACTCATACGCGAACCAACTCGTACGCCAGCCAACTCGTACGCGGACCGAAATTAGCGAATGTAAAGAAATTGAACGATGTTTACGATCGCCAAAAGTTTACCCCAAAACGTACAAGTTGCCTCGCGTACGAGTTGGTCCGCGTACGAGTTGTCCTGCGTACGAGTTGGTTGCGTACGAGTTGGCTCGCGTACGAGTTGACCTGTATTCGAACACGTAACCATCACTGTGGATTTCTAACCGGTGTGTCAGTTGGCCAATAACCTGTGTACAAGCGCTTTCAAAATCAATTCATTGGTGAAATTACTATATTTTAGTCATGTCATTTATTTATTCCATTTCTTTACCCAGGGTATGCCCAAACAGTTTAAAACTGGTTTCCATTGGGGCCCTGCATACAATAAATAATGACTACAAACATATATAATTACACAATACATTACAAATACAATAAAATTCAATACAGTGAGATGAAACATTATTTGAATAATGCATAGGTGTTAAGCAAATATTATAAATACAATATATATGTCATTAAAGGGAATATACATCATTTGCTTTTGCTGTAATTTTCAGAAATGGATGGAATTGGGGGGTTGGAAATATATAGCAAATATAGTTACACTGACTTTTTTGAGGTTTTGGGTTCGAAAATGCTATAAAAACCAAGAAAAACGATCATTTTCCTGTAGTCTGGTTCCCTGACTCCATATAAGAAGAAACAGAGCAGTTTCCATTCATTGGGGAATTGTAAGGTCAGGGAACCAGTCTAGCTGGCTCGTAACCGTTCATAGGTTTGTAATCGATTGCAAACAAGTGCGATGGTCAATTGGGGCCAGTATTTGAAAAAAAGCCAGTTGTTTCCAACGCTAATCGGCCGATCAGCGTTAGAAATTGATACAAAAATACCACTTTTCTTGAAAATGACAGTATACCAGGTGCCATGATTTTACAGGATGCTTTACACTGTCATTCACTAACAGTCCAGCAAGGTATTTCAAAATGATTTGGTAGTTTTATTTTTCGATGTTTGCAAATGTTGTATTTTCCCTTTAAAACTGATTGTTTTATCGTGGACTTGGATACTATAATTTTCAGTGGTCTAGGGCAGCCACGTGTCCGGACAATGAAAATGCATGGCGCACACCGAGGTTTGATACCGCATTGCATGCATTGCGCGCGTGTGGAACCCTTTCAGCGCGCTAGCTTTGCGCAATGAGAAATACAACGTCAATTGCTCAGTCTCATGTCCGGCAGCACATCAAAACTTTCACTTATCAAAGGTTACATCGCAGTGATTTAATTTGTTTCTCACTCAGTTAATTACAACCATTTATCTTTTTGAGTTATTGGCACGATATAACAAAACAATTGTTGACTGCTGTGCTGTGGGATAAGACGTTTTTAACCCCCTCGGGGTGCATAGCACCCGAGGCGATGCACCCCACAGCACTCAACAATTGTGAAAACTCAACTCATCACAAATCATCACAAGTTGATTAAAGGTCAATCACAAATCATCACAAGTCATAACAAGTACGCACTTGTCATCACAAGTCAATCACATGACATCACAAGTCAATCACAAGCGTTGACATTACGCACACGCGCGTGCGTGAAATATTGCGTTCAGTTCAGTGACACGCGCGCGTTTAGTGCGTGACATCGTGTAAGCTGCAGTCAGCTGAATGAGAACATGTCCCGGACGCTGATTTTGGGCGCAATTCACAATTTTGAATTGTTGATATCGAGGTACTAGAATATTTTTTTTCTTGGAATATGCGGCATTCACTGAGCTAAAACTTCATCAGGGCAATTCCACGGTTACTCACGTTACCTACCTAAGCACCAAAGATGACATCCAGAAAAATGTGTTATGTACATGTATGATAAACAAGACGCACAAAATCGGTTACTCACGTTACATTTTCGTAAGTAACCGATTTTGTGCGTCATGTTTATCATACACAACACATTTTTCTGGATGTCATCTTTGGTGCTTAGGTAGGTCTAGGTCTACTCTATCTACCATGGGGATAACAGTTATTAAACCTTTCCAGTAAGGTAATTACAGCCCAAGGAAACTCAAAAGTACATCAAAAATGTAACGTGAGTAACCGTGGAATTGCCCATCAGGTTAATTATTAAGCACCCTTCTTTGGATTTTGAGCGCTTTTGTTGCTTCAAATGAAAAAAAAAAATCACAAATTTATGCCAAAAGATATACTCTATTTTTAAACAAAAATATTTTTGTGCCACATCTGAAGAAAGGTTCAGTGTCAAAAGGGTTAATTCAGCCTTCCCTTCTTGTAATATGATGTAAAATATTCATGTACTCTGTGTTACTAACCCATGTGCAGAAAATTGTCATGTGGAAATAAGTCGATCGAGTGATATCTCAATATTTCACGTTATTTACATGTTTTTCTGTTCCCCCCTTTTGTTATCCTTGCCTCCAAGCACCAGTGATGTCAGTAGGTGGGCCTTGATTTAATGTTATTTTCTTCAAGTGAAGATGTTTATTGTCTTGTCTATTTTTTTCTAATGGTGTGGGTTTCTTTTAATTTTACAAACGATTGTAAAAAAAAAAGGCGAAATGTTAGAAACCAATCAGGGTTTTTGAAACATTGGCTTTGTTTGCAGCTCCGGTTTCATCTTTGTCTGCAGAATTATGGACCACATGTAATATCCGTACAAGGTGAAAATAGTTGGCTTTCAATCAAATTATTTGATATTCAGAGTTCCTCCGGTTATTGAAAATCCGGGAATGTAAAGCTGTCATGAAAAGTCGTAGAAAGTTCATGGGATTTGTTGTTTTACAAAGAGTCAAGAAAAGTTGATATTCCAAGAAAAAAAGTCACTGAAAAGTCATGGAATCTAGCTCATCCCGTACGTGATGATGTGTAATATTTGCCTACATGGCAGTCTTCCCGTTTGTATCCAGTTTACTGTACATATACTGCGTCTTTATGCATACATGCTCTGTACTTGTTGCTCTTTCGGTGCACCATTGCGATGCTTTTGTGCTGCTCAGTGGTCTTGTGCCAAACTGGAAGGCTTAAGGAAAGTGGTGTCCCTTGCAATAGGCTCCTAAGATGCCAAAACAGGGAATTGGTCATGGAATGCCCTTTCATGTATTTTGTCCTGAAAAATCCTGGAAAAGTCATGGAATTTCGTTTCTCAGTTTCTGTGGGAGCCCTGGATATTCCTTAAGAAGAACATGGACCCATATTGAGCCTAAGTACATGTTCCCCAAGTCAGGGGCTTCAAATCTGAAAAAGCCGAAGCTGGAATATAGCCATGATTTCAAAGACCCATGTGTTCCTTATGTGGGAAAAGATAAACATAGCACAACCGTAATGTTTGTATCTAAGGCACACAACTTCACTATTCACAGCTTTGCACGTCCTTAGAATAGAATGAGATGCACAAGCACTTATCACATGGCATGGCACCCTTTCACTTAAAAAACCCAAGGTTGTATCTGATAACATTACTTCCTGAAAAGTTGTTCTCAGAGGGACCAGCCTACAGTCTGCTTTGCACCAGACGCATGCACTCACCAACTGCCACTTGTGAATTAGACTTGCTTCAGTCTAACCTTTGCCCAAAAGTATAAAATGGGACTGCTTGTAAAATAGATGAATGGGCTAAATCCGGCCACATGCATGAAAAGACTAACGGGAAATAGCCATTCTGAAGCAATTGAATAGAATTGTGTGAACTCTGGGACCAGCTCTATTAGACTTGTCTTTCTCTTGTTTTGTTACAATTCGGGCGATTCACAATGCAGTGGGCCACCAAGCATTTGCCACGGAGAGTTCATTTTTCCCAGTGCATTGTGGGAGATGGTCGACAAATTCGTAGCGCGGGACATTTGAAATTGTTAGTTTTTCTGGTCAGTAGTTTCGTAAGCGTATGATTCGAGTATATGTTTGCCCTTTTCTTTTTATCAATAATTTGTTTTTTTGTAAGGGGGCAGAACGCTATGCCCCTATCTACAGCAAATTAGCTCAAGTTGTCTACTGACACTCATTCAAATGGACCATGTTTTGTGGACCGTAACCTTTAAATATTGACTCTCCATGGCAAACTCTTGGTGGCGCACTGCATTGTGAATCGCCCGAATTCATTGAAAAAAATGTCTTGAACAATATTTCTATAGCAAAAGGTTTTTCAAAAATAGCGTAGGCTGCATAATTACGAACTGTTTGGAGACAAAACCCAGTGGTAGCTTTTTTCCTTGTAATTTTAAAGACTAACTTTCTGTTCAGGTCTTTTTAATAAAATGACAATCTTTCACGCAGACCCAAGTCCTCCTGGGCCAAATCTGAGGAATTATGCCTGGCTTCTAGCAGTAACGAGTCCATTAAAAAGACTAGTTGTTTGTATTCTCGACGTAGGTTAGTGGTATAATGAGGTAGACATTCCATTTAGTTCAATCTTGAAAGTTGTTTTGAAATTTGTCCAGATTTTATTTGTTTTTAATTGAAAAACGAAAAACACGTTTAGTTTTCAAGTTCTCCAAGTTTTTTTGTTTTTTTGAACGGTGAAAAAGATTGTTTTCGATTTGAATTTTATGATTTTTTTTCTTATCTTTGTTCCTACTTGTGTTCATTTTTTTTTCAATTGGAAGTACCGAAACACTTAAAACATTTACCATGTTTACAAATTCCTATTATGAGTCAGGTTTTTCTTTTTTTACATACATAGTATATTGTCTATGGATTGGGCACTTTTGCCTGTTATGTATTTCTGTAATCATAGTTGGAAAAGCTAGTTTTGTCTTTTGCATGAAAATGAATTTTTGTCAATAGTGTTCATATGCCCGGCCTTTTTAACAAGTTAATTTTCCGTTTCTCCCTAAAAAAAAAAAGCTAAACAAAGCACAGCCAAATTAACCCTAACCCCTTGGGTATATTTACTAGAAAGTATCCTGAATCTGCCAAAATCCATCAATTTTGCCATGCAAAAAAATGTTGGTGGCCAGTGAGTCCATCAGAATCCACCAGTTAGCCGGGAGTAAATCTGTTGAGATCCTGAATCCATCAAATCCCCAACTGCGCAATATGGAGGTATCCTGACTCCATCAAAATCCTGCAGTACCGCTTGGCTTCATGTCCTGCATCCATCAAAATCCTCCACATTTTTCAATATGGAGGTATCCTGATTCCGCCGAAAAATTAGGATCAATGCATCATGGTAATGAAAAGTGAAGTACATAAGGCATATGAAGAGTGGCCTTTTTTTCTAAATCTGTTTTTCCAGAGCATGAAAGCATGCCTTAAACTCATGTTTATGGCTACGTGTAGATTATTTTGGTAGCAGTTCTCTAGAAAAGACATTTAGGTAAAATTATGCATGCAACATAATTTTTTTCCCAAAGGGACATTATGAGTGCATGTCATGCATGATTTTTTTTTTCTAAAAAGGCTCTTTCAATGATAAATCATAATAGATATAAAATACAAGATGTTAGTACTGTGATTTTATTTTACTTCCATTAATTGCGTCATTTAAAACTGTTTACAAAACAGCATGGATGCATTGTTTTTATGTTTTGAGTTTGTTTATGTTTTCTGTTAAATCTCAACTTTTGCCTTTAACAGCCGACGAAAAGTGGATTGTGGATTTTTCTTCTAACTTTACATGATGAGCTTTCAAGAGCCTCCAAGAATGTTTGTTTCAACAGTTTAAACACTTTCATCTCATATTTGTTGTGTCTCTTGGCAAACTAACATATTTACACGTTCTGTTTGGTTGGATTGCACTGAGGTTGTGACTTTTTTCTAATAATCAATCATTTCACTGACCGACCCAAATCTGGAAAAAAAATCTAACAGTTGGTTTTGCTCATATGTGACCTTTCACCATGAAATTAGCATTGAGTCAGAAATTGCCATTTTGCAGCACAGTGGGGCAAAGCCAAAATTTGAAGGGATGGTCGATTAGTTTGTGTTTTCAGGTGAACCCAATCTGTAAGTCCTGTTGTATCTTTTTTCCATTTGTTGGTTCTATCAAACACCATGAAAACCTATTTTCATCTCATTTACATGTAAGCAGTTGACTGTTCTTTCACTGTAATACAACATCAGGATTTTTAAATGTCATTTTTGAACAAATGAAATTTCCAACTGAAAGTTAGTTAGCGATTTATATTTGCATTTCTGAACTTAGTACCCCCTCTCCCCCCCCCCATGTTGTATAGAAAGCTCTTGTTCTGCAGAATTCAGAAATACCAAAAATCTTGTTACTTATAAAAATATCTGACTTTATGCTCATTTCATGTTGTTTGGTTCACTGAGCTAAGCTACCATTCGCGCCTGGGGCTTTGTGGCCCAACTTAAATAAGTGATGTTTAACCCTAACCCCCTAGGCTCTTGCACTAGAAAGTATACCAAACCTAACAAATTTCAACAGCTGCATACAGGTCTGTAAGCACTGGTACCAAAACTGCCAAACTCCAACAGGCCTTGTACGGGGAACAGTACTAAACCTGCCAAACTCCAACTGTTGGAGTATGATTGACTTGGTATGGATGGGCCTATGCATTGTCGAGTGATTGGATAGGGATGGTACCAAACCTAACAAAATAAAGCAATATGTACATGCACATTTGACCACAAGCTGTGCTGAGGACCATGGGTGAGCATACCCACGAAGAAATGCCAGTGAACTCCAACGTGTTCACAAATCTCATGCCCTTCTGCCCCGAACCTCACAAAATTCAACAGGGTCTCCCTGGGCCTTTGGTACCCAGTCAATCAAAGTCCAACACCAACTGGCCAGTGTTCGGTACCAACCCTGCCAAAATCAAGCAAAACCCGCTGTTGGAGCTTGATGGGCTCAGGGTTGTTAGGGTTAAAGATGGTTTCCTAGGATAAAATGGTGTTGGGAATTTGTCGCCAATTCACAAATGTTCCTGCTAAAAAGTTTCAGGGTAAATGGTGTGACTTTGACATGCTTTTTACAGGGAGGAGACCCAAGACACCTTGGCTGTTGTGGATTGGGGACAGAAGATGTCATTCTATCATCTTAGTGGACAACAGGTAAGACAAAAAGCAAAAACGTTGTCATAGGTTATCACAAGTCAATCACTAGTCAGTGACAAGTAATCCTAAGTCATCACAAGTCAATCGCTAGTCAATGACAAGTAATCCTAAGTCATCACAAGTCAGTCGCTAGTCAATGACAAGTAATCCTAAGTCATCACAAGTCAATCCCTAGTCAGTGACAAGCAATCCTAAGTCATCACAAGTCAATCACTAGTCAGTGACAAGTAATCCTAAGTCATCACAAGTCAATCGCTAGTCAATGACAAGTAATCCTAAGTCATCACAAGTCAATCCCTAGTCAGTGACAAGCAATCCTAAGTCATCACAAGTCAATCGCTAGTCAGTGACAAGTAATCCTAAGTCATCACAAGTCAATCGCTAGTCAATGGCAAGTAATCCTAAGTCATCACAAGTCAAATGCTAGTCAGTGACAAGTCATCCTAAGTCATCACAAGTCAATCGCTAGTCAATGACAAGTAATCCTAAGTCATCACAAGTCAATCGCTAGTCAATGACAAGTAATCCTAAGTCATCACAAGTCAAATGCTAGTCAGTGACAAGTCATCCTAATTCATCACAAGTCAATCGCTAGTCAATGACAAGTAAACCTAAGTCATCACAAGTCAATCGCTAGTCAATGACAAGTTAAGTCATCACAAGTCAAATGCTAGTCGGTGACAAGTCATCCTAAGTCATCACAAGTCAATCGCTAGTCACTGACAAGTAATTCTAAGTCATCACAAGTCAATCGCTAGTCAGTGACAAGTAACCTAAGTCATCACAAGTCAATCGCTAGTCAATGACAAGTAATCCCAAGTCATCACAAGTCAATCGCTAGTCAGTGACAAGTATTCCTAAGTCATCACAAGTCAATCGCTAGTCAATGACAAGTCATCCTAAGTCATCACAAGTCAATTGCTAGTCAGTGACAAGCAATCCTAAGTCATCACAAGTCAATCGCTAGTCAATCACAAGTAATCATAGGTCATCACAAGTCAATCACCAGTCAATGACAAGTAATCCTAAGTCATCACAAGTCAATCACTAGTCAGTGACAAGCAATCCTAAGTCGGCACAAGTTAATCGCTAGTCAATCACAGTTTCTCACTAGTCAGAACCTGTGACTAGTTGGTAACAGCCATCACAGTTGATCAATAGCCAATCACAGGTCATACGCAAAGCACATAGTTCCGCACTTTATGGGAAGGACCTTGTCTCTATACGATGCTTCGGATTTAGCAAGGTCATGTGTTATGTTGCGGTACGGTTGCACTGCGCTGCAGCAGTGTTTTTTTAATCAAGTTTATCATAAGTCCTTGATAGTCAAATCGTATGTCAGTTCACAAATACCAACTGCTTAACTTCCGCCTTTGTCATATTTCTTTTGTTTAGTTTTGAATTAAGATCGGATGACGTGATGACTTACCAGTAATAAGCCATTTGCAAGTTACATTTGAATAAAATCTGGAACACTGACTTAATAAGTCGATGCTTTGCACAATTTAACTTTGCATTCTCCCGACCAATGAGTACTATATCACAAGATTTCGGGCAAGCCTTATGCTAACAACTCCCAGTTCCGGCATGGTCTGGTGTCTTTGTGTCATTCTCACCCATTGTGAACAATGTATTGATGCTGAGCGTCTCTTACGTAACTATGCAAGAGCTTGCCCCGAATCGTGTGATTAGCAACAGTGTCTTTGGTCTGGAGAATTCAAAGTTAAAATGTGCCAAGCATTCCGAGCAAGTCAGTGTACCAGACGTTTTTCAAATTTAAATCCCAAAGGGTGAAGGTCACTCGCAAATGCCTTTTTAAACTCTGTGTTAATATGTCACATTGCAGTGATGGTGCCACAGGTACTTCCCTGCACTACGCAAGACCCTATTCATGTCAAAACAACAAAAAGCCACGTGCCAGACAGTGTCCAGGCAGTTGCCAGACAGTGCACTTAAAATATAATTGACTGGCGGCTGTGGTTTGCGGCTATGAAGGGAGATGGCTGTGTCAAGTTACAGGTGTTTGTATATGTTTCAATGAGACTTGGCAGGCGGCCTGGTCGAAAGTTTGTTGACACGGCTTGGGTGAAGCCCTGGCTGCAAAGTTCATTAAACCAGCTGATTTGGCATGGCTTGAATGCGGATTAGATGGAAGGTGACCGTCATTGGCCCTCAATTTTTTTTTTTTTCCAAAAAATTTGGTCACCTGCGTACCCACGGTACGGAGGTCACTCTGCGCAGGGTTAATTTTCACCATTTTGTTGTTGATCCCCCAGACTGGCAAAGAGAAGAGCCTTGGTTTTGACCCATGCTGCCTGAGCTACTTCTCCCGTGGTGAATACATGGTGATAGGTGGCGCCAACAAGCAGGCTGCCTTGTACACCAGGGACGGGGCGCAACTAGGAGTGATCGGGGAACAGAACTCATGGGTCTGGTGCTGTGAGGTTAGACCTGATCAGAACTACGTGGTAAGCTGTTCAAGTCCTTCCCAGAAATTGATTTATTCACACTTTTTTTTGGAAACATGCAAGGCAAATTTGTGTTTCATCTTTGACCCAGAAAGAAGTTGTTGAGATGCTGTGAAGAAACCGTTGCCTACTCATTAGAGCCACTTGTAATAGTTATGGACCCCATGTACAAATACCTCCTCAACGGTTACAAAGGGAGAGGACATTTGATCGCATCATCGTTGGCTCCTGATGCTCAGGCAAAGATGCCTCAGAATTTTGCCACATGTTCTGCTTCATATGCCCCAGCCGACACTGCATTATGTGGAAGTTTTCTATTGTTAACCCTAACCCCCTAGGCCCTTGTTGCTTACAACCATCCTCAATCCTCCAAAATCCTCCAAAATTTTGCAACTCCGCCTAAATTTTTCAAAATTGTCAGACAGTCCTGCCTCAAAATGCATTCATCCTCAATCCTCCAAAATCCTCCTCATCCCAAAATTTCACACTCGTGTTTAAATGAAGGATAACCAACGCCAAATCCTTCAAATTCATCAGACAGTCCTGCCTCAAAATGCATTCATCCTCAATCCTCCAAAATCCTCTTGTGCTTCAATCACCATTCATCCTCAATCCTCCAAAATCCTCATGTGCTTCAATCACCATTCATCCTCAATCCTCCAGAATCCTCATGTGCTTCAATCACCATTCATCCTCAGTCTTCTAGAATCCTCATGTGCTTCAATCACCATTCATCCTCAGTCCTCTAGAATCCTCATGTGCTTCAATCACCATTCATCCTCAATCCTCCAGAATCCTCATTTGATTCAATCACCATTCATCCTCAATCCTCTAGAATCCTCCAAAACCGCCAGGAGGATTTTGGAGGAGTGAGGTGGGTTAGGGTTAAGGAAACTTGGACCGAGTTATGGGGACTTTCTGCTGTCCCCATAGGGTCTTTGGTCCCCATAGTAGCTATCACTCAACAGGTGTGCGGTCTCCACAATTACAGAACAAGATTGTGTGTTTCACACTGTACACACACAAAGCAGTAGGCTCACACGGTGTGCCCTTCCTACTGGGGCTTTCAAAAATGCTGAAAAGTACCATCTATTCTTTGTGCACTACATCATTAGTGTGTGTGCCCACATCGCTTTGTGCCCATATGGTCCACGGTAGTAGTACATAGTTTTAAAGCTATAGTCCATCATTTGCAGCTATCCGAAAAGTAACTGGCGTAATTATTGTTGAAAAACAGATAGTAAGGGTACTAAACTCCCTGTGAAATTATTCTTTCTGGCAAGCTGTCATTTTGAAGTAATCGACGAAAGAAGGCCTTTCCAACGGTGCTTCTTAAGACGCACCGTAGGAAAATGTAAATTAGTAGTTCGTTTTGTTATTCAGCGAAGCGCGCGCAAGCATTGGCACGACGCACACGCACTCCCGGTTGCTATAATTCGTCGGAATCAGTGCGCGACATCGCGTAGCTGCAATCGGCTCAGCGAGAACGTGTCTCGGACGCTGAATTCAGGCGCAATTCAAAACATGATTCAGCAACTTTTGATTTGAAATTGATATCCTAGAATGCTGTTTTTCTCGGAGTATACAGCTGAAGCTGAGCTGAAACTTCATTAGGTTAGTTGTTCAGTACCCTTCTTTAGATTTTGAGCACTTTTGTTGCTTCAAACGAACAATATGCACAAATTACAAATGATGGACTATATCTTTAATATAATGCATATAACTGAGCTCAGTTTAGTACCACTGCAATGCAAAAAATATTGCTTAGAAAATGTTTGTGCTTAGCAGTTAGCTTGAGACCATCACTTACAGCATAAACTGCAATGACATTTTGGCAGCTTACCGGTCGTTTCAAGAAATAATTCTGTTCTTGAAATGTCCTGGGTCCAGTTTCATGAAGTTGAAAATTTTGCTTTTGTGTTCAGCAAGTATTAGCTGGGAAAAAACACAGACAATCACAAACAGTATATATTGTATGCTAATTCCACTGGTAAAGTTTGTTTTCTAAGCATCATCTTCTGTGCTTAGCCAGTCTTTGCAAAGCTGGGAACCGGTCACAAGCAGTATATATTACAAGTTAATTTGGCTGGTCATGTGCTTAGCGAGTTTCTGTGGATAGCAGGGAACCAGTGACAAGCAGTATATATTAAATGTTAAATTTGGCTGGTCAAATTTTTTTCTAAGCAAAATTTTCATGTGCTTAGCGAGTTTCTGTCTACAGCTGGGAACCAGTGGCAAGCAGTGTACATTGCATGATAATTTGGCTGGTAACCAAATTTTGCTGGGCAAATATTTTACATGCTACCAGTAATAACATCGATGTGTAATAATTCTGACGTGGATTTTTTTGCAGGCCATTGGTTGTCAGGACGGCACTATAGCATTCTACCAGCTGGTCTTCAGCACGGTGCATGGCTTGTACCGTGACCGCTACGCTTACCGGGAGAACATGACCGACGTCATCATTCAACATCTCATCACGGATCAGAAGGTCCGCATCAAGTGTCGGGACATGGTCAAGAAGATTGCCATCTATAAACATAGGCTGGCGGTAAGTTATAGATATCCGGAAGGGAACAGTAGATGACGGTGTGCGGCCTTTTGTGTGGTCTTGTCATATCAAAACCAATGAATGGTCTGTTATGTGCGTGTATTCATTCATGTGGATTATTCACGCAAGGTGCACGAAAAACATTTTCAACTGAACGAAAAACATTTTCAACTGAACGGAAACCAGTAACATTTTTAGCAAGAGGAATGCGAGAGGGATGCTGGGGAGTCAGGTTGGCATAGCGGTACTTTCCTCGCCTTCCACCGCTGTGACCCGGGTTCAAATGTGGATTGGGTTTTCAGTCCCTACCTGATTCCGTGGGTTTTCCCCAGAATATTCTTTTGGGTTTTTCCTCCCACCTCTAAAACTGCAATTTCTTCACATTCACTTCTCTCCACAGGTTTCTTCAGGCTTTTGAGCTTACAGTGCCTAGAGGGCACTATTTGGGGAATCCTTGGTTTCATTACCAGAAGTAATAAATAAATATGTAAATAATTAAAGACCAAGTGCATAGTTAAAATGGATCATTGGAAGTGTCCAGCAACAACGGTATATCCTATATATAATCTTAAGAACTCAATATATTACCTCTCTACATTTGGGGAGTCAGGTTGGCGTAGCGGTTCTTTCCTCGCCTTCCAAGGCTGTGACCCAGGTTCGATTCCTGCCCGGGCCAATATGTGGATTAGGTTTTCAGTCCCTACCTGATTCCGTGGGTTTTCCTCAGAATATGCTTCTGGGGTTTTCCTCCCACCCCTAAAACTGTAATTCTTTCTCATTGTCTTCTCTCTACAGGTTTCTTCAGGCTTGCGAGCCACAGTGCGTAGGGTGCTTTTGAGGAATCCTTGGTTTCATTACCAGAAATAATTAATAAGGCAAAAAAAAAAAAAAAAGTCAGTCTCTGGTCAGCGCGCGCGTCGATTTTAATCATGCGCGTCAATCTTTTCTTTTTTTCAAAATGTTCTGCGGTAGCTCCAACAGCGCCCTCTATTGCCGCACCTCCTCAATTTTTTTTACCAAAGAGCACCAAGGAATGGGAAATTGCACCAAGGCAAATGATCGAAAGCACCAAGGCAAATTAGGGAGCACACCAATGTACATGAGGACACCAAAAAAGCAAAATAGTACCCCACCTTGTCTGTACAATCCAAGCTTGAAGAAAAAAAAAAAAAAAGCAAAAAAAAAAAAAAAAGCCGCGTCGCCGCATCAATTCCGGAACTTTGGTCTGACCAGAGACCGAATATTTTTTTTTTTTGGCCTAATAATAATATTTGTTTCCTTCTTATCTGCAGGTCCAACTATCAGACAAGATCGTAGTGTATGAACTGATTTCGGACGACGCGTCAGACATGCATTACAGAGTCAAAGAGAAAATCAACAAGAAGTTTGATTGCAACTTGCTGGTGGTCTGCTCCCTCAACCTGATCCTGTGCCAGGTAAGGCCGCGTCTATATTAGTGTGTGTGACTGCTAGCCGTAGCCATGTCATTCAGATGTAGCCTCAGTATGCGGTTTGTCCAAGCCACTGGAAGCAGCTGCAGCCACATCCCATAGACATGTGTGTGACTGCTAGCCGTAGCCATGTCATTCAGATGTGGCCTCAGTATGTCCAAGCCACTGGAAGCAGCTGCAGCCACATCCCATAGACATGTGTGTGACTGCTAGTCGTAGCCATGTCAGTCAGATGTGGCCTCAGTATGTCCAAGCCACTGGAAGCAGCTGCAGCCACATCTCATAGACATGTGTGTGACTGCTAGCCGTAGCCATGTCATTCAGATGTGGCCTCAGTATGTCCAAGCCACTGTCTGAAAGATATAGTCCATCATTTGTAATTTGTGCATTTTGTTTGTTTGAAGCAACAAAAGTGTTCCAAATCTAATGAAGGATACTGAACAACTAACCTGATGAAGTTTCGGCTCAGCGTCAGCTGTATATTCCGAGAAAGACAGCATTCTAGGATCTCAATTTCAAATTCAAAGTTGCTGAATCATGTTTTGAATTGGGCCTGAATTCAGCGTCCGAGACACGTTCTCACTGAGCTGATTGCAGCTAAACGCGATGTCGCGCACTGATCCGACGAATTATAGCAATCGCGTGTGCGTTGTGCCAATGCTTGCATGCGCTTTGCCGAATAACAAAACGAACTACTAATTTCAATTTTCCTACGGTGCGTCTTAAGACGCACCGTTGGAAAGGCCTTCTTTCATTGATCACTTCAAAATGACAGCTTGCCAGAAAGAATAATTTCACAGGGAGTTTAGTCCACTTACTATCTTTCAACCAAGCATGTTTTTCAACAATAATTACGCCAGTTACTTTTCGGATGGCTGCAAATGATGGACTGTAGCTGTAAAACTTTATCACGTTTTTTACATTCCACTGATGTGGCCTTAAAAGTTGTCAACTAGATTAGACCACGGATCCTCTACACAAGGATAAACGACTCATCTGAGCTTGTGTACAAAATGTACAGAACAGATTGTCTACATGCGTGATATGCTGCGTCCACACATAGAACAACACATAGAACGTGTAGAACAATGGGCGCGCGCCATGATCGCCGACAGTTGGCGTCCTGACAGAAATTTGACCACGGAAAGACTGCATTCCTGTGCCAAGTCTGGCACGCACACGACGCGCAAGTGCCGTATTACGCCTTTAAAGGGAAAATACAACATTTGCAAACATCAAAAAATAAAACTACCAAATCATTTTGAAATACCTTGCTGGACTGTTAGTGAATGACAGTGTAAAGCATCCTGTAAAATCATGGCACCTGTTATACTGTCATTTTCAAGAAAAGTGGTATTTTTGTATCAATTTCCAACGCTGATCGGCCGATCAGCGTTGGAAAAAACTGGCTTTTTTTCAAATACTGGCCCCAATTGACAATCGCACTTGTTTGCAATCGATTACAAACCTATGAACGGGTACGAGCCAGCAAGACTGGTTCCCTGACCTTACAATTCCCCAATGTATGTAAACTGCTCTGTTTCTTCTTATATGGAGTCAGGGAACCAGACTACAGGAAAATGATTGTTTTTCTTGGTTTTATAGCATTTTCGAACCCAAAACCTCAAAAAAGTCAGTGTAACTATTTTTGCTATATATTTCCAACCCCCCAATTCCATCCATTTCTGAAAATTACAGCAAAAGCAAATGATGTATATTCCCTTTAACCAGAAATGTGGGAAAGTTGTTTTTCTTCGTGTAGAGGATCCGTCATTAGACTAGCCTACAAATGGGCTAAGAAATATCTTTTCTCAAACTTTATTTGATCATAGCATAAACTTTCCTTTGCTTTCCCACTTTTTTGTTCAGGAGAAACGTTTGATAAGTCTGAGCTTCAAAGGCATCAAGGAGCGTGAGTGGGTGATGGAGGCCTTGATCCGATACATCAAGGTCATCGGTGGGCCGTCGGGGAGAGAAGGACTGCTTGTAGGTCTCAAGAACGGACAGGTGGGTCTTTAATGGAAGTTGTCTATTGCAAGACTAAAAGCCAATCAAACATAACGGGCTATGAAATAAAATACAGACACATGTCGCTGTACCTCACAAACACCTGAGCGTGTGGTCGTGATACGAGCTATGCAGTACCTAATCTGAAAGCATCCACAAGCAGACAAGGTACAGTGGAATGTCGCTGTACATTTGGCTACTTTTGGCTACATTTGGTGGCTACATTCGGCTATACCGATCATCGTCTAGGCTCCCGATTTTTGTGTACAAAACGTACCCAAAATTGTTGTTGAAAAATGTCAACAGAAGAGCGACAAGTGACTATTATTTCCCCAAGGAATAGAAGGGAAAAGCCACCCATTGACGTAGGTAGTAAGCTCAAAAACTGTGTAAGTACATAATTCAATAGTCAGCACGTGTTCGAAGTCGTCTTTCAGTGACTACCAGGGCGTGCAGGGTAAAAATCTGAAGGGCACTATTTATTGAAAAGTCCGTACTGGAGCACTGGTAGCTTAAAATCGCTATCTCGAACGATCACTATTGCGAACATTTCTGTGGATCTCGCAATGTTCGTTATAGTGGCATTTCACTGTACTCGTAACAAATTGTGTATAGCGAAGAACTATTTTGGGATACGTTTTTGATTAGCACAGATATTGTAATGATATCTCTACTACCCAAGCAGTGTTCTCCAATCTGTAAAAATAACCCGGTGCCCCGCCAAGACGAACCACAGGCCTGACAGTTGGATACCACTGTGACCTAAACCACTGCAGTAACCCCCTAGGCCCTTTTTGCTAAGAACCATCCTCAAATCCTCCAAAATTTTGCAACTCCGCCTAAATTTTTCAAAATTGTCAGACAGTCCTGCCTCAAAATGCATTCATCGTCAATCCTCCAAAATCCTCCTCATCCCAAAATTTTGCACTCGTGTTTAAATGAAGGATAACCAATGCCAAATCTTTCCAAATCATCAGACAGTCCTGCCTCAAAATGCATTCATCCCCAATCCTCCAAAATCCTCTTGTGCTTCAATCACCATTAATTCATCCTCAATCCTCCAAAATCCTCATGTGCTTCAAATTTCAATTACCATTCATCCTCAATCCTCCAGAATCCTCATTTGATTCAATCACCATTCATCCTCAATCCTCTAGAATCCTCCAAAACTGCCAGGAGGATTTTGGAGGGGTGAGGTGGGTTAGGGTTGATGCTGCTTAAGCGTGCTGGAATCCTCCAAAGTTTCTACACCTAGGGTATCGGTATCTTTTGAGTTGTTCTTAATCGGCACGAGTTATTGACACACAATTTTTGTCTCTTCTTCAGATTTTGAAGCTGTTTGCCGACAACCCATTTCCCATCCTGATCTTGAAGCAGCAGACCTCTGTACGATGTCTGGATATCAGCTGTTCTCGGACCAAGCTCTCCGTCGTGGATGAGCACAATACGTGTTTGGTGTATGACGTCAATACGAAGGAACTGCTGTTTCAGGTAAGCCTACCTGTTAAGTTGCAGTATTGTGGTCAAGTTCTCTTCCGAGTCATTTTTTGTTACATTATCGGTTAGTTATGCAGTATCGGTTAATTTTTGTGACATTATCGGTTGGTGATACATTATCAGTTGTAACATGCTGTACATGGTGCCCGGATGTGCTGTATTCTCGTAACATTTTACGTGAAAGGTCTAGTCAACTTGCGTGCTCTATTTCTTCCTGTAGGAGCCCAACGCCAACAGCGTAGCCTGGAACACCCAATACGAGGACATGTTGTGCTTCTCAGGTAACGGCATGCTGAACATCAAGGCCAGTAACTTCCCCGTCCACCAGCAGAAGCTGCAAGGGTTTGTGGTCGGTTTCGCCGGGTCCAAGATCTTCTGTCTGCACGTGTACGCCATGACGACCGTGGAGGTGCCGCAGTCAGCGCCTATGTATCAGTATCTGGAGAGGAAACAATTCAAGTGAGTAGACGAGGCTCAAATGGGTGATTTTGCTGGAAAATTGTAGTTACAGTTTAATGTCACTATAGCAAACATCGCGGGATCCACATAAGCTGTTCGTAATAGCGATCGTTCTGTGTAGCGATTTTAGGTCGATACTTACCAATGTGTGGTTTTCACACATTATTGGCGCCCTCTTTTGACAATTGTAGTGTGGTGGCATTTACAAACCACACGCTGATTCGCCAAACTTGTCCATTCATCTTTTCAATTCCATAAGCAGAACTTCACCTTGTACGCCCTGGTAGTTACTAAAAACGACTTTGAACACGTGCTGACTATTGAATCATGTCACTACATGGGCGACTTTTGCCTTCTTTCCTTGGGGAAGTCATAGTCATTTGTCGTTCTTCTGTGGACATTTTGCAACAACAATGTTCGGTACGTTTTGTACACAAAAATTGGGAGCCAACGATGATGTTCGGTACAGCCAAATGTTCGGTACAGCGGTGTTCTGTTTAGCGGCGTTCCACTGTGTACAAGGATCCATGAGTTTTGATTACAAGGGAATCGTCAGACAGTACTATCAGCAACTGTTCCATCACTGAGCTAATTGGCCTCATTCACGAGTCAGCCATATTGGATTGAGAGTGAAGTGAAAATCTTCATTTGTGATGCGATCAAGCTAATGAGTCGTTTGTTGGGAACTTTCATTTGGAGATTCAGGCCAAAATAGGGTCACTTCATCACATCACTTCATCACATCACTTCATCACATCTCTTGGTGTTCCGACTTCCATAATTTCTGAACTAAAGATGGTACTAGCATGCAGTTTTCACAGCAGTGATGCTGAGATTGTGCTCTTTTTAAATCTGTAAAAAAAAAAAAATATGACCAGGGTCGACAAACGACTCATTTAGCTTGATGCATCACATTTTTGGAATTTGTGTAGAGAAATTAAAGCAATGACGTTACAAATTTATATCAGTCTGCTCTGATGAATAGTTTATAATTTGTGATTAAACATGCTGTAATGTTTTAAGCCACATTTATAAAAAAAAAAAAAAAAAAAAAGTGAGGCTCTAGTGAATAAATAGTCTGGCACCATCCCATTCAACAGTTCACAATTTATGAAATACATTCAGGGAATGTGACAAAAAATTGCCAACTTGTGCATAAGGCCCATACTTCTCAACCTCACAAATTGGTCTCAAAAGTTTCATGCCATTAAAGAACAACTATAAGAACTAGGAAACAGAGTTGTAGTCAAGTCCATCACAAGTCCACGCTGTTGCAAGTCTCGTCACAAGTAATATATCCTAACCGCCCTAAATCCTTCAAAATCCTCTTTGCCAAAGTGGAGGAATTTGGAGGATTGAGGTTACATGGCAAAAGTGTGGTACTGATTTTGTAGGATGCACTTTGTCAAGGTCTTGGGCCGGACCTTGTGTTGTTTTTGCTCAGCCATGCATAAATATAGGCCTGGATTATGCTTGAAATCCTCCATACTGCTCCAGGATGTCACTGGCCAAGCCTCAATATATTGACAGTCACTGCTGCAGGATTTTGCAGGATTCAGGCAGTGGTCACCCTTCGACGGACCATATTCAAAAGATAATGGAGGAATTTGCAGGATGAGGCTACATCCTAAAAAAAGGCCTATATAGGGAGTTAAGGTTAACAAGTCTTTTCACAAGTCCAGTCGCAAGTAACATGGGATGAACAATAACAAAGGAATCCCTTTGTCACAGTTTATCTGAATGGTATACTCTTGATGGACTCAACTATGACATTGCTAGAAATTGTCTCTGTAAAATGACAGTCCACCGTGTGTGTTAGTGCCTGCTGATGATGATGTTGCTTATAGGAGTTGGTGTCAATGTGTGACATCGACTTCCATGATAACTATGCGTGCCGCTGTAACAAGCAGCATGCATAGTTAGTTGAGTGATACTCGCGCAAGGGCCATCTGAAGCATAAACCACTACACACGACTGTGGCATCCCGGGTCATACCCTCAATCAACAATACTTAAAAATGATCTGAATTTCTTCCATTTCACTCTGAAGTCTAGTTACAGAGATAAGTAACAAAGTGATAGTTAAACTCCTATTCATAAATACCTCAGACAGTTTAGCTATTCCTATTGGTCGAGAGCCCGTCACGTGGCCGGTCTTAAACGGATGATAAAGACATGGCTAGCTAGTCTTAAACGCTTTTCCAGTGTCACAATAAAATGTGGACTCCTAAAAATCCGGTGCCTCTTACCGTTTTATTGGTTGAACGTTCACAATCCTCACGTGGGCATGCGCAACACTACCAGCGAGTCAGAATTTAATAGTTCTAAATTCAACACGCAACGCCCCAGGTGCGTTCTGCGCGACATCGCGCAGAACATGCTACGCGCGCGTCAATCTCCATAAAAGGGTTGTTTACATCTTACTCACCAGCTGAACACTCCATTATTTTGCTAGAGGGATGTTTCAAAAAGCATGAAGTGAACTTGTTGAACAAAATCAGGATTTTTTGAACGAATTATTTGATTTTTTTTTACCAAAAAGGTATTTATGAATGGGAATAAATATGTGCTCAGTCGGTATTTATCACTCTGTTTAAGACCGCTTCGGGTAATTATCAGCACCCAGTCTCTAAGCGGTCTTAAACAGAGTGATAAAAACCTCTCGAGCACACATTTATTCCCTTATTGTAAAATACTGTTCTTGTAAATATTCTTGTTAGTTTGGCTTGATTGTGTTCTAAGAGAACAAGCTAGCTTCCAAAACTAAACAATTTATAATGAGGTATTTTCGAGAATCGAAAACCGCCATCATGCTCCCATCATTTTATAAAGCCACACTCTTTCAAGAGCTTCATCAAAAAGCTCAATCTTTTTTCACGTTCCTAGTCTTATTTCCTGGGTCAAGAGTCCTTTTGGACTAAAGGTGCTTCCTGTCTTTTCTTGGCATTATCTACTAAAAATAAAAAGGGGAAAAGAAGAGAGTAACCGTGAGATGTTTGAAGATCAGCTCTCTTTGGAGAGCTACTTAGCTTACAAAGATGCTCTTTGATAACTAAAACTTGGACGTTACAGTGTTCGGAAAGATTTCCATATACAAAGTTCACTCAACACCCTGTGTACAAACCCTATGAGATTGGACTGAACAATTGTAAGTGTTTTCTAAGAAAATGCTTGTATTTTCTCACTGCTGAAATTGACTTTGATGACATGAAATTGCTATCTGGGGGCTTGTAAGTCAATACAGAGGAAAATTAGTGAACTTCATATATGGAAATCTTTCCCAGTGTTCCACTCATATGTGATGGTACCTGGGTTCAAACCCTGATTGGGAACATGGTGCTTGTGTTCTTGGGCAAGGCACTTTACTACAATTGCCTCTCTCCACCCAGGAGTATAAATGTGTACCTGTGATGGTATAGACCAGATTGCACTGATCTCGAGCTGTTGCAGAAAAAACTGTCTCATGGCCTGGTGAACAGGGGTAAAAAGTTTGAAACACTTTGAGACTATGGTATACGGCGCTATACAATGTATAAACCCAAATGATTATATTTCTGCGTTAGGGATGCCTACCGTGTAGCCTGCCTGGGTGTTACCAACAAGGACTGGACGGCCTTGGCACACGAGGCCATGGAAGGCTTGGACTTTGACACGGCCAAGAAGGCTTTCATCAGGGTGCGAGATATCCGCTACTTGGAGCTCATTCACAGCATAGAGGTAGGTGGCATGGTGCACCAGGTGGTGCAAGCTGCTTAAGGGGCTGATATCATGAGCTGTTTAGCATAGAAACTTGCTTAACACAAAAAAAATATTGCTCAGGAAAAATAGATTACCGACACAAATGTTATGTTTTGTACAGGGTGAGTAAAAAAAAGCGAAACCCAATCCCCAAAAATTATATTCCATATTTTAAAAAATATGTAGCACCAAAAATAATAATGACTGGAAAGCCAATTTCATAAGCTACTTTAGATAAAAAAAAATACTGAAAGTGATCAATCCGTTGAGAAAATATCACTATTTAAACACAATGACCCTAAAACCTGTCTTGTCCAAAAAAATGCGATTTCAAGAATCGTCGTCGCAATGGTCTTCAAACATCACCAGCGATAAAATCTCAGTTTAAACGTTACAAATATTCAACAGAATCCCTTTGAAGGCCCGTCCTTTAAAAAAGTAGATTTTATAAATCATATTGTTTGCCTAACCAGGGTTGTTAATAAAGATATTGTGTACTACAGTTGGTGACAGTTGTTGAAACAAGTATTCTGTGTCATTTTCTTTGTTGTTCCAAACAGTCAAAACACACAATGAATTGCTTTTTTTTTGGACGAGACAGGTTTTAGGGTCATTGTGTTTAAGTTGTGATATTTTTTTAACAGATTGAGCAATTTCAGTAATTTTTTCATCTAAAAGTAGCTTTTGAAATTGGCTTTCCAGTCATTATTATTTTTGGTGCTACATATTTTTTTAAATATGCAATATATTTTATGGGGTTTGGGTTCCACTTTTTTGACTCACCCTCACAGCAGATTTTTCCAAGCAGATTAATTTGCGGAGTAACAGATTCTGCTTAGTAGCTCTGTGAAATAAGCCCTTGAAAATTTACTTAGCAAATTTATGTGCCAAGTGAAAACCAGCTGAGACCCATTGAAAGGCAGAGTACAACCCAAGGCAGTTTTGCTTGTCACCTATTCGCAATTAAATTGGACCCAGTTTATATTGGTAAGTTAGCACAATATTGGTAAGTAGCACAATGTTGGAATATCTCAGTTGTTCCTCTCCGTCATCAGGAGATGCTAACAATGACATGGCCTAGTTTGTTATTCCCAACTTGATCATTAAGGCTGTCCAAACTTTAAACAAAAAATGTGTAGCACATTTGGTAGCAGAGTCTGAAGATGTAACACATATCCTGCTCAAGATGTCCAGGGCAGTGTGGTCTAGTGGTTAGAGTTTGTGACTTATGATCAGAGGGTCAGGGGTTAGAATCCAGCTGCTGTCATTGTATCATGTCCTTCAGCAAGCCACTAGACCCCAACTTGCTAATATTTAGTGACATAGCAGCCAGTAATAAATTGAAATGACCATCATGGCCGCAGGCACCCGGCTTTTTCAAACGTTCTGTTTCATTTTCTGAAACACAGCCTCTTTATGTAAACCTAGTTATGGTCCTATGAAGGTTCCCAGCCTTACATGGCAGCTCAGTTTTGGTCGTATAAAGGTCCCTCTAATTTTACATATTAATCCTATTCTAGTCCTATAAAGGTCTCCCTAGCCTTACATGTCAGCCCAGTTATGGTCCTATAAAGGTCCCTCTATAGGACTATAACAGGTGTAACCTGTGATGGACTGACACCTCACCCAGGAAAATAGAAAAACTCAGTCAGTTCATGCAAAGGAAACTAGAGATAAAGACAAACATGCTGAGTCGATTGGCTCGTACAAACTGTACTTGCAATTGGCACATACTGAACAGGTTTATTTCAGAAATAGGCAGACACACAGATTCCTTTAATGTTTTTTTGTTGACAGGAGCGCAAGCGTCGAGGTGAAGTCAACGACCAGTTATTCCTAGCTGATGTCTACGCCTACCAGGGCAAGTTTGCTGAGGCTGCCAAGCTGTACAAGAGAGCTGGCCAAGAGCAGCGGGCCATGAACATGTACACCGATCTACGAATGTTTGACCATGCAAAGGTAAAAGCAAAAAGTGTTCCAACGGAAGGATGAAAAATCCTTCGTATTTTAAAGGTATAGTCCATCATTTGTAAGTTGTGCATTTTGTTCGTTTGAAGCAACAAACGTGCTCAAAATCTGAAGAAGGGTGCTGAACAACTAACCTGATGAAGTTTCAGCTCAGCTTCAGCTGTATATTCCAAAAAAAACACAGCATTCTAGGATCTCGATTTCAAATCAAAAGTTGCTGAATCATGTTTTGAATTGGGCCTGAATTCAGCGTTCGAGACACGTTCTCACTGAGCCGATTGCAGCTATGCGATGTCGCGCACTGATCCGACGAATTAAAGCAACCGCGCGTGCGTGTGCGTCCTGCCAATGCTTGCACGCGCTTCGCCGAATAACAAAACGAACTACTAATTTGAATTTCCTATGGTGCGTCTTAAGAAGCACCGTTGGAAAGGCCTTCTTTTGTTGATTTCTTCAAAATGACAGCATGCCAGAAAGAATAATTTCACAGAGAGTTTAGTCCCATTATAGCCTTGGTCAATGCTCTCGTCGTTATTCGTCCCGTACGCGGTCGTATATATCCTCACGCGCTATGCACATGCATGTAAAAATACAGCGCGAACAGCGACCTCACATGGCTACTATTTTTTATGCAAATCAGTTGGAGATGATCTCGAGCCTTGGTTCAATCGTCGGCCAAAGCTTATGTTTTTCTTTACTTTGCGCTAGATTTCCAGCGCACGACCTCGTATGCGAATACAGATAATGTAGGCAGGGCTAATATGTGGAGTGTCCAATCACACCTTGGTAAATCCGGACGTCATCAAATTATTTGCAGCTATTCCGCCTTTTGCGGACGTGACAGGAACCACAGTTTTTGTGCATTGGTGCCGTGTGCAGAGACACACAATGTGTTAGTGTATGGATTATGTACGGTGCAACGTTTCACTATGCAAGTTTCCACGCAACGATCGACCAATAAGAAAACGACATTTAAGGTCAGCTAAGGCTATTAACATAATGAGCACCACCCCCAAAAATTCACATGGACGATTGAACCAAGGCTCGACATCGTCTCCAACTGATTTGCATAAAAATAGTGGCCGTGTGAGGTCGCTGTTCGCGCTGTATTTTTACATGCATGTGCTAGCGCATTGACCGCGTACGGGACGAATAACGACGAGAGCATTGACCAAGGCTAGTCCCATTACTATCTTTCAACCAAGTATGTTTTTCGACACTAATTACGTCAGTCATTTTTTTGGATAGCTGCAAATGATGGACTGTAGCTTTAACATTGGGAGAAGTTAATTTGATTCTCTGCATGAAGTGGCTAACTGAAAGATTTTGGTTCTGAGAAGAATCAGATGTATTAACTTTATTTTTATAGTCAGTCTGCTCTGACCATTAAATTAAACAGGTGTGAGATAACATTAAACAGGCATGAGATTTTTCAAACGTTTGTCTGAAATCAGACTTTTTGAATCGCAGAGAAAGACACTATTAGTGTAGAAAGATATGCATTTTCATACATTTAGTCAATTGTCAGACTTTTTTTCAATTGACAATCTCATCCCTGTTTAAAATGGTTGATTTCTTGATTGTAACTTTTTTGTATAATTATTTTATCGGTTTTGTGGGGTTTTTTTTTTTTGGGGGGGGGGGGATTTAGGGGAAGTGGATATTCAAGATATTCATAAGTTGCATTCTGCCATTTATTTGAAAAAGAAATAACATTTCAAATCTTGATACCAAATACTTCAGCTCCGATTCAGCTCCAAACTCATTCACACAAACAGGAGAGATCTCAAGATTATCTCTTTTTTAATTTGAAAGGAGTTCATTGGTTCGGGAGATCCACAAGACAAGAAGCTCTTGATCACCAAGCAAGCTGACTGGGCTAAGAACATCAACGAGCCTCGGGCAGCTGCCGAGATGTACCTGTCAGCCGGAGAACACCTCAAGGCAATCGAGATCATCGGAGACCATAACTGGGCTGACATGTAAGACTGAAGACCTTTATAGGACCATAACTGGGCCGACATGTAAGGCTAAACCTTTAAAGGACTATAACTGGGCTGACATGTAAGGCTGCAGACCTTTATAGGACCATAACTGGGCTGACATGTAAGGCTAAACCCTTATAGGACCATAACTGGGCTGACATGTAAGGCTAAACCTTTATAGGACCATAACTGGGCCGACATGTAAGGCTAAACCTTTATAGGACCATAACTGGGCTGACATGTAAGGCTAAACCTTTATAGGACCATAACTGGGCTGACATGTAAGGCTAAACCCTTATAGGACCATAACTGGGCTGACATGTAAGGCTAAACCTTTATAGGACCACAACTGGGCTGACATGTAAGGCTAAACCTTTAAAGGACCATAACTGGACTGACATGTAAGGCTGCACCCTTATAGGACCATAACTGGGCTGACATGTAAGGCTAAACCCTTATAGGACCATAACTGGGCTGACATGTAAGGCTAAACCTTTATAGGACCATAACTGGGCTGACATGTAAGGCTAAACCTTTATAGGACCATAACTGGGCTGACATGTAAGGCTAAACCTTTATAGGACCATAACTGGGCTGACATGTAAGGCTAAACCCTTATAGGACCATAACTGGGCTGACATGTAAGGCTAAACCTTTATAGGACCATAACTGGGCTGACATGTAAGGCTAAACCTTTATAGGACCATAACTGGGCTGACATGTAAGGCTAAACCTTTATAGGACCATAACTGGGCTGACATGTAAGGCTAAACCTTTATAGGACCATAACTGGGCTGACATGTAAGGCTAAACCTTTATAGGACCATAACTGGGCTGACATGTAAGGCTAAACCTTTATAGGACCATAACTGGGCTGACATGTAAGGCTAAACCTTTATAGGACCATAACTGGGCTGACATGTAAGGCTAAACCTTTATAGGACCATAACTGGGCTGACATGTAAGGCTAAACCTTTATAGGACCATAACTGGGCTGACATGTAAGGCTAAACCTTTATAGGACCATAACTGGGCTGACATGTAAGGCTAAACCTTTATAGGACCATAACTGGGCTGACATGTAAGGCTAAACCTTTATAGGACCATAACTGGGCTGACATGTAAGGCTAAACCTTTATAGGACCATAACTGGGCTGACATGTAAGGCTAAACCCTTATAGGACCATAACTGGGATGGCATGTAAGGCTAAACCTTTATAGGACCATAACTGGGCTGACATGTAAGGCTAAACCTTTAAAGGACCATAACTGGGCTGACATGTTAGGCTAAACCTTTATAGGACCATAACTGGGCTGACATGTGAGGCTGCAGACCTTTAAAGGACCATAACTGGGCTGACATGTAAGGCTAAACCTTTATAGGACCATAACTGGGCTGACATGTAAGGCTGCAGACCTTTATAGGACCATAACTGGGCTGACATGTAAGGCTAAACCTTTGTAGGACCATAACTGGGCTGACATGTAAGACTGGAGACCATTATATGAACATAGCTGGGTTGATGTGTAAAGCTAAAGGGACCTTTGTAGGACCATAAACGGTGTTGACGCGTATGGCTAGAGGCACATTTATATGACCGTAACTGGACTGATAGGTAGGGCTAGAGGTACCTTTGTAGGACCATAACTGAACTGCTATGTAAGACTACAAGGATCTTTATAGAACCCATAACTGGGCCAACATCTAAGGCTAAAGAAACCTTTATAGGACCAAAACTGGGCTGACATAGGGCTAAAGAGACTTGAGGGGTTGAAATGAAAAAATATTGGGATAATACATAGAGTGAAATGCTTTTGGGGATTGTACATGAAGTACTAGTGGAATTATGGGGACCATAGCAAGCTTGACATAAAGTGCTAGTAGGATTGTGGGGACCATAACCAGGGTAACATTTAAGTACTAAATTGGGATTGTGGGGACAGTAACTAGGTTTACTTCAAAGTGCTAGAGGCCATAACAAGATTTACCTTAAAGTGCTAGATTTAAATGATGTGCTAGTACCGCCACGGTCATGGCAACCATAACATTATTATGGGGATTATTGGGACCAAAACTAGGTTGACATGAAGTTTTAGTTGTATGAGGACCATATAAGGTAAGTGACATTACCACACATTTTCAATGAATAAAATGTGAGGATTTTAAATTTGCGATTTTATTTTTTATTCCGCAGGCTGATCGATGTCGCTCGTAAGCTGGACAAGGCGGAGAGGGAACCTCTGTCCCGCTGCGCTTACTTCTTCAAGAAGATGGAGCAGTACGCTTACGCCAGCGAGACTTACACCAAGATGGGAGACACCAAGGCTCTGATCCTGCTGCATGTGGAGACCAGACACTGGGACGCCGCATTCACACTGGTGGAGAAACACCCAGAGCTTAAGGTATGGGAAAGCTGTCGACCTTAAACTTCGTATTATTGCAATGAACTTCAGTTTGTTTCGTTTCGATGGAAAAGCTGCTTTTCTATTTACTTTGGGCATCTGCAACCCCTCAGAAAGATTGTTTATTTGAGTTGTATTTTCACCTGAAATTCATGAAAAGCATCACTTAAATTATGATCAGGCTGAAAATAAGGAACATTTTTTGAGTTACTATTCGATAACTAATCATTGGTGGATTATTATGGTAGAATGCCATGGTCCAGTGGTTACGGTGTTTGACTCATGTACGAAGGTGCGTGGGTTCGAACCCTGCCAGGAACATGGTGTTTGTGCCCTTAGGCAAGACACTTAACTACAATTGCCTCTCTCCACCCAGGGGTATGAATGGGTACCTGTGAGGGTCGAGGACCGATATGAGCGCCGATATCGGCTGCCGCGTGGTCTCATGACCTGATGAACGGGGTACTAATTGTAAAGCGCTTTGAGATTGTTGATACGATGGAAAGCGCTATATAAGCACAATTATTCCACTAAATGTACCATTAAGGAGAAATGTTATCGTAATTTCTTCGAACGGTGGGAGACATCGGTCATTAGGGAGACATTTTCATGTATGTCACAGCCCCCCTTTAGAGACGCAGTTCTTCTGTCGCAATTAGTTTATATTTGTTGCCCGTGTTCAAATTAGTAAATGTATCGAAATTCGTGGAAAAAGGACAAGGACGAGGGAGTATTGAGTTAGGGCACATTTAAGTTCGACAAACTTTGTGTACAAGGCTATGGGAATGTCTCCCAAATGTCCAATCCAAGGTAATATTATTATTATTATTGTTTTTTGTGTTTGTTCAATGTCTCATTCTAAATTGAATAATTTTTGTATAATTCAAGTCTCTTTTTACTGTCTCTGTTTTGTCATAGGATGATGTGTATGTACCCTACGCCCAATGGTTGGCTGAAAATGATCGATTTGAAGAAGCACAAAGAGGTAGGTTGATTCTTGTATATAAAATAGATACATCATATCTGTTAGGCTTGAAATTGATGAACTTTCTTTGAAAGTTTGTATTGTTTTCAAGTAATTACCCTTGCAATTGACCAATTGCGGTAGAAACTCATCAACGCAGCTTGTGAAATATTGTCCAATTACATGATATACTTAGACGCGGAACAATAAAAATCTGAGACAAACAAAACTTTATGTACAAAATTCCATAAGGTTGTCTAAGGGGTGGGCTAACTGGCAAATGGCAATAGGCCAATTGTAACAATGGTAAAAAAAAATTAATAAAAGTTTGGCCTTCACAAGTCGCTTTCACGTTACCATGGTTACACATCTTACCCTTCCCAGCATTCCACAAGGCTGGTCGCCAGGACGAGGCGGTCAGGGTGTTGGAGCAGCTTACCCACAATGCCGTGCTGGAGAGTCGATTCAACGACGCTGGTTATTACTTCTGGATGCTGTCCATGCAGTGTCTGGAGATCTCAGGAGGTAGGCAAGACAACATTTAAGAAGTTCTATCTGTCTCTACTAAAGAAACATTCACCTAACCAAATTTTCAACTTCAAGTTCCATTTTAATAAAAAATTCTGAAAAAAACTGTTATATTTGGGTTGCTTTTGTGCACAAACGGATCCGCCCTGCGATTAGACTGGTTCTCAGTTCCTACATTGTCGATTGTGCTGGGAGGTGGGAACCAGTCTACCCTGCAAAAACTGAGTATTGTCGGGCTGTAAAAAAAATGAAATTAGCAAATCATTCATTCCATTAATAAATGTGGGGTGATTTTTTTTTTTTATTTCATTCGATGTCGCATTCAAAAGTGAATAATTTTTGTTTTGCAAGAAAAATAGCTATATAGAAAAAAAACAAATCTTTGATGATGAAACTTGAAAGTAGAACATCTACAGCGAGGACTTGTGAGAAAAAAATTCACAACTTTGAGTAAACAGTGTTTATAAAATATGTCGGCAAAAGGCAAAACCCAATATAAAATTAACACCTCCCCGACGCAAATCCCATCTTTAAACAACTTGATAGATAGTAAAAATGAAACCCCTTGTTTTACAAAGTGTGATATTTCATGGTTTATTATTATTGTCGATGCTATTTATATATATTTTTACTCACAGCCGATGAAGCCAAGCAAGAGGACATGTTGGCCAAGTTTCACGAGTTCCAATCCAAAGCTGAGATGTACTACGTATACCACTCCATCCAGCGCTACACGGACGAACCCTTCACATCTCACTTACCCGATGCTCTATTCAACATGGCACGCTACCTGTGGCATGCTATCATCAAGGACATCCCACACGGAATCAGCAAAGTGTATCCTTTACCCGTGTCTTTTTCTTTTACTGAATCCAAAGAACCAGCTTACTGTCTACTGACTGAGACACTGGGTATAACGAATGTCTTAAACTGAAAATGAAACTTCGGCAAGCCTTGACGTTTTCGTGGGGAAAATAGAGCCATGATTTTTTCAGGCAGTATTGGGTGGCTTGTGCGTGAAGCGCTCGCCTCTCACCAAGGTGACCACGGTTCGAATCCTGGCTGTGGATCGCATGTGAATAGAGTTGTGCGTTGGTTCTCTCCTTTGCCACGAGGGTTTTTTTCCGGGCCCTCCGGTTTTCCTTCCTCCAGAAAAATCAAACACTTTCCATCTCGGGCTGTGCTCCGTGGTCATATATGGGTCGATGTGGCCGGCAGCCATAGGCGCCTTTATATGCCAGCGGCCCGACCACGTTGTAGCCGCGTCCTTCGCAATTCAGCATACCAGCTGTGAGTAAGGATGATTAGCCTCCCAAATTATTATTATTATTGTTATTATTTTCAAATTTAGATTGACCTTTCTTTTTATGGGAACTACTCTTCCCTTCCTGAACAGTTAAGGCAGCTCGTACTCTTGTTCAGAAATTTTACTTTGCGATTTTTTTTTTTTACCTTAGTGTCTTGAGGAAAGCACAGAAATAATTTGCTTTGTTAAAATGCATTACCAGCAGAAACAATTTAAATCTCTTGAGGTTGGCCCTCGGCTGTTGTATTGGCTCTGTGTCAAACCCAAATGAAGTAGCTGAGTATGAGTTCTTGGTCAAACTGTGAAGGACTTTTCTTTCCTTGACGGTATCCACCTCTCCTCATCAGTAACACCCTGTATGCCTTGGCCAAGCAGAGTCGCTCCCTAGCAGCCTACAAGCTGGCACGCTTTGCTTTCGAGAAGTTGCAGTCGCTCAGGATCCCTCTGCGCTTTCAGGAGTCCATCGACGTCGGTAGCATCACCATCAGGTCTAAGCCGTTCCACGATGCAGAGGTAAAGAGAATAGGTCGATTCACACTTCACTCAAATTTCAGTGTGAAGCGAATTTGTGTGGTAGCGACAATCGTCACAATGAAACTTTTAGTTTTTGGTGTCATGAAATTTGCTTCGTTTTCACTTTCACATCATGTATGAACTGGCCTAACGGCAGTGTTTTAGTCGAGTCAAGTCCTTTCACAAGTCCAGTCACAAATCCTTTCACAAGTCCAGTCACAAGTCCAGTCCCAAGTCCAGTCACAAGTCCAGTCACAAGTCCAGTCACAAGCAACAGTGGGCGAATAAAGACTGCTTTTGCCGCTGTTCATTTGAATAGCTTGTGACTTGAGACTGAAGGCCTTGTGATGGACTGTGATCAACTCACAATTCAATCATAAGTCGAATCACAAGTCAATGACGAGCTTGTCACGAGATTAGCTTGTCACAAAAGACTGATTAACCAGTTCAGGCTGGATGAAGTACATACCTACAAAGGTTTTGCGGTATTCGGAACGGATGAGGGATAAACACCCAGGGAGCGAGGCCGGAAATATCTGTAAGCGACACGCTCATAGCGAGCGAGGCCGGAAATATGAGTGTGCTGCTTTGGGAGGGTGATGGCTTCAACCCGCCTGGCTTGAGGTCGAGTGAAAAATATTCCCGCGCCTCGTTCCGTTCTTGTCAAAATAATCCTGAGGCAAACTGGTTACCCTGCAATTGACTTGTGATGGCTTGTGATTGACTCCATGACAACTGTGGGACTCTGATCATAAGGATTGCATAACAAAATTTAGTGTATAAGACTGTTTTTTTTTTATGTCTTTCTATTTTTTTACAGGACATCTTACCCATGTGTTACCGCTGTTCCACCACCAACCCTCTACTCAACAACCAGGGCAACCAATGCATCAACTGTGCTCAGCCATTCGTTCACTCATTCTCTTCATTTGGTTAGTCATTTTTTTTCTCTTGGTATAATTTTTGGCTATTCTCAGAACGCCTGTTTGCCAATTTCGTGTATTTTTTTCCTATTCTCATATTACAACTGCACTCTAAATGTTTTCGAAAGTAACCTTTTCAAATGTGACATCTCCAAAAAGCTAACTACTAACTAACAAATAGCTAAGTTTAAAGGGAGAATTGGTTAACAATTTGCACGTAAAAAGCGAGAACATCGACTCTGTGAAATAGACTTAAGTACAAACTGGCGCAAAATACAAAATAGATTGTGTTAGAGACTAGCCAGTATGCTGGTAACAATTTCAAAGCGTCTGTTTCGTAATGTTCATATCTTAGTAAAGTAATTAATTCTGTACTTAGAATGTTTTAGATTAGCTAGGTTAGCACAGGTTTTCTGCTATAGTTGACACAATTGTTATGCTAAGGCCAAAAAAAAAGGCTCCGGTTTCTGGCATGCGCACGCGTCGCCGTGGCAGCAAAATTAAAGAGTTTTTTTTTTCAATGTAAGATGATGTATCAAAACCGCCAAACTCACTGGTTTGACTGGAATCCAGCTGCTGCACAATTTTAATGTGTTTTAGATGGGGTTACGATCGAGTATAAGCTTTATGTGGCCTTTCTGGGCTCCCATATATTTTGCACAGAATAGCCGGGCACCATTTGCAGACGGTGTTGTATTTTTGTGATTGTGTGTGTGGAAGCCAGACGTGTGTGTGGAAGCGAAGGTCGTGTATCTGGAACCTGTAAACACTTTTTAATTAGCGCAATACCGGTATGTAAGGGAGCAGACTAATGACCAGCCTGGCAGCACAGAGTCGATGTCGCTGTATGGTCTGACGTTACCGTTTTCTCTGATTTTTGTCTTGACTATCCAAACTTCCCGAAGAATGTTCGTGTTGGTCGAGATGTAAGTGGGTGAGAATTCTGAAGCCTTATGGCTTTACTGAGGTCACCTCAAGCTCCACCCTGAAGGATATTTTTGAGAGTTTTAAGGGGATCAAAACATCATCTGCAACATCAGGTGACATTTGAAGAAAAAAAAAGGAGGGAAAAAAAAAAAAGCCGCGTCGCCGCACCACTTTTGGGACAAGCTCCATACCAGAAACCGAAGACCTTTTTTTTTTTGGCCTAACCAAATTTTTTTTTTATGAGATGGAATTTACATCGGGGAGACGAACATTTTATATTGTATTCTGGTTTTTTTTTGTCCTTCGCCAATGTATTTTATAAACACTGTACACTCAACATCTCCCCGATGCAAATTACACCTCAAAAAAAGTTTGGTAGTGGTACCCATGCTACATGTACATCAGATCCAAAACGGGCCAGCTGACGCCGGCAAGCTCATTGGTCGAGTAGTTAGATGTCTGCACTTAAAGCATGAGGTCGTGGGTTTGAGTCCCACCTGAGAAAGCTTGTGAGTTTGTTCACCCAAGCCCTTGGATAACATTGAGTATACAGTGTTTATAAATTACGTTGGTGAAAGGGGGGTATAAAACCATGCTCTCCCTCCTCTCAAATATGAACGATTTGTTCGTGATTTGCCGTAACCAGAAACCCTGAACCTTTCATTTACAGACATCCTTCCCTTGGTGGAGTTTGTCCTGGAGGAAGGGATAGCAGACGATGAAGCAGTCAGTCTGATCCAGATGGAACCGGTCAGGAAGGCCTCCCAGCGAGGGGACGGTTGGCAGGAGTCTGCCGTAGGGGCAGCTCAGTCCATGAGACTTGATGAGTACGGCAATGAGGGGACTGAGGAGGATCCGTTCACCGCTAGGCTGCTCAGCTTTGAGGTCAGTCAGTGAAGAAAGTTTTGATGGTGGACCCTTGGTCGACTAGCGTTTAGGTCGTGACGTAACTCATGCCTGTGTGCTGCCATAATTTTCGGAATATAAGCCGCGGCTTATACGTTGATTTTGCCCATGAAAATGTTTACTGCGGCTTATACACAGGGTGGCTTATACGCCGAGCCTTGAAGAATAAAAATGATATTCAAATGTGCATTTAATGTTCTGGTATAAGAAAAGATCTGTTGCTGAAATGAATTATCAATCGTTACTCCGAAAATTACAGTAACAGCAGTGTACAATGTCACTATTCAAATGATGGTTGAAAGTCAATACGAAACTTTTTAGTCCTGGTTCCCTACTGTGCATTATGATGCATGAGGCTATCGGTAACCAGCAATGCGACCTACCTTGGTAGGTTGGTTCTGAAAAGTCCAATAGGCTAGTCCAACCACAGTCGACTACTATGAGTTTGAGCCAATATAGTTGAATAATGGATGGTTAAAGGGAATATACAACATTTGCAAATAATAGAAAACAAAACTACCAAATTATCACCAAATACCCTACTGGGCAGTTAGAGAATCAGAGTCTAAAGCATCCTATAAAATCATGGCACCTGGTGTGCTGACATTTTCAAGAAAAGTGGTATTTTTGTATCAAATTCCAATGCTGGTTGGCCGATCAGCGTTGGAAAAAAATGACTTTTTTCGAATACTGCTCCCAATTTAGCATATTTAGTTAGTCCCCATTTTCTTTGCAATCAATTACACACCCTGTGAACGGATACAAGCTAGCTAGACTGGTTCCCTAAACTTACAATTCCCTGACGTCTATAAATTGCTCTGTTTCATCTAAAGTGGGGTCAGGGACCCAGACTACAAGACCATTTACAAGACTCGGTTTTTTTCCCAGCATATACGAACCCAAAACGTCAAAAAAGTCAATGTAACAATATTTGCTAGAAAATACTAACCCCCTAATTCATCCATTTTTGAAAATTACAGCAAAAGCAAATGTTGTATATTCCCTTTAACCATACTTCTTGCTCAGGTTGCTCTTTGCCTGAGATTTGTAACCCAAACCATTCCCAAACCGTCCACTTAACAACACCTTGGATGCATATTTCATTGAAACAAGCATGTAAGTGCAACATATTAGGCCCTTGTGAACGTGCCAAATGTTGTCGATATTTTGTTGCTGTGTGAGTGGGCCAGATAGGCTATCTCTAATCCTGCACCGAGAACAGTGGAAATATGCTATTGTTAGCTTTTTGTGTTATCCTCGACAACGCCTTGGGTATTATTTTTTTTACACTAAGTATTCGTACTTGCTTTTCAAGAATTAAAAATTTGTTGCTGTCCTGTTTACATTTGTGAGATATCCATAGAAATTGTCAAATAAATAACCAACAAACAAACAAACAAGACTATGATCTCGCAAAGCACATATTATCCAGGATAAGTATCTGAAACTCTGTTGTAATTCTATTCTTTTGTTAACAGCAAGGTGGAAGCGAGTTTGTACCAGTGGTGGTCGGTCGATCCGTCTTACAGTCCATGGAGCGTCATCATGTCATTATCAGAAAGTGGCCAGCGCCGTTACGCTACAAGTACTTCAAGACTATCATGCCTGATGTGGCTGTCACTATATGCCCATCATGCAACCAGGTAGGGCCGTGGGAAAACCAATATCACAAATCTGAATATCCCATAGAGCTATATTAAATTACTAGAGCGCTAACTCGTCATTCTGCGCGCGGAGACGCTTTGAAGCCGTCCTGGGCGCAGACATTTTGAATTCATGTGCGGGTCTGTAGAACATAATGAAATTAGATGGATTGAATTTTGAAATTGTACTCTACATGCAACACGCAAGTAGAACATACGTCAATGACGGTTCAAAAAAACGTGACGGCAAAAAGCATCTGCAGCGAATCCGCGCACGCGTTGCGCTGTTTGCATAGAGCAAAATGACACGCTCATTGCTGATCGTGCATTTCGGTTTTGGACGTATTGGCTTCGATAACGCACCGGTATGGAATACAAACGCAGATATGCAAATAGCCGTACAAGTACAAAATTTCTAGGTCTCCATAGGGTTGTGCACAAACATGGATGCACCCAGCAGGCATTACTTTGTACACAAAGTTAGCGCTCTGGTAATTTAATATAGCTCTGTTGAATATCTCCTATAATTGCTCATGGATGCCCACACGTTTACCTCACATACCTACTGTGGGCATTTCTTTGTTTTCATGTAGTTAAGAAAAAACGGCGAAAATCTCATTTTACTCACAACAATGACCGTGAACACTCTTTCAACACAAATTTTTTATCATGATTTCCTTGAGTATTCCTCTTCATTTTGTGACGGATAAACATAACCCCAAATTTCCTCTAAACCTGTTTTCCAGAAAGGGAAACATTGTGTGGACGTTGGCAAGTCCACACAATGTCGCTGCTACCTGGTTTATGTGGACCTCTTTTGTTTAGAGGTCCACACAGTCAATGTAGATGCTTGCACACAGAAGTATTGACTTTTGATTTACTTATGACCAGGGCCCAATTTCATAGATCTGCTTAAGCAGAAAATTTGCTTAAGCACGAAAAAACATTGCTTAGTAAAATTAGGTTACCGGCCAAAACTCCATGTGATGTACATTGCTTGTGACTGGTATTTAGCTATTGTTTACTTAGCATAACAATCGCATGGAGTTTTGGCCGGTAACCTGATTTTATTAAGCAAGACGTTTTTGTGCTTAAGCAAATTTTGTGCTTAAGCAGCTCTATGAAATTGGCCCCAGACTTGTGATGTATTTGTGATCCATCGTATCTGAACATACAAAAACTTAACCATAATTTCTTTGTCATCTCCAGTTCTTTCACACCGACGAGTTTGAGTTGCTGGTGCTGCAGAAGAATCACTGCCCGTTCTGCCGCAAGTCGGCCAAAGAACAGTGAGATTCCTACATCTTTGAGGGGACTTGTGTGGATCAGCGGGAACAGCTAACTGGGATCGATGTTATACAAATATTGAGTGGCTCAGAGTGAAATGGAAGGAATATTATCGCAAGGTAAAATTTGGACTTTTCGCCAAGTGAACTGGAAAAGTCCAGGTTTTACCTAGCAAAAATATTCCTCCCATTTCACAATTTAAAGCCACTCAATATTTGTTTTATATAACTGACATATAGATCCTTGTCATTTGATATACTTGAACTTTTATTTCAATACAAAATTGGTGGAAAATGTGTTCCTCTCTTCCAAACCACCCCTTCAAGAAAATGTTTGAACCGAACGCTGTAGCGCTGGCTCTTTGGAACAATACGCGCTTTGCGCAACGCTGAACGTGCACACCAGCATGCATTTGCACACTAATACTACGTCATGGAACAAGAATGGTCCTAACTGTTCAATAGTATTTCCCATTCCCCATGGGCGAATGGGACTTTTTGAGCCCCGTCGTAAAGGGAGTAGTAACGAGTGTCACGTGATGTGCGTTCCACCAATCAAATGACAAGGATCTGTATGTCGGTTATATAATAATAAATATTAGGTCGGACAAAGAAATTGACTGCAGTTGCAATTGAACCGGTGGCCTCTCGAACATCTCACTTGTGCTATCCTTACCAAGCTCCTCGGCCAGTACGGTGTTCCGGAGGCTGCAGTTTCAAATCGCGCTCCAGTCAACTTCATTGTTCGACCTCAGTTTTGAATATAGATGATATTCATAGTTTGTATTCCGTAAACTGCCATTCCACATTGTTTTGTAGAGGATCTGTCATTAAGGACCAGATCTGACCAGAGTCTTATGGTGTACAGATTGTCAAAAATATCATTTGATAAATACTGTGGAATGGGCTACAGTTGTTTTCCGAGTGCCTGATCACGAACATTATTCAGTCTGCTTTCGGCTCAACTAATCCATGAATTCAAATGAAATGGGATTAATAATTTACCTTGAGTGATGGAGATACTACAAAATTGTTTTCCAAATTCAAGCTCTTTTCAAGCTCAAAAAGTGTCGTCGCGACTTTTCCTAGTTCTGAGTAGGTTCAAACAGTTTTGGATCGGGTCAAAAACTGCTTCATGCATGAAAATATTTACGCAAGAAATTCAATTTTGCAGCCAGAACCACCCCGAATCAAGCAGATGATAAAGTATTAATTTATTTTTTGAAGAGAATTCCAGTAAATTTTAAAAAGAGAACTTGCGTAAATGTTTTTGAAACTTTCAGCTGGAGGGTGAAACAACCTTTGACCCATCACATCAGAACGCGTCACATAAAATTGATTACGCGCATGTTGTTAGGTCCAACTTAAACACGCGATCTAGAACTAGGCAAAAATATACATTCAGTCTTTGGCAAATTTTCAAATACTGGAGACTCTTCAACTTATTTTGATTCCACTAACATTTGATGCAAGAGTTAATATGACTGTAGCGATATTCGAAATCGCACAGTCCGAGTGATGTACCGAGGAGAAAATTAATTGTCGATTTGCGGCTCCCGTGATTTCTACAAACTGTCCAAACGTGTCGAAGTGCAAAAGGGAGAACAATTCTGGCCAAAATTCTGTTTCTAGAGATTATATTGAACATATATTTGTGCATCAAAAAGCTAGTACATTTTACTTTTCAAAATGCACTTCATCAGAAAAAAAGTATTGGAAACATATCCAAAAGAGGTAGGTTTTCATTTGAAGCGATCTGGAACTAGGAAACCACTGTATTTATTTATTTTTTTGAATTAATGAAGAGTGCAAATGTGTGTGTAAATACTGCAGTGGTATAAAATACTTAATTTTGTAAATACACAGCTATCTTAACATAAATTGTACATGTATGTTTTTAGCTGACCTTTCTTGAAGGAACAAACGAACACCTTGTTTTTCTGTATTCAAGTACAAAATAAAAACCAAAGCACGGAACTTTCAGTGTAGAATTGGCTACTTCATTTATTGTTAAGCTGTTGTCGGTATTCATTGAAATGTGTACAGTTGTGTAAAAATTGTTATCTTAGCAATAAACCGTAATCACATATTAAAAAAGAGTCAAAGGCTTTAAGTCGGACAACTGTTGACCCGTGGGGCATTGCTGGGTCAAAGGTTAAAGGTTATCAATATTAAAGAATGTTTCCCATGATGCATTGGGAGAAATTGGTACGTGACCCAACAATGCCCTACAGCCAGTTTACCAACGATGCACCAATGTTTTGAAATCAGAAATTTTGAGTTTTGGATGCACGTACATGTACAGTAAGCGAAGTGTACTACACAACGTTGTATAACCAATCCATTATCCTACCGGTTACATTACAAATGTGATGCGATCAAGCTAAATGAGTCCTTTGTCGGGAACTTTCATTTGGAGATTTAGGCCAAAATAGGGCCACCTCATCACATCACTTCATCACATCACTTCATCACATCTCTTGGTGTTCCGACTTCCATAATTTTTGAACTAAAGATGGTACCAGCATGCAGTTTTCACAGCAGTAATGCTCAGATTGTGCTCTTTTCAAAACTTAACCCTAACTCCTAGGGGGTGTGCAAAATTATATTGAAATTGGAGGATTCAGGACTATTAGGGTTAAAAAAAAATTGACCAGTGTCGACGAACGACTCATTTAGCTTGATCGCATCACAAATGTCGTGAACATGGCCAAATTTCACAGAGCTTTAGCTGTGCCAAAAATCCCCAAACTGCTCCAATAAAAAAAGGGTTGTTATGCCCCAAATAGATTATCAGTCCCAACTGCAGCTGGGACTGCCCCAACTACATGTAAAGTGTTCCAAGTGGAATACATACATTGGCAGTGCCAGCTTAAGTTGGGACAGTGGTCAAGTTGGGACGCAACACGGTTATCATTTTGATGCGACGACACTGGCTTTTGAGCTAATGTTGACGTGAAACCATCTCAGCAGCTGTACGAAATTGGACCATGCCCTCTTCCTTTCAAAAAAATAGCCATGCATGCTCACTTTGCCAACATCTGGGAAACGGAGCTCACTTTAATTGGTCAAAGACACCACTCTGAGAGAACACTCAAACCCTTCAATCGACAAATTTTACTTACTCAATTCTAATTTAAATATGTACTTACAAAACTCTACTATTAGTAATTTCTTTTCATGCTATTTTTGTTTTGCGTATTAAAAGGCTACTGAATAGTTGTGACCGAAGACTTTATATTTTACATTAAATACATATAGATGAAGTAAATGAGGAATCTCTGTCCCTTCTTACATTTCGAGCAAATTAAAGGATGGTTTAGATTATGTCAATTTGTAAAGTTCTCAAGCGTACATAAACACAACATTGCATTGCCTTGTGTTATTCTGCCCGCCCACAACACAGACTGGAGAAGTGGCGCATCAACTACGCGACAAAAATTACAATACAATCAAATGTGATATGAGTAATCAAGGAAAAGAAAAAAGAAAAATATTTGTACAGAAGATGACTTTTTAAGACTTATTTACAATGTGTACTAGAAACACGCGATTTTTTAAAGACTGATTCGTACCCGATGCAAAAGCGAAACAAATTTGACCAAAAAAAATTGTTCTTCTGCAAGAAAGAGTGTACTCGCTTTTGAAAAAGCCTTTTCAGTGTCACGTAATCTGCATTTGCAAGGGGTAGGCACTCAACTTTTTTGAACTAGTCGGGGGAAAAAGTACACAAATTTGACCAATTCCTAGATTCCGTTAATGTTTTTTAACTAAACGATCTGCCACCTGACATCATGGCCTTTGACAAAGTTGTACTTACCAGAAAAATAATAATAATAATAATATCCAAAAGCACAGTTTATTTATTGGATATTAAATAGCTTTTTCGGACTTGGAACAACTCAAATAATTTTTAAAAGATAACTGGGAAAACAAGTAGAAACTACAATCAACAGTTGTGTTTGACCGACTAGATCACAGCATACAAATCTCGGAAGTCCATTCGGAAAGATTTCCATATACGAAGTTCACTCAACACCCTGTGTACAAACCCTATGAGATTGGACTGAAAAATTCTAAGTGTTTTCTAAGAAAATGCTTGTATTTGCTCACTGCTCAAATTGACTTTGATGACATGAAATTGCTATCTGGGGGCTTGTTAGTCAATACAGAGGAAAATTAGTGAACTTCGTATACGGAAATCTTTCCGTCCATTCACAGCCTTGCATTACTTTCGCGCTGCCAACTTTTCCAAAAGTATCATTCAGTTATTCCAATCACTTTTCACAAATGGGCAAGGTGGGGGGGGGGGGGGGGACAAGGATTTCTACCACACATCAACCTGCATTGGTCCGCTGTAGAGAGGTATGTATTGTATATTGCATAAAATAATAATTTGCAACTCCACATTTTAAACTTGAAAACGAAACTCGATTTTCATCATTATTTAATCATTTTTGTGCACATGGGCCACACACAAATGGACGCCACATGTACACAGGCATGCAACTGGGAATTTAGAAAAAAAAACGAGGAAACTCCAAACCACATAAGACTTTGTACAATGTTTTTCAATTTGTATCGGCATTCATGAGGAGTGAAAAACGAAGAAATCAGCGGATCCGAGGAAAAGTTGCATGCCTGTCAGTACAGTATGATTTCGCTGAGCATCTTGCATGTACAACACTAAAACTTGCTTATTAGCTGAACTTGGCTTCAAACAAAATTCAGCGAAACAGTACACTTGCTTGTGAAATTGCTCCATGCCATCGGCCCAAGTAGACCCGAATGTGGCGTCAATGACAACGCCATGATCCAGCCTCGCGTAAAAACACTCTGAAATTGTTATGCGGCACGTCGGGTTGCCAGTATTCAGGCATGCAACTGAAAATTTAGAAAAACAAGGAAACTCCAAACCACACAAGTCTTTGTATAGCATTTTTCAATTTGTAATGGCATTCATGAGAAGTTAAAAACGAGGAAATCAGCAGATCTGAAGAAAAATTGCATGCCTGAATATTATAAGTACTTACATATGAAGCTTTCTGTGAATTTACGCGAGCGTAGGATCTGGCATTCTCAAGAAATTTGTGGGGAAAAAAGACCTCAACACGACAACAAACGTACGAGCAGAATTTTAGATTTTCTGAGGTCACGCAGGGTATGCTGGTACTCTGAGTCATGCACGCGCGAAATGGTACCCGTATAATCGCGTGCGTTGAGTGTTTCTGCGCAACTCTGGAACGTGGCGGTGTTAATGATGCCACGTTTATGGGTCTAGCCCGAGATGCCTAAACCTTTGTACACCACCCCATTTTGTCACCTTAACAATGATTTTCCTACTAAAAAAAACAAGTTTACAGATATATATAAGTTGAAAAAAAGGGGAAGAAAATTAGCACTTTTTATGGCATCACTTACATGCAACATTAAAAAAATTCAGTTTAGGTTAGCAAACAGTTTATAATTGATCATCCCAAACCAATGAATTCCTGGTTCCTTACTATCCATCAACAGTATTCTCCCTAGTGTAGTCAGGCAGTCAGACTTTTATACCGTTCAATGTTTAAGCACCAATGTCGCCATTTTCCAAACCCTGGCTTAGGCTGTGTCTCCAGCTCCAGTGCCAAACTGCATACCTAAAGCCACATATTAAAACAAAGCCGTGGTTTGGAAAATGGCCCTTTAATCCAAGAGCTTTTGAAATGTGCTCCAATGGCCCAACTCTGACAATAGGGGGCGCCAGACTCAATTCAAGCTCCACCACTTCCATTACAGTTGTATGCATGATCTCATTTTAACATGAACAAATGTACTTAAGAACAAATATAACTGCTCTTAACTGGTGTTTCCTGAAGTTCCTTTGTAAAAAATGTGTTGACCACATAGGAAGGAAAGTAGTTAGGACATTAAATTTCTTCCTTAAAGATGCAACTAAAAAAAGCTGTACTGCTGAAAAACAAACTAAAAAAACCCCAGCAAGCCATTTCCTTCGGATTCAGTCAACTTTGAACAGATAATAGCCGCACATGTAAACATCCTTTACCTGCTCACCAAAATAACTAAAAAAATAATCAATGATGAACTGGCAACAAATCCTACAAACTTCAATTAACGTTCATGTGTATGATTCTGTCCAGCAGGTTCTCCGTATACTTATTAATGGACGAATGTCAAAAGAAACAATACAGATGTCATTCCGATTAAATATTACGAAAAAATGTACACAGTAAAACTTGATTCCTTCAAGGACCCTACGATAAAACACTGTAAATAAGGATTTTTTTTGTTAATTTTTAGTAATAAAATATTACAGTGTACAACTGACCATGCAAAACGCCACTCGACAATTTGAGAGTTGAGTCAACAAAATTATAGCATACACATCCTTTGCAACACCAAGCCGGAAAGTTTCAAAAACAGTTGGTTTTCTTGCGAAATGGGCGATGTACAATGTGGACAGACGATTGGTTGAAATTACTTTGCAGATGACGAGACGAGAGTTGACTGCCGATGGATCCAAACAGAGCTGATATGTGATCCGGTGTTGAAAGTCTAACATTTATGCTGAATGAAACGTGTGCCATGATGTCACAAATCCCCCTACAGATAATCAAAAGGATGAAAACATTTTTAGCAAAACTCACATAAAGCCACAGGTCTTGTCATAATGTTTCAGTCGGGAGACTAAAAGCTAGTCCGAGTATCACCCGAGCCAAGAGTCTCCTGTATAACGTCTGATATATCTAGACATGCAGATATATGCAAGCCGCGCAGCAGCCAATCGGAGTCGACTTCACTAAATCGTGACGTCATTTCATGCCCATCTTCAGGACTGAATGGTTTGATTGGTCAATTTGAATGCAATGTTTTGTAATACAACAGCCGAGCGCATTATCGCGTAGCATGATACAAAGCGCGTGACACAGGTTTTTTTTATCCATTGTCTATGAAACGCAATGGGTGAATGACCGAAGACCCGATATAGACATGATAGAAAGCACCCACTGATTGGTCAAAATCAAGAGGTCAAGAGGCGGTTGTCTTGCCTAATTAATCAGCTCACATATCATAGACATTTGCTGTGGTCTATTACATACGGTAGACTAACTAAAAGCTGACTTGTGATCACAAAAAGATTTGAGTTATGACAGCACATTTTCATTCATCACATCATTTCATCACATCTCTTGGATTTCCGACTTCCATAATTTTTGAACTAAAGATGGTATCAGAATGCAGTTTTCACAGCAGTAATGCTGAGATTGTGCTCTTTTCAAATCTGTAATAACGTTTGACGGGGGTCGACAAACGACTCATTTAGCTTGATCGTATTACCCATCCATTTTGCCCTCAAACGTCGTACAAAAGGGTGCAATTCAAAATATGACACGGCAACTTTCAATCGGAAGTGCAAGCAACGAAATCCACATAAGCATCCACTGAGCTAAAACAGGTTTGTTCCTTAGCACCCTTAAGATTTTTTGAACAATTTTGTTGCTTCAAACGAAAAAAACAAACATGCCAAGATGACAAAATGAACCCACCTTTTAAGCATGCAATCCAACTTGTAGACTGCCCCACTGACCCCTCACAGCAATACACAGGACCTGCCACTGCCCTGTTTCTTCTTATTGGTCTTCTTTCGTGGGTCCGGCGTCTGACGGTTGATCTGTCGCACCAGGTCGTGGAAAATCTCGTCTACGTTGATCTTGGCTTTGGCCGATGTCTCCAGAAACGTGCTGGGATAAGCAGGGAAAATGAGAGTACAAGACATAGGGTGTTATCAAACCTAGTTGAGTCTGTGTTAAGAAAACGGGAAAAACCCCTGAAGAAAAAGTGGCTGTTTTGAAAAAGTGCCGTTATTGCAACGCAACAGTCTTCGAACTTTCTAAGCTAGGTTGACACGGTGCGCTCAAAATCATAGAGCAAATAAGCAGAAAATATTGCTGATCATATTTTGATGCTAAGCAGGGATAGGCAGGGTACCAGTCACTAACAATACACATCTGATACAATTTTAGCCGGTGACCTATTTTTTGCTAACCAAATTTTAATTTCTGTGCTTACTTCCTTAACTGCTGGCTCACCCCAAAGCGCCCCCATAGTTGAAGCATGGACATTATTTCGCTCGTACCCCCCGCCCTGCAAACAGGACGTTGGGAAGGGCTGATGAGTTTACGCTCTGATGGGATAGATTTTGCGTGACCTGTGACCTGCAATTCATCACGGCAAAGATGACTTGCAAGGTTTCAAATGGCCGTTAAGACTGAGTCAACACTCTTTTATGCCCATTCATAAATCCTTTTTTTTCGTTGAAAACGTAATAATGTAGGAAACTCTGTAAATGTTCAATTCCCGTCACTTGCTCAGGCTCCGTTTTGAATTCACAAAGGGTCAAAAATGCTACGCTCAAAATTTGTCCACATGGTCCGCAATGAAAAAGAAATCACATCCGGTATGGAATGTATGCATTTCTATGGGAAGTTTTTGGATAGCATTTGCGCACATTGGCTAACTGCGCTCTTAAACAGCTACAGTCAGATGCTTTATACATAGGTCAATATACCTAGAATCCCATCCCCACTTCCTTCACAAGATTCTGTGAAGCTCATCATTATGGGTGTTTTTGAAACCATGGCTTCATTTCCAGTTACCGGTAGGCCTCAGGAGTCGGAGTCCCTAAAGGCACCACACATTTTCTAACTACGCAAAAGGTATTCACTTTGGCATTAGACATCAACCGAACAAATAATGACCCAAGTCTAATTATGGAGTAATTTTCAAATTTCACATAATTGCAGCCCGACATTATTCCAGTTCTTGCCTCGTAGAATGGTTTTCACCCCTTTTAAGCTGGTTAGGAAGGGACTAAGAACCAGTCTACTAGCAGGTTGCGGATCTGCTTGCAGCAGTTATCCGAAAACAAAAAAACTTCATTTTTTTTCAGTAAAAAATATGAAAGTCAAATGTCAAAATAAAATTTGTTTGGAGAAAGAAAACCGCATGCACAAGGTCAAAGTTTGGAGTTCAAGGTAGAAGTCCGGAGTATTTTCATTTGGTTTGGAAATCAAAGGCTTCTCCATGATGCTGAAGCCATAAATGAAGCCGAACATAAGACAAAGGCAGAAATTTATGGCAACATCCAACCTATCTCAACTACAGTGGCACAACGCAGAGCCCGCCTTGCCGGCCACTGCTACAGAGCCAATGAGCAAGTTGTCTCTGACCTCATCTGCTGGAGATTGCCTTGCCCCAACAGAGGGAGGAGACCCCTCAACTACGTTGACACTGTATGCAATGATGTGAGCCAGCACGTTGATGACATCACCACGGCCATGGCGGACAAGAGAGTCTGGAAGAGTTCGGTTGCCTCCATCTCGGCTGCGGCCGCCCAATGATGATGATGAGATGAAGCCGAACTGGAGACGAAGCCCGTGGTTTCAAAAACACCCATATCAAGACGACCCGTGTACTTACCAGTTGCCAAACTGTCTTGCGAGGTTGACTCCTTGATCCTTCCCTACCACTCTCTCGTCCTCCAGATCGCATTTGTTGCCTACCAAAACCATGGGCACCTACAGACACAGAAAACAACAACACAATTATGACAGTAACTGTTGTAAACATAATAGGGACCATTAGAAATGGTACGTGTACGGGATACGTATGCAGCTTGGAAAAAAACAAGCTGGTTATATCACCATTTTGTGTGTTTATTTCACTTACATGTAAACCACATCTATCATGTGTCTATACATTTTACCATTTTGATGTGAAATGCTCTTTGTCAGTACTATGCCAGCAAATTTTTCCAAGCCGCAATAACAGTAGCCTGTACTCGAAGAGCATCAAGACATATAGAGAAGGGATGCAGGACAGGGAAGAAGGGGGTGGAAGCAGTGTACAACTTTTATGAACAGATCAATGAATCTTAATAAATTATTTCTACCTTTTTAACAATACATGTAAGTTTGTCTTTTGGAAAATGTCAAACTGTGTTTAAAATAACCAGAAATTCACTGCAACCAAGCTTGTACAAGGGAAATTCTAGTCTAGGGGCTAGACGCTGTTCTTGTTTGCTACGCGATAACCCGCCACTGCGATAACCGGCCACCGCGAGAAGGCGCTATCACGACCAACCAATATCACCCACGAACCTGTCTTAACAACGTCTAGGGCACTTGCTTAAATTTCCCCCCGAAAAATGGGGGAAACTAGTGCGCGTGCGCCAATTGTGTACGTAATTTTCTCTTCACGCACGCGCACACGAAACAGATCTGCCATAAAATTGCACAATAGTCTGGTAGCTCGCTATACTACTGGCTGGAAGTTTCAGATATACATGTACAGTGGATAATTGTCTGCTGTCAGCCGAGCCGCAGGTTGCCAGCCGGCCGTGTACGGCGCCGGGCCCGCCTGGGGTAGCATTGCAGTACGCTTGCGCTGTTTGGTTCGTAAAATACGACGGAGAAATGCCGGAGAAGTACCGCCGTACAAGTACACGCACACACGTACACCCATGTATACACACATATTGTACATCATGATTCAATCCGCGGGATACGGCGCGGTGTGGTACATCAGGGGATTAGACTATGAATATGCATGTTATTTTGGGTAATTATGCAACATATATAATGCGCGCTACATACATTACGCAAAACAGATGCGCGCGCATTACACAATAGCAAGTGCCCTAGACGTTGTTCTAACAGGTTTGTGGGTGATATTGGTTGGTCGTGATAGCACCCTCTCGCGGTGGCTGGTTATAGCGGTGGCGGGTTATCATGTAGCAAACAAGAACAGCGTCTAGCCCCTAGACTAGGGAAATTCCAGTGTTATGCAATGTCCATGATAGAGCATTTAAGAGCTCAGTGAATAGACCTGAATGTATTTTTCAAATCTTATACATCCACCATCTAGTAATGGTCAAGGAGATTTCAGACTAGGAGTTTGGAGCATTTCTCTGAATCATTTATTAGATATCATGGTTCATTGGCTCTGTCACGGACATTACACTTCCTTTCATAAGGCTGGAATTGCCAAGTATTTAAAGCTATAGTCCATCATTTGTAATTTGTGCATTTTGTTCGTTTGAAGCAACAAAAGTGCTCAAAATCTAAAGAAGGGTACTGAACAACTAAACTGATGAAGTTTCAGCTCAGCTTCAGCTGTATATTCCGAGAAAAACTGCATTCTAGGATCTCAATTTCAAATCAAAAGTTTCTGAATCATGTTTTGAATTGCGCCTGAATTCAGTGTCCGAGACATGTTCTCGCTGAGCCGATTGCAGCTATACGCGATGTTGCGCAGCAATCCGACGAATTATAGCGGCCGCGCGCGCGTGTGCGTCGTGCCAATGATTGCGCGCGCTTTGCCGAATAACAAAACGAACTACTAATTTAAATTTTCCTACGGTGCGTCTTAAGAAGCACCGTTGGAAAGGCCTTCTTTCGTTGATTACTTCAAAATGACAGCTTGCCAGAAAGAATAATTTCACAGGGAGTTTAGTCCCCTTACTATCTTTCAACCAAGTATGTTTTTCAACAATAATTACGCCAGCTACTTTTCGGATAGCTGCAAATGATGGACTATAGCTTTAAGTCAACTGCAATGCAATACTTGTGTGTTCTTACGTTATCTGTGTCTTTGACTCGTAGGATCTGTTCTCTTAAGTCCAGCAGGTCGTTGAAGGTGGACTGGGCTGTGATGGAGTAAACAAGAACAAATCCCTGGCCGTTCTTCATGTACAAGTCTCGCATGGCCGTGAATTGTTCCTGGCAAAACAAAAAAAGCATTTGATTGTCAGACAATGGTCTCACAGAGGATTGATGGTCTGGGACAAAATCCTTAAAAATTCTAAGCGGAAAATCTTGATTAGCAAATTTATGTTCTGCGCCAAAATCAACAGGGTACCAGTAACATGCAATGTATATTGCATGATAGTTTAGCTGGTAGCCCTTTTATCTGTGCTTCAAAAACCTGTGGTATCAGCTTTAAGAATGTTGCCGCAGATTTCAACATGCGCTTGGTATTAATCCTAACTTCTTCATCACCCAAATCCAACACTGTCCAGCACACAACGGGCAACTCTTAGTTCCTGGAACCCACATATGAGTGGCTGGGCCGTACTGTTTCAAATCCCTAAAAATTCCTAAAGAAGTTCCATAACAGCAGAAACAGGGTAACATTGTGATGGGTTAACATCCTCCAGCTTAGGCCCCCAAAAAAGGTCTTTGGTTTCTGGTATGGAGCTTGCACCAAAAGTGGTGCAGCAACGTGGCTTTTTTTTTTTTTTTTGCTTTTTTTTCCGTCAAATGTTGGCTGATGACTGCAAATGGTGCCCGACTAAATTTAGTGCAAACTACATGTAAATGGGGGCCCAGAGAAGCCACATAAAGCTTTTACTCGATCGTAACCCATCTAGAAACACGTTAAAATTGTGCAGTGCTCAGCAGGATTCCAGTCAAACTAGTGAGTTTGGCAGTTTTGAGACATCATCTTACGTTGGCAAAAGAACTTTTTAATTTTTGCCGACGCGCATGGCTACGGCGACGCGCGCGCAGACCAGAAACCGGAGCCTTTTTTTTTGTTTGGCCTTAGGTTTGGCCTGTTGTGGGTGGAATCATTCACTTTATCCAGAAGAAGCTCTGCATTTGTCCTGGACATATCCCGGGGACATTTTCATTAGCAGCTGCTTGACTCACCAATACTGATAATTTCATTGCGAGAAGATTGCGGGGAAAGTTGCTCAGAATCCTGCAACTTAAACCCGTTACAATGTCCCCAACTTGTCCACGATATGAATTGTGACTGCCCTTGTACATGTACGCATTTAATACACATGCCCATTTAAGTAGCAGTCTAGTCTTTTTAATCTAAATCCCGAACTCAAAGTAAACTGAATCCTCCATTATCCACCCCCACACAGGCAATGGTTTTGATTTTTATGGGTTCACTACTTCACACGGGGCTTGAGAAGCTGGACTCTTGCACAAACAAACAGGGTTCTCGCAGGGAAGGTTACGGGCAATGCAAAATCGAAAGTCATTTTGTGTTTCCCGAAGCCACTTTGAAAAATTCATTCTCGTTTTGTACAGATTCTGTCACCATTTTGCCCAGACCAATCCTAGCTGCAGACCCTTGGGCGACTGAATTGGAGCTAAAAATGGCTATGACCTACCAAACCTTAATATAACCTTGCTATCAAAACAAACACACACACAAAATGTGATTTGGGCCAGACGGTGAGACCTATCAATCAAGATACCGTACTGAGACCCGAACCAGATGCTATCCAGCTCAGAATGTTATTAAATGAATTGTTCACACACATAATGTATTCACACACTGTACAATTACCCGTGGTACTGCACAATAGGCAAATGTCCAAAATTATGTTGGTACAGAAGTATATCATTTTTATTGTGCACTTGACACTGTTGAACCTTGAGCCGATGTTTCAGGGGGGAAAAAGTGGGGGAGACCAGAAAAAGGAAAAGAAAGAAAAAAACTCATTTGCAATAATGATAATGGGGAAGTATTCTTGAAAATGACATGTAATTCTGTGTGTAATGAAGCATTGGCATTTACGAGAATAATATGTTAATGCTAACAAATTACGGGCTTCAGAGAAACGCCAGCGTAAAATATCTATGCATTAGAAAATTGGGTGCTGGTACATGTACTTTAATAATACGTGTAACATCACAATAGTGTAATGCATTTTAACCCTAACCGCCACAGAATTAATTTGGGATGAGGCACCATGTGCTACGCGTACACAATACTACATTTGTACATGTACCGGTACTTTGTATTTGCACCAAGCTACCGGTACATGTACATGTATGTACATCATGTGTACATGTACATGTACACATGTAATGTACTCGTACAGTACATGTACATGTGCATTTGTACATACATGTACATGTGTACAAAGTACAATGGGTGTGGTACCAAATGCTAAAAAATACTACAAGTACTTGTACTCTAATAAGCTGGAGTGCTACATATTGAATACAGTTGTACTACAAGCAGGCCATGTTACAGAGTACATGTCAAAAATGCAACATGTATTATAATATATGCCCTATACATGTATTTGATCCTTAATAAACTCTGTTGTTTACCAAGGCATGGCAAATTTTATGGAGCAATTTTTATCAACTTTGTGCAAGAAGGTGAGATTTAAATGCAATACGAAAAAAATACAGTCGAGTCTCGTTATAACAAACTCGTTCCGACCTACCGGTAGCCAAATTGTTTGTTATATCAGAATTTTGTATTAAGAGGAACATCAGTCTCATTCATTGTGCACATAAATGCACAGACGGGACCAAAGCTTTATGTTTGTTATAACCAGAATTTTGTATTAACAGAGTTTGTATTTAAAGAGAGTCGACTGTACTCGCTTTTAGAATCTGCCACTTTGCACTTGGCATCCTTCAATGTCGGTACAGTGCTGGAGACGGTGGCGGAAGGTGCATGCTGTGGCCGTAAGCTTCTGAAGAAATGCAGGATCACCCCTGATGTCATTGCACATCTCTGTGATCGTTTGGCGCACAACACGACCGGGGTGTGCAATAACATCAGGGGTGATCCTGCACACCTTCAGAAGCTTTCGTCCACAGCACGCGCCTTCCGCCGCCGTCTTATGCAGTGCTGTATCGACATTCTGAAAGTTAGTACCGGTATTTTTGTATGGCAGTTAAATCTCGCCCTCTTGCACAAAGCTGATGAAACTCGCTCCATACAATTTGTAATGCCTTGTTTCCATGATCTGAAATTTTGGTTTAAAGGGAAAATACAACATTTGCAAACACCAAAAAACAAAATGATCAAATTATCACGAAATGCCTTACTGAATTACATGTATTAGGAAATGACAGTCTAAAGCATCCTGTCAAATTGTGGCTCCTGGTGTGCCGACATTTTCAAGAAAAACTGTATTTTTCCAACGCTGGTATGCTGACTCAGCGTTGGAGAAAACTGGATATTTTTCAAAAACTGCTCCTAATTTTTCTTATTTTTATATTCTGCATTTTCTTTGCAATTGATTTCACACCTGTGAAGGGGTACAAGCCTGCTAGACTGATTCTTTGACCTAACAATGTCCCAAAATCTATACATTGCTCTGTTTCATCGGGGGTCAGGGAACCAGACTTCAAGAACATGATTGGTTTTCTTGGTTTTTCCAGCATCTACAAGCCCAAAACGTGAAACATGTCAGTTTAACAATATTTGCTACAACATACTTATCTCCAAATCCATTTATTTCTGAAAATTGCAGCTAAAGAAAATGTTGTACATTCCCTTTAATTCCATTGGTAAACAACAGAGTTATAAAATTTTTGGACAGTACATGTACATACACGCAATTTGGGAGGTCGGCTAAATTATGTACATAATAGGCTATCCATGTACAATGTACATGTATGTGTACATCAAAAACCATAACGTTGATGAAGTTTCTACAACTCCTGTTTTTTTTCTGCCAGGAGTTTCTCAAGTCCTCAATAATTTGACACTGCACAGTTTAAACCCAAGTATGCATTATTTGTGACTCAACAAAATTTGGGAACCAAGCCCATCTAAACCAATATTGGCCTGTGCAACACATAATCTTTCACTAGTAAACAGTCAACAAAGAAGACATTGTATGCCGCTCTGAGGGTTGGGCTCCAAGACAGGAAATTACATTCTCAAGAATGTGATTGTAAACATGAGTCATGAGTGAAAATGTATTCCAAGTATTGGGAAAGATCCCTTAAAGGGAATATACAACATTTGCAAACATCGAAAAACAAAACTACCAAGTTTTTACGAAATACCTTAATAGGAAGTTGGTAAATGACAGTCTAAAGCATCCTGTAAAATTTATGGCACCAGGTGTGAAGTCATTTTCAAGAAAAGCGGTATTTTTGTATACATTTCCAACGGTGGTCGGCTGACCACCGTTGGAAAAACCTAACTATTTTCAACTACTGCTTCAAATTTACCATTTTTGGGGGGTTCAAATTTTGTTTGCTATCAGCTATTGGTTACATGTTCATGAATGGGTGCAGGCCAGCTAGACTGGTTCCTTTACCTTACATTTTTCTGGCATCTATCAATTGATCCGTTTCATCTTTAGCAGAGTCAGGGAACCAGACTACTTGAACGTTGTTGTGTTTCTTGGTTTTTCCAGCATTTTTGAATACAAAACTTCAAAAATGTCGGTGTAACAATATTTGATCTATTATACTAACCCCTCAAATAGTTCATATCTGAAAATAACAGCAAAAGCCAATGATGTACGGTACATTCCCTTTAAAACTGAACCAATGATACCCGGTACAAAATCACAGGAGAGCATTTGTACATATTTCTTTCATGGTTAATTCTTCTATTGCCCCCACACATGACACATGTGCAGCACCTACACATGACCCATAGCACCTACACACCTATGCAGCACCTATGACGTAGGTGTCAAAGCAACACCCAGTATCCCGTCATGAATTATTACTCACGGCCAGTGAGCTCTAGGAAGAGAGATACTATGCATTCTTCATGCTTGAGTGGTGATACCATACAGCACGCGGGATTCTTTGTGTTATAACGCTGGAGATACAGGCATACATAGCCCACACATAGTACATTGTATCATGGAGGAACTGTACACGCCTACATGTCTGATTCACCATCAGCGTTTACAGGGTTACTGTACTTTCTGCAGATGGTTTAAAAACGTGATCAGGAGTATTTTATTTTTTTAATACTTACATTTTTTACGACTTCTATTATAATTGTCTTTTAGAATTGATTTGAAATTGTTGCCAAGTAAAATTATTAACAACACACATGTAAAGCCAAGGATGGTAAATTTACTTCAAGTAACTTATTCTGTTTTGTAAAGTTTTGCATGAGCTCGTGAATTTAATGTAATCACATATTATTGATATATCCTACGATTAATCATGAATTGTATAACTACATGTATTCTTTGTGAAGGGGGCAGACCTAGTACAAGCTTCGGCTTCTTGTCTGGCCTCCCCATACTATTATTTCAAGTTCCATTAAAATGTTTTCCTGATGTATATTATTAACTTAATTACCTTAGGCTTAGTATGGAAATAAACCTGAAACCTGAAATTCTAAATTAATGTTTAAATGCGTCCGCCGAATGGGCACATGTACACATTTGTGTGTATTTACAACAAAGATGCTCGTCGTGATTGAGCATGAAAAGGTCCTTTGTGCCTTTTGTCTAAGCTGACAATACTTTGACTGTTCGCTGCTTTGTGGCTTCTACGGTTTCTCTATAAAACCCTTCCAGATCCTCTCAAATCTACTGGCAGGCTTAGGGAGGATTTGGGGCGGATTATTAAAGGATTGTACAAGCCCGGCCATCATGGGCCTCAGTGTCCCTGGAAAGTTCAATACAAAGAATTTGCCATTCTGGAGAGTTAAGCGCACGTGAATCAGTCAGAACTGATAAATAATGGCAAGATTACGCGAAGTTCACTAATTTTCCTCTGTATTGACTAACAAGCTCCCAGATAGCAATTTCATGTCATCAAAGTCAATTTGAGCAGTGAGAAAATACAAGCATTTTCTTAGAAAACACTTAGAATTTTTCAGTCCAATCTCATAGGGTTTGCACACAGGGTGTTGAGTGAACTTCGTATATGGAAATCTTTCCTAAATAATATACACAAAATAAATGTTTATGAGTGCAACTGTATGAATAATTGCATGAGGTGACAGTTGGAACGTTCCATTCCACGAGGCGATGCAGAGTGGAATGGTACATTCCAACTGTCGCCGAATCAAAGTATTCTTTCCATCGCACGAATGTGAAACATTCATTATTTGTTTTGAACATACAATGCCTGAACACTAATAGTGTCACCGTGGAATAGAACTTCTATTTACCATGGAAACAAACTTTTTATTTTTGCGGTGCGGCGGGGCCGTGGGTTGGGATGAATATGACACATGATCAATGACACATGATCAACAAACCACCAATCAGATGACAGGGATTTATTCAGGCGATGTTTAAATCCAAATATGTACATTTACAGCAGCGGTAATTCCAAACAGTTGAGTTCTTTCACAATATTTTAACTTAAAAAAATTACTGCAAGTTAAATGTGCGCGATCCCCTTGGCATGGTGGCAGTATTTATACAGTAAGTTAGTAAGCACACTTTTAACAGTGTACCTAACCAAAATCAACAATGACCTCATTTGACCCCTAGATGACCTTTGACCTCAAATGTCTGAAGTCATCTGGAGTCCCCTGCCCAACGATTATTGTCACCAAGTTTGGCTGAGAGTGAAGTCTTGACTTTTCATATGACAGCACTTTTCAGTTTAACTAACCAAAACCAACAATGACCTCATTTGACCCCTAGATGACCTTTGACCTCAAAATGTCGCAAGTCAGCTAAAGTCCCCGGCCCACCGATTATTGTCACCAAGTTTGGTTGTGAGTGAAGCCTGACTTTTCATATGACAGCACTTTTCAGTTTAACTAGCCAAAAACAACAATGACCTCATTTGACCCCAAGATGACCTTTGACCTCAAATGTCTGAAGTCATCTGGAGTCCCCTGCCCAACGATTATTGTCACCAAGTTTGGTCGAGATTGAAGTCTGACTTTTCATATGACAGCACTAAACAGTTAACCTAACCAAAATGTAACACACAGACGGACACACATGTTTACATTATACGTAGTGTGGACATTCCTTTGTTTTCGTGTAACTTTAAGAAAGACCTGTGAAAAAACTCATTTTACTCACACTGTGAAAACTCTTTCAACCCAAATTTGTTTCCACGATTCCCTTAGGGTTTCTCTTCATTTTGCGACGGATAAACCTAACCCAAAAATGCCTCTAAACCTGTTTTCCAGAGAGGGGGAAACACTGTGTGGACGTGGGCAAGTCCACACAACGTCGCTGCTACCTGACTTTATGTGGACCTCTTTTGTTCGGAAGTCCACACAGTGAATGTAATGCTTGTACACAAAATGTACACTATCGCAATATCCTCCTTTCTGGCTTAAAAGCAAGGGGATAAAAAAGAAAAGGCTTGTAGCTTCCGCACAGTCTTTACAGTGGATTCTTCTTTTCTAGATTGCTTGAATAACACAGATTTATGGATAAAAATGCACATGAAATGGAAAACAGAAATTCCAAGTGATAAGAATTCCAGCACCAACTGTATGATAATAAAACAGTACTCACTGTTCCTGCTGTGTCCAGAATCTCCAGCATACATGATAGTCCACACTCCTCCACTTGCTGTGTAAGGGGAAAAGAAAACAATTCACAATGTCATCAAATTGATAAAGAAACTCAATGGACTGCTGATTTGTTGCCAAACATGCCAAATGCTAAAAGTTGATTAGTTATCACTAAAGAAATAACCAAAAAGGACAAAGGGCAACTTCACCAAAATAATAAACCTCAATGCCAACATTTAGAAATGGTCAAAATGCCACAAATGACACATCTGTTTGAAGCTTATTTACTGTCTTTTATGGAATATATGTACAATGTAGTGTATTTCTAACAATGTTCAATAATATGGCTGTTACTTGCAACTAAATAATTAACAATTGGGTAGTGGGTACAAAAAAAATCAATATGTTTGAGTACATCCAACACCATTGTGTTTTGACAGCAAAAAAAAGTTGGATGAATAATTTCTTTTCACTATCACTGAACATGTTGTAAAATATGCAACTGATTTTAACTACATTTATGTACACTGTTAAATTGTCCAAAATGTATCATGTACATGTACAACATTGTGGAACTACCCTAGAGACATTTTGAACACTATTACTATAACGTAGACTTGCCATGCTCAGCCCGGTATGAACGTGCACAAAAATACATGTACATGTACATGAACAGTACGTATTTGACGGGTCGTCCAATGAAAAATCATCGTTTCTTTTGTGCGCGACGTCGGCTGTGGACAATTCCAACAATATCCACTCACAACAGGCCAGGAATATCAGATATTATTGCAGGGTAATATGACACTGGGTAAACGTATCACACACCGTTCAGACAAGATACTGCCTGTATCGACTCCCAGTTGACCATCAGCAAAAAGACGTGAACTGTGCCTACTGTACGTGTGTACAAGCTACACGTTATCAGTTACGAGTAACCGCGTATACATGTAGGCCTACTGTTATTGTCTTTTAATTAATATCAGTCCATATTTATTTTGGCATTGGCACTGCGGAAATTGGCATTGATCTACATTGAGTATAATTTATGTTCAACCTGAGCATACAAATGTACATGTACATTCGGAATGTACACGAATGTACAGGTTGTATACAATGTGTTCATACTATATGCTTCCATGTGCAATACCAATACTATGCACTTGCACACTGTGCTTTCAGTACATGATTTTAAAGAGGTTGTGGAATGCTCAAAGACATTTCCGTCATTTTTCGGGTATATGTAGCCTAAGGTGTGATGAAATAAAAACGACTATTGTGTCTGTCATGAAATGAATACAAAAGGTACTTTTGAGAGCTGTTTTTCAGGTCCAATTTGTGTAAAAGTTGTCGTTGGGGGCAGCAAACAAAACATAGTAAATCGTGACGTAATAAACAGGACTCCCGATGCAGCGTAGTATAAACGAGTCCTGTTTATTACGTCACGATTTACTATGTTTTGTTTGCTGCCCCCAACGACGACTTTTGCACAAATTGCACGTTCGGGTCGAAACAGGACCTTAGAAACAGCTCTCAAAAGTAGGCCTACCTTTTGTATTCATTTCATGACAGAAACAATAGTCGTTTTTATTTCATCACACCTTAGGCTACATGTACATACATGTATACCCGAAAAATGACAGAAAGGTCTTCGAGCATTCCACAACCTCTTTAAGCTGTTTCTTTATGAAGTGCCTTCAGTGTCTCTTGTAGGCGGACTTTGGCACTATATAGGCCTACGGCTACCAGTAAATTGTTGTTGTTATATTATTATGATGTACAAGCACATTACCTGATGTACCCGTACAATGTATGTACTGGTATGTAAACACTACTCATACATGTATTAAGGGCAATTCTGTAAACTCAAGCGTACCGTACATTTGTACATTTCAAACACTTTGACCCTAACTCCCTAGCATAATTTTATAGGAACTGTTCCCATCCTGGCAAATTCCAACACCCACATGGGAAATCCTACACACACACTGTTGGACTTAGTTCCAAACCCAATGTAAAAGACCATCAGTTTAGTACTGTACCCATCCTAACAGATTTCAACAAAACCTGCTGTTGGGCTTTGATGGGTTGAGTTCAGCTAGGGCTAATGAGCTGCTTGCTGATGGAAACGCGAATGTGACACATGTACAAAATGTACATGTATCACTATAATAATGTGACATCTAAGGGGCAATTCCACGGTTACTCACGTTACATTTTCGTAATGTGAGTAACTGATTTTGTGTGTCTTGTTTATCATAGGCATACATAACACATTTTCCTGGATGTCATCTTTGGTGCTTACATGTAGGTAGGTCTAGGTCTACTCTATCTACCATGGGGATAACAGTTATTAAACCTTTTCAGTATATGGTAATTACAGCCCAAGGAAACTCAAAAGTACATCAAAAATGTAACGTGAGTAAGGCCCAAAAAAAAATAGTCGGTCTCTGGTCAGACCAAAGTCTGGAATTGATGCGGTGACGTGTTTTTTTTGGTGGCTTTTTTTTTTTCAAGCTTGTATTGTACAGACAAGGCGGGTACTATTTTGCTTTTTTGTGTCCTCATTATACATTGGTGTCCTCCATAATTTGCCTTGGTGCCCTTTATCATTTGCCTTGGTGCAATTTCCCCATTCCTTGGTGCTCCTTGGTACAAAAATTTGAGGAGGCGCGGCAATAGAGGGCGCTGTTGTAGCTACCGTGTTAATTGAAAAAAAAAAAAAGGTTGATGCGCATGATTAAAATCGACGCGCGCGCTGACCAGAAACCGAGTATTTTTTTTTGTTGGCCTAACCGTGGAATTGCCCTATTGTATAGAAAACAATTACAGACCAAACTAAGGTACCGGTACACCTCCAACTGAACTACATGTACATACAGTCGACTCTCGTTATAACAAACTCGTTCAGACCTAGCCAAATTGTTTGTTATATCAGAATTTTGTATTAAGAGGAACATCAGTCCCATTCATTGTGCACATAAATGCACAGTCGGGACCCAGGCTTTATGTTTGTTATAACCAGAATTTTGTATTAACAGAGTTTATACTAAAGAGAGTCGACGGTACATGTACATGTATGTGGTCGGACGTACCGTATGTTGGATTTTACGGAATTACCAATTACATGTATACACACTGTATACATACATGTACTACTTTCTATAAACCGGTACATGTGCACAATGTAAAAATTGTTGTTCATAAGAATATGCATACAACTATTTCCTTCCTTATGAGTTTTCGCAAAGAAGAAAATACTCAAAACTGAAAACTGGGGCAGCCAGAAAATAGGGCAACCATGAACAGTGTGGCGGAGACGCAGCAAAACAAGGAAACTGCCCATGAAACTAAAATCAATCCCAACAAATATTGCACAATATGTACATGTACATGTTGTTTGTTTATCAAACGGCACAAATTACAGCACAACTTTTGGATAGTTTTTACTCAATGTTGTCATGATAACAATAAAAGAAAAAGAAAATCACATTCATCGCTGAAGTTTCTTCGTCGACTGCCAAAGACTTTACCAAAAGCAGTCTTCCAAAATACAAGTAAACCTAATCTATTGTCTTAAAACAAACCAGTAAATTAGAAGTAATCAACTTTGTAAAAAAAAAAAAAATTAGATATGCCACCATTGAATACTGATCCTAGAATGTCAGAGTTCATACTATAGCCATGAAACGAACCTCTGATTGCAATAAAATGGTCGATGTCTTTTAATTAATAAAGAAAACCCACCATATGGTTCGTGTACATGTAACCCATAGTATTTGAAATATCCTGTCATCAATATCATGTAATATGTGACGTGCATAAAATGCATCATTAAAATGTGGTTACAGAATGTTTTTGTACATGTACGTCAAGGACGTCATGTTTTGTCACACGGTACTAGGAAAACAGGATGGCAAACCAGAATAAATATTTTTCAGATTCATTGTGTAACCTACCGTACCAGCTCTGTCTGGTGTTCTACACTACAAAAAATTAATTAATAAATAAAATAAAAAGTATGCTATGCTGGTCCGAAGGAATGCTGTCGAAGTGAACACCCAAGAAAAACAATACATTTACTTGACTGGAAATAATTTTCATGACCAACTCATCAACAAACTCATTCCAAACCCAAACCTTTAAAACTTCAAATAACAAGTCGACGGTTAAGAGCACCGGACTCATGTTCTGGTGTTTCAGAGGCAACAGTGACGTGGGTTCGAGCCCGCCGGCGGACAATTGTGCTCTTAAGCAAGGCACTTAACCATTATTGCTTCGTCCTTCGGATGGGACGTTAAGCCGTAGGTCCCGTGTGTTGCATAAATGCACGTAAAAGAACCCAGTGACACTTATCGCTAAGAGAAGGGGTTTGCCCCGGTGTTTCTGGCCTCCTGTATAAACTCCCACGCGGAGTATTTAGGAGAAGAACGAACCAAGAACTTAAAACTATTCCTTGGGCTAACGTTGTGTATAATTGGGCGAGTTATACATGTAGTTCCAGTCCAAGATTCCTTTTGGACTGATTTCAAACAGCCTTCATTACACCACAATGAGATGAGGAAGTCATAAAACAATATTGATGACTGAAATCTACAAGTACATGTATCTATAGGGAAATTCGCCATTGGATTCTACTCAAAGTTTTTCTGCAGTGTACATGTATGATTACAGTAATTACGTAGCAAACAACTACATGTACATTATGTACAATCACTATCACTGTGTTCACACTAGATCCGGCAAGGGGAAAACATGGGGGATCTGATGCAGCAAGTTAAAGGGAAGATACAACATTTGCAAACATCAAAAAACTAAATGATCAAATTATCACAAAATATTTTACTGGATTGTTAGGGAATGACTGCATAAAGCATCCTGTAAAACCGTGGCTTCTGGCGTGCTGAAATTTTCAAGAAAACTTCTATTTTTCCAACGCTGGTCGGCCGACCAGCGTTGGAGAAAACTAGCTTTTCTTCAAAAACTGTTCCAAATTGTTCATATTTAGTTATTCTGCACATTCTTTGCAATTGATTACACACTTGTGAATGGGTACAAGCCTGCTAGACAGATTCTTTGACCTTGGATTCCCCAAAGTCTACAAGTTGCTCCATTTCATCTTAAGTGGGGTCAAGGAACCAGACTACAAGAACATGGTTAGTTTTCTTGGATTTTCCAGCATCTCCAAACCCTAAACGTGAAGCAAGTCAGTTTAACAATATTTTCTGTAACACACTTATCCTCCAGATCCATTTATTTCTGAAAATTGCAGCAAAAGCAAATGTTGTACATTCCCTTTAAGGAAGAGAGCTGTATTAGCTGTTGTGAACGCAAGAGAGAACAGTCCATATCGACTGTGGGCAGTTGGGTCGGATACCCAAACCATGCTTCTAACGTTACTGTAGCAATTCTGTTGGAATCAGCAAAAAGTGTAGTGGAAAACTGCTTGGTTTGTTAAAATGAAACGAAACGTTGAAGGATATACAGTCGAACCCTAATAAGAAGAGCACTGTTAATACAAGGTCCTGCTTATAACAAGCACAATTTAAGGCCCCAAATCTTTGTTTTTCTTTGTTTTCCAATACTGTTAATACAAGGTACCTGTTATATAACAAGGTAATTCGTTAAGTCCCAAGGACCTTGTTATAAAGGTGTTTGACTGTAAATGAATTATAATGTCATTCAAAAGTGGAAGTTACATCTTGTTTATATCCAACCATCGAAAATTACTGCAGACATTTAACCCTTTCGATTATTTGCCGTCCGTGCCAAATGCACAAACAAGCAGATTTTGTTTGACGTTTTTAGTACTTTCTCTTTTTCCTTTTGTTTTGGAAAATGGCTTTTGTTTGATCTGCGATGAATTTCATGCCTCTGCTTCACCATGAGCCGAGAATTCCCACTGACTATAGAAGAAAATTCTGTGCTAGGGGTCAGCGTATCTCACGGGTCAGCAGGGAATAAGTGAGTTCGGTGTTTCCAACTGATGTGCACATCAAGATTTGCTGATTTTTCTTTCGGGACAAAAATTTCATCGTATGCGTGCAAAAGCATAGCGGGGTACCAGCAAAATTGAAGAGATCATTGTGTTCGGAGGTATAGGCTCAAACATTTTGCCAAAAAACTTTTGACAGTGAAGTTTCTTTACCGGTAGGTGTCTTGTTGTGTCAAAACTTTTGTGCGAATGAAAGTTCCATCTTTTTTTTTTGATGCACGAAAAGTTGCACAGAATGCAGATTTGGTTACCACGTCCCCCATAGCCTTGTGTGCATTTATCTGCCGCGGTTATCCCCCCCCCCCCAAAAAATGCTGTGCACCAGACTATTTTGGAATACCGAGCTGACTTAAAAATTTAGCTTGTGCACATGGGTACCGTACATCCCGTAACTAAGGATTTCACGAAAACAGGGTTAGTAACGTGCTAACGTTGTTATTACACAAAGCCTCAATACAAGCATGAGATAGAAACAGAAATACTGTCACCTTGTAGCTCTAAATTGTTTGCTTGATGTAAACTACACCATTCTCCATGCAATTGTTTTTTTCTCTTATCTCTTTATCTAACATCTAGATTTATATGTTTATGAAAGGCTTGGTTTTGTGTAGTCAATACCATACACACTATTAAACCAATGGGTATGAAGAACCCAAGACAAATATTTAACAAAAAATATTGAATGATAAAAGAAAATCCATGGCCAAAGGCAACAGGAAGGACAACAAGACTAGCAACTCCCCAATGCTCAGCTGCATGCTCCAGCCTCGGGCGTCATGAGCACTTAAACTGGAAAGTTGGATCGATGCCCAGGCATGGTTGTGATCAGGTGATTGGGACAAACATCTTTCTTTCTTTTTTTGGTTGGGGGGGGGGGGGGGGGTGAGGGGAGAGCGCTTAAGGGATAAGTTTACTAAAAAATATAGCAACAAGTATTGAGCTTTCAGTTATTCCTGTTCACAAACACATTAGGGCTGTGTCGAATGTGCCAAAGTATCTGGATATTCGATCGTCGAGTTGTCGACCGGATATCCGCATAGCATTTTCTTAATTCAAATATTCTAAAATGTGAGTGGTCTCATGGAGATGATGAAAAACGTCCAGTTTATTCTTTAAACCCTAACCTTCCCAAATCCTCCAAAATCCTCCGTGCATAAGTGGAGGTTTTCGAAGGAATGAGGCTACATGGCAAAATTGTGTGGCTGATTGTGAAGGATGCACTGTGTCAAGGTCTTGGGCTGGACCTTGGGTTGTTTATGCTCAGCCGTTCATAAATTAAGGCCTACGTGTAGATTATACTTGAAATCCTCTGCACTGCTCCAGGATGTCACTGGCTCTGCCTCAACATATTGACAGTGATTGCTGGAGGATTTTGCAGGATTGAGGCAGTGGTCACCCCTCCCAAGGAAACATATTCAGGAAATAACAGATGATTTTGGAAGACTGAGGCTGTATGCAATTTTTACACAGAGGTAGTTGGAGGATTTTGCAGGATTGAGGTTGCATCCTAGCAAAATGCTGATGTAGTTTGGGTTAATCATGCAACTTGGGTTGTTTTATTGTATGTACGTTGTGTGTAAGATGCCATAGCTTTGTCGAAAGCCACTTTTCGCTAATTTGTGATAACTATTTAAAACCCAAATTTCTTCAATGAAATCGGTCAAATACCCTTTGAGTCAAATATTTACAAGTGTGGGCACACACAATTGAAAATCGGCATCCAGTTTGGGCTTGCAAATGTTGAACTTGATCAGCCCATTCCGAATATTTGAATACTCAATCAAGACCTGGTTGGAATAATTGAATACTAAATTAACCGAAAGCGCACAGCCCTAAGATACAGAGTGTAGAGAGGCAACATCTACGTGCACATACCTTTCTGTAGCTGTCTTCAATGGTGGGGTCATATTTCTCCACAAAGATCCCTTGAACAAACTGCACGGTCTGCAAGGGAGCAAGAAGAAACAAGAAACGCTTGAGAACTGATCAAGGTTTTGATACTGGGGTTATGAAATACAAAACAAAAGAAAGCAAAACAGGAACCAGCCTTAAATAACGATCAGGAAAGTGGAAAAATCAAGCTAGAGTTTACTCTATACACGAAGGGTCGTGAAATAATTCATTAGATGCTATGAGCTTTAACAACAACAATTTGACACATCAGGAAGTTACTGTGCAAAGTGAAAGTAAAATATACATGCACTGCATTCCTAGTCTCAAACATAAATTCCAAAACAGCGTACATGTAAGTGTGTATAGACCTACATCACGCTTCCACCATTGTAGTCATGTTCCCTGTATCCAATAACAGTACTGAATGATAATTTTTTTGTGCAAGAAGGAACCAGACTATTTTTCCCTCCAGCCTCGCTTTGGTTACATTGATTTGAATGGGAAAAAATCAGATGGCTGCAACAAGATATTGGTCTATAGCGTAATGTCATTATTTCTGGCCAAAGATACCTTCATTTCAATCTTTTTTTCTTCTAAATAAGCGATAGTAAAATACTAAAATATCATCACACTACATCATACATACACTGTATTAAGGTCTGTATGCTCTTGTGATAAAAAAAACAACTTTCTTGCAAGTATGCAGCGTTTTAAAAATTCCAAGGATGAGCTTTTGTTACATGACTATGTACAATAGTTTGTTCCATTCAGCTGGGGCTGAAAATTGGACTATTTCCTGGCCAAACAGTTCAGTGCATGCAGCGATAATTTTTTAGTTCCTTCGAGCTGGTACTTGATTGATGATACCTTGACAAGCTAGAATTGTTTCACTGAGTTTGGTAAAGTATTCTGCCTTCTGTAGAGATTCTTCTCAATACATTGCCCAATTTTTTTTTTTAAATTGGGGGGGGGGGTCAGAAAAGGAGAAAGGTTATAAATGACTTCACAAATTAGAAACTCCATTTACCAAGGCACTCTTGCCTACACCACCGGATCCCAAGACCACTAGCTTGTATTCACGCATCTTTGATGACTGTGGACCTATTGAAACACACAAAGAATGGAATTAAGTTAGACAAAAAGAACACTGCACAAATCCTTTGAACATGATTGCAATGTACACTTGTTTGTTGGCTGTGTTTGAACATTTGGAGGCAAGTACGCATCGCAGGTTTGACTGAATGCAGAGTAACTGTAAGTATAGCCACTCAAATTGAAACTAGACTCATTTTTACCTTTAAATCCAACAGGATCCCACTATGTCACATACCCGATGGAGCCTGTTGGATTGAGCAGTTAACCCCTTGTGTACATTCCTCATGCAAAATGTTAGATTCAGCAGGCAACTGAACCGCATTATAACGCATTGTTGGACTCCGTTGGATTCAGCAGACAACTGAAAACGAGGCACAGTGGATTGAGCAGCAGAGTCCGGTTGGACTCTGTTGGATTTAGCAGGGTAGTCCTGAGGAAGCACTAGGGGGTTAGGGTTTTAACCACCTTTGCCCATTTAGTATGGAGTAGAGGCTCTAATACCAGAACCCATGGTTTTTTTCAGCCGCCATTTTTTTTCTGTCCACCATGTATACAAAATGGGATTGATTACTGAGCTGCGACTTCGGGATGCACGTTTAGAGATTGCATATTTGTATTTTTCACGGCAAGAGTGAACGCTTGGGTAAAATTAGTGTTTGTATGGCCATCCGCGCCGTGTGTGCGCCCAACAACACGAGGTTATGAACTGTACAATACATACATGACATATTCATACCCTTGCCCAAGCGCGCCTGCATAAATGCATACATTACAACGCGTCCGACATTTATCCCATGTAGACACATTTTTCGGGACAATATTCGTGGGAGATGAAGACTGATCGTCTTTTTGGCAACATGGATGAAGATTTCTAGATAAAGGAACGTGTTTTCGAACAGGTACAAGTTCCTCTTTGACTAGGTAGGCCTAGCCTACCCTAACTTTGGAAATTTCTGTCCTCTCAATCAAAATCGGTAGCAAAATCGCTACATCACTTTTCAGTGTGTAGGGGAGCAATGCCAGTCTGGCTGTACAAGAGCTTGTGATAGTGTACGGCCAGAGGCAGACGGGCTAATCTGTTCCTTGTTGTCTCAACTGCTCAACGGAAGACTTGTCGATAGATCTATCTATTTGACATGTTTGACGCACAGACGGTTGAGTTGTCTGACTGGTCAAGTTGTCTCGAGTCGAGTTGGCAAACGGTAGAGTTGTCCGAGCCCTGTCATGCCTGTCACATCATATCACTTTTTATCAGTCATGTCAGTTTCTGAAAATAGCCTCCTCCCCCCCCCCCCCCACCCCCCGACTCCCATCAAATTTCAATCAATTCTGGCATGTTATTGTTGGCACATGAATGATATGATGATTCAGTGAACAGTGGTGAAATCTTACCAGTTTTAACACATAAACATGATAAATTAATAGTTAAAAGTAAAGGCCCATGAACCCACAAATGTCAGTTCAAATCCGAACTAGGCCACACTGTCATCAGTACAGTCGACTGTCACATTCATCATGTTCATTCTTCCTAGTTCCAATCATTTTTTGTCCATAGAATTTACGCACGCTTTGTCAAATTCGCACCGGCGATCAAATGTATCGACACAATTTATAAATGAAAACAATAAGTACACCCATTTCCCTATCAAAGTGAAGACAACAGAAAGACAGGTACATTGTAATCTCAACCATGAATATACTGAAACAATAATTCAGAGCGAAAAATGGGTACAAACCTGTTAAAACTCACAACAATCTCAGTAAGGATCAACGCGTTGGGCGAGGTCTCGTCTAGCTGTTGGTCTCCGATCGTGACGTCACATTTATAAAATGCAGAGCTGTTCTAAAAATAGATCAGATTTGTTTCCTTTCTTTGAACTGCAAATACGTCAAAGTCTCGAATCGGGCAATTTATTTACAAAATTAAACACACCATTCGTTTATGTTAGAAATAAAATTTCGGGAAAAATTAAGAAATTCCATGAAAAAGAATCATACTTAAAAAGAGGGAGGTTGCCGCCCATGTATGGCGTAATGGTGAATATTTCGCCTAGAGAGGGCGACAAACAGATCAAAATCATTACGCGTGGTGTGTTCCGTCTTGTCGGTCGTGTATGGTCGTTTTGTGGTTTCCGAAACACAAAACTACAGGTTGTTTGTCTGCGTTTTGTATAACTTGTTCAGGTTTCTTCCTGTCCGTGTCATGTTGCCCAATACAGGGTGACATTTCGTCGGTATTCCGGTGTTGTCTGTGTGGGTGTTCGTGTTGTTGATTTTTGTCACGTCCAAAAAACGTGTGTTGCAGTCTTTCTGTCATGTCTGTGGTCCGTTTGTTTTGTACTAGGGTTCTACTTAGCCCGACTGCGTCTGGCCGTACAGTACTATCGCAAGCTCTGTAGTACGGCCAGACGCCCGATGCTTCCACAGAGACTGAATTTTGTTGGCCGCCGATGTAGCGATTTTGCTACATCTTTCGATCGCAATTATCTTTTCATCAAGGACACAATTTTCCAAAGTTAAGGTTCGTAGTCGTAGAGCAACTCATACCTTTTCGAAAAAAACGTTCTTTGGTCTCAATATTTTCATCCATCTGGCCACAAGACGAATTTCAGTCATCAGATTCCACAAATATCGTCCCCCATGCGATCCCCCATGCGATTTCAAAATGGCGGCCGCGCTGTAATGTATGCAATATGCAGGCGCGCCCGCGCAAACTCATGAATATGCATAAACAGTCTGTGACGTATAACCTCGTGACGTATGGCCCCGCACGGGTCCGCACGCACGTCCAAAAACACGAGGTCATACGTCACAGACTGTTTATGCATATTCATGAGTTTGCGCGGGCGCGCCTGCATATTGCATACATTACAGCGCGGCCGCCATTTTGAAATCGCATGGGGGATCGCATGGGGGACGATATTTGTGGAATCTGATGACTGAAATTCGTCTTGTGGCCAGATGGATGAAAATATTGAGACCAAAGAACGTTTTTTCGAAAAGGTATGAGTTGCTCTACGACTACGAACCTTAACTTTGGAAATGTGTGTCCTGGATGAAAAGATAATCGCGATCGAAAGATGTAGCAAAATCGCTACATCGGCGGCCAACAAAATTCAGTCTCTGTGGAAGCATCGGGCGTCTGGCCGTACTACAGAGCTTGCGATAGTACTGTACGGCCAGACGCAGTCGGGCTAGGTTCTACTACACTACATTGTTCACATGATCTTATTTGATCGGGTTCATGTACTATACTGTTCATGAACCCGAAGTGATGATATCTCGGGATGCTGTGAGCTTTAATATCTAGCAATGAACAGCTCCTTTTAGTTGAGAAACTAAAATCTACTGGATATGATGACACTGAACGGATAGATGACCATCATTTATTTTGTTGTAGCTTTGTGCTATGACGAGTCAATGATATATGGTTAAATCATTCCTGCCTGATCCAGTACTTCCAGCATTCATGGCTTCACGAACAAATTACTTCATTTGCATCACTTTTTTACAATACATCCCATGTAGACATAGTAGAGGCCTAGATCCAGTAACTGTCTGACCGTGGCGTTATTGAGAACTCCTTGTTTTCTTTGGATTTGGTCTGTCATGCTAGTGCGACAGACCAAGTCCAAAATTACGAGGAGTACTACTACTGGTGCCCCAGTTTGGGTCTGGCAGAGGCCTTTAATAAATAGGTGTAGGCATGAATGCTGTTGTGTGTATCTGTAAGGTTCATTGTTCTTGATGTAAATGTGAAATCACTATGAATATGCTTAAGATGAACCACGTAAAGTTGGACAATTTTTGCTTGCAAGTACTTGGAGTTGTCAAGTGTCCCAGTGTTTTGGTTTCAAATTCTGAGTGTGTTTGATCCAACATATTCCGAATGCTTCCATGAGAAGTGCATGTTTGTGCAGTCCTGTGTCTGTGTGTGAATCCATGGTTAAGAAAGAGACAAAACTTACAGCTTATTGTCATTTAAATTCCAGACAATAATTACAAGCAGTAGTATCACAAAGACATGCCTAAGTAACCCCCTACTCCCACACCTCACTGCACATCACTTATAAGCATGCACAGCCAACTCTTTGTTTATCAATGACTAACACTGTTCAATGAAGAGTGAACATGGAGGGTAGTTTTCCACAATAGGCCCTGAATGAATGTTCATGACAAAAAGAAAAGCTGTAGCATATAAGTTGAGTTAATGAATGGAGCAGATGTTCATTATTCAAGGCAAGGAGATTGCCTGTACATAAAGTCTGTGGGTTACAAAAATGTTTTCTTTGTGGGCTAGCCATAGAACAAGGAATGGGTTAGCCAAGCAGAAAACAGGAAGGCTTTGAAAGAAAAGCCTAGGCCTAAAGAAAGTAGTCAAAGTTTGAACTGGGTGGGAGGGGGCCCGGGGGGGGGGGGGGGGGGGGGCTGGGATGTTTCATGTAGTTGAGTTCATCACAAGTCCACTGCAAGTCCTCCAGTCCAAATTCAAATCATTCAAATGAGCTTTGACAACAGCATTCCTTTGTTAGTTATTCATCCACAAGTTTCTTGTGACTGGACTTGTGAAAAGAAGTTTGTGATTTTTACTTGTGACTGGACTTGTGACTGGACTTGTGATGGAGTCGGGTTGGCGTAGCGGTACTTTCCTCGCCTTCCACCGCTGTGACTCGGGTTCGAATCCTTCCTGGGTCAATATGTGGAATGGGTTTTAACTTTTCAGTCCCTACCTGCTTCCGTGGGTTTCCCCAGAATGTTTTCTGGGATTTTCCTCCCACCTCTAAAACTGTAATTTCTTCTCATTGTCTTCTCTCTACATTGGTGTGATGTTTCCCCTGGGATGCTTTATCGACTATAATATACAGATACCTCGCAGCATCCATTTTTGCTGGTCTGTAATGTGTACCCCGTTTGCTTCTTGGAACTCTTTAAACAATCGCCACCCATGAACTTAACACAAACACAATTCACAACTGCCGTTTTCCAATTGACTGACAAAATTTTATTCCAGCAAAAAACTTTACCCTTTTATCTTAGGTATACTAGCTTGCAGAGTTGGCATTTACTTGAGCATTAACATCGATTGAGCCTATCAGACACAGTACACCAAAACTGACATAATTGGGTAATATCATACCCAAAACTACATTTTTAAAGACAAAGCACATGCCATGTTAACAAGTCCACTGATAAAAACTAGCTAGGACTTGGAGAATTTATAAGTACATGTTTTTTTTGGGGGGGGGGTGGAGCTTGGAAGCAACAAAATCACACACTATGATTCATTAAGGAATTGACAAACTAGTTTCTACAATTAAGTATTCTACTTATTCTTCTTAACTGTTGTTTTTGTCTAGGCTGATGTGCATTTACAAATTATGCATAAATAACCTCATTGACTTTTTTGACAGTGATAATGCATACTTGCAACACACCACCCTACTTTTTTGGGCGAAGTAAATAAGCGGGAGGGGCTTCAACTAAATTGAGGGGGGGGGGAAGTATGCAAATGTAAAACTTTTCAGATTTTGTAATTTGTATGAAATGCTTTCATAATTTCACATGTTTTGTTACTTTGCGCAGTGGCAACTTGCCCTAGTTTTCAGAAACACTGGGTTGACATAATTTACATGAATTTCCAAATATGGTCTTTATACAAGTATCGGCCTTATCAAATAAGATTCTTTTGATAAACCCCAAGAAGCTCATGGGAAAATCATTTGCCAGAACACTTTTGAATTCAATCAATTTCAATTATGATGTTAACCATTGCACATCAATAAGGAGTAATGTACATAACAATGAATGTAGCACAGAAAGCATGCAAATTATGGGGCCGCATCATAAAAGTCTGACCCCTCATCATGGGTCCGACACATCACAAGTCCGAAATTTCAGACTTATGAAGCGTCGGACTTATGAGACATAAATTCTGCCTCATAGGTCCGATAGGTCCGACATTGTCCGACATTGACACATCGGAGCTATGACTCATCGGACTTATGCGGTGTCCGACCTATGAGGCAGAATAAATCAATGCTATGCCTCATAAGTTCGACGCCTCATAAGTCTGAAGCCTCATAAATTTCGGACTTATGAGGCGTCTGATCTATGAAGAGTCGGACTTATGAACGGACCCCCAAATTACATAACAAAACTTGACAGTTTTTCAAGTGTTTGGCAATTAACTAAGTGAGTTCCCAAGGTGGAGTTTAGAGCAATTTCCTTATTTATATAGCTCAATGTTCTTACTGTAAATACTTAAAATAATAATATCATCTGTATTTGGCAACTGCTCCAGGATCACCGTACGTCATCAATTTGAGTTGAAAAAATAGAGTTTGCACTGCTGACACATTTAATAATAGAAACATTAAATTGTACTGCTGCTTTTTCAATTAACATATTAAAATCAAATAATTTGTATTATTTTTATCAAATTAAGCAAAAAGAAAATATTCGAATATACAAATAGGGGTTCATCATATCTACGTCATCTACATGCCACAACCTGCGGCTCCTTTGGTAGACGGTTATCCGTTTTGATCGACTTGTCGCTCCTATTTATGAAGCTTCTCTTCAGTTCAACTTTTTAAATATTGAAAAAACTGAAAATTTTCTTCAGATGTCTGTTTATTGCCATTCAAAAAAACAATCTAAGAATTTGACATGCCCAATGATTCAACTATATTTCATAGTCTCTTCATTCCTACGTTATTTTAATCAGTAACATTTGGCACATAAGTACATTTACTATTCTTAGGAAGTTGGGCTCCATTTTGCAGTGCTGTTCAGTATGTGATAGTCTTCACACATTTTACTGAGACAGTAGCAGTAAGCACATGGTAAAGTAAACTGACCCCGTCATTTTTTTCTTTTAAATTTGCCAAAACATCAATAGAAACCTACATACGCGGTAGCACACTCATGCTGTGAAATACAGTCAAGGTTAGCTCAGCTAATCTGCTTGGATTAGTTCAATTCTGCTAACTGTTTAGCACAGTAGCTGCATTGTGCATAGGTGTGCAGGTTTGGTTGTGGTACATATTATCTTCACAAATAGCAGGGTTCTATTTCACAACTTTGTCCACACATACGTACAACATCAACAGCACCACAACGCCCAACAATTGGGCTTACCGGTATGTACAACACGCAAACTATTGATTCTGTTTATGCCCCAACTGTAGCATCGTCCCAACTATAGTTGGAACAGTCCCAACTATAGTTAAGGTGGCTCCAACTATAGTTGGGACTAGTTAGGTTTGTCCCACCTATAGTATGGGCAATTGCTACAGTTGGGCGTAACAGTTCAAAAAGTACAGTGACAACTACTAGGATGATGACATAATGGAACTGCACTCATTTCACAAACACTGGCTTCAGCTTCGACTCCAGCTCATTGAAATCAATCCCCTTGATGTTGGGAACACTATTTGAGTGTATGGGTTGAGCCAGAGTGGAAAAAGAATCCAAAGCCAGAAGAAAAGCCTCAGTTTCACAAATGGCTTACGATAACATTCCAATTTTTTTCACTACAGCTTTACAGTACATTGCGTGATGGTTACATACAGGGCGAGTCAAAAAAATCGGAACCCAAACCCCCAAATTATATTTCATTAAAAAAATATGTAGCACCAAAAATAATAATGACTGGCAAGCCAATTTCATAAGCTACTTTTAGATGAAAAAAACATGACTGAAATTGGTCAATCCGTTCAGAAAATATCACCATTTCAACACAATGACCCTAAAACCTGTCTCGTCCAAAAAATGTGATTTCAAGAATCGTTGTCGCAATTGTCTTCAAACATCACCAGCAATAAAAACTCAGTTTCACCAGCGATAAAAACTCAGTTTAAACGTTAAAAATATTCAACAGAATCCCTTTGAAGGCCTGTCCTTAAAAAGAAGTAGATTTTATCAATCATATTGTTTGCCTAAACGGGCTTGCTAATAAAGATATTGTGTACTACAGTTGGTGACAGTTGTTGAAACAAGTATTCTGTGTCATTTTCTTTGTTGTTCCCAACAGTCAAAACACACAATGAACTGGGTTTTTTTTGGACGAGACAGATTTTAGGATCATCGTGTTTAAATGGTGATGTTCTGTGAACAGATTGAGCAATTAAGTATTTTTTTTCATCTAAAAGTAGCTTATGAAATTGGCTTTCCCTGTCATTATTTTTGGTGCCATATATTTTTTTAAATATGAAATATATTTTATGGGGTTTGGGTTCTGCTTTTTTTACTCGCCCTGTACGACGTAAACAATTTGTTCCAAAATGGCATGTACATAGTTCAAGTTATTCACATCTTGTAGCATCTATCCTTTTTTTTTTAAATGCAAGCAGCCATTTTTAACTGTAAGCATCACACACTCTAGAAACAACTTTTACTAAACTCTGGCATCGGTAATCTCTGAAATGTCCGAACAAAACTTGTAAAAAACAAATTCTTCATTTCGTTGATCACATAACGAATACACGTCGTTGCTAATATGGCAGTGTTGATAAACCAAGAACTTGAAAATATCTGAAAAAGCAACATCCTAAACTAAAACAACAAAATAACCAAAAACACTCCAAAGTTTTACAGTGAATTTAGATACCCTTACAGTCCATACAGTTTGCACACATTTTTGGCAGAGAAAACGACACGTCGAAATGTGTAACTTTAAAATATTTATTGCCTGAAACATTCAGCGGCAACTGGAAGCATGTTGTTTACAAAAACGACTCGCTCAGCAAAACCCATTTTACCTCGACTAATAAAAAGCATTTGGTGGTGTATCAGCCAATTTAGAAATTATTTTAAACCCCCTGTTAACAAATATTCTTGGTGAGTAAATCTCGATACCATTGAGTGAAGACACTTAAAGGGAATGTACATCATTGGCTTGTGCTGTAATTTTCAGAAATGAACTATTTGAGGGGTAAGTATAATAGATCAAATATTGTTACACTGACATGTTTGAAGTTTTGTGTTCAAGAATGCTGGAAAAACCAAGAAAAACAAAAAGGTTCAAGTAGTCTGGTTCCCTGACTCCACTAAAGATGAAATGGATCAATTTATAGATCCCGCAAAATTGTAAGGCAAGGGAACCAGTCTAGCTGGTCTGCACCCGTTCAAGAACTTGTAACCAATAGCAAACAAAATTTGGACTGAAAAAATGGTAAATTTGGAGCAGTAGTTGAAAATAGTTGGGTTTTTCCAACGGTGGTCCGGCTGACCACTGTCATTAACTAACATCCTAGTAAGGCATTTCGTAAAAATTGGTTAGTTTTGTTTTTCGATGTTTGCAAATGTTGTATATTCCCTTTAACAAATATGTAAGTGTGCCAATTATTACAGACAGTCATTTCAGATCTCTGCTAATTGACAGTCCTTTATAGCCCAAAACAGTAATCCTCATATTTTTTTGACACTCTGCCATTCCCTCCCCGTTTAATACTGCTTACAGACCCTAATACTTCAAAATCAAGTCTAAGGAAGTACTGCAAAGTACAAACCAAAACAAATTGGGCAGGGGAATTGAAATTATGGAACAATTTGTGGAAAATGAACAACCTGTGGATATTTACCAAATATGCATGTAACACCCATTTTGAGACAGACCAACACTGTGGATACAACGTACGGTACTGAGCAATATGTGGATAATGAACAACCTACGGACACTAAACAACTTGTAGATACTGAATAACCTGCCGAATATTCAACATGTAGACGTCAACCGACCTATGGATACTGAACAACCAGTTTGTGGACATTGACCAATTTGTGGACAACGTAAAACCTATAGATATTGAACAACATATGGACAATAAGCTGTGGACATTCAACAATCTATTGACAATGAACAACATGTAGATAATATGTTAACATTCAACATGTACATGTAGACATCGAACAACCTGTACATTGAACAATTAGTGGATACTGAATGACCTGTGAATATTCAACATGTAGACACCAAGCAAGCTGTGGATACTGAACAACATGTGGATACTGAACAAACTGTGTCCACTGAACAAACTGTGTCCACTGACTAATTTGTGGATACTGATCACATATGGACCCTGAACAACTTGTGGGTACTGAAAGACCTGTGTGAGTATCCAACATGTAGACATGACATTGTGGATACTGAACAACTAGTGGATATCCAACAGCCCGTGTCCACTAACCAATTTGTGGATACTGATCACATATGGACCCTGAACAACTTGTGGGTACTGAAAGATCTGCGAGTATCCAACATGTAGACATGACACTGTGGATACTGAACAACTAGTGGATATTCAACAGCCCGTGTCCACTAACCAATTTGTGGATACTGATCACATATGGACACTGAATAACTTGTGGGTATTGAAAGACCTGTGAGTATCCAACATGTAGACATGACACTGTGGATACTGAACAACCTGTGGATATTGAACAGCCCGCGTATCCACTGACTAATTTGTGGATACTGATCACATACGGACCCAGAACAACTTGTGGGTACTGAAAGACCTGTGAGTATCCATCACCTAGACATGACACTGTGGATACTGAACAACCTGTGGATATTCAACAGCCCGTGTCCACTAACCAATTTGTGGATACTGATCACATATGGACACTGAATAACTTGTGGGTATTGAAAGACCAGTGAATATCCAACATGTAGACATGACACTTGTGGATACTGAACAACCCGTGGAAAATTCAACCAACTGTAGCTACCCAATAACTTGCTGATACCCAACCTGCACTGGAGTCTTATTTATTACTCAATATATTCCACATTGATTCAGAAGTTCAGTGCAATCAATCATACAGTCAAAAGTTACAAAAGCATGTCTAACGAATCCAAATTGCAAGACGTGCTTCATTTTGCTGGTCACTATTTGACCGAAATCTGGTTCTTGAATATTCATGAGGTCAACTGAAGTACCATGATCGACTAGACGGAGCTGAAGTCCCACAGGCGCACCGTCTTGTCGTAAGATCCCGAGACAATCTTGGAGTTGTTGAACTGTAGACAGGTGACTCCGTCGGTGTGGTGGCGTAGGGTGACTAGTCGCTCGCCGGTTTCCAGGTTCCAGACTTTGAGGGTGCGGTCGTCGGCCGCGCTGACGACACGCCAGGAATCTGCTTGCAGACATCTGGATGAAAACACGATCACATGAGTTGGATGAAGAATTTAACACCTACTTTGGAGTGCGTTGGAGGATAATAATAGTAATACATGTTTTGAACGCAGCCGTAGCTCTGGATGCCCGTTTCAGACACAGCCTTCAAGGAGTGTGGCCCAGTGGTTACGGTTTGTGACTCATGATCAGAGGGTCAGGGCTTCAAATCCAGCTGCTGGTTATATGTTGTGTCCTTGGGCAAGCCACTTCACCCCAGGCCCGTCGCCAAAGGGGGGGGGGCCCTGGTGGGGCCAGGCCCCCCCCCCATGGCAAAAGCCATACATATGTATTTTTGTATTTTTATGGTAGTGGGCCCCCCTAGTTGGTACTTTGGCCCCCCCCCCCCCCTTGATGCTCAGGGCTGGCGACGGACCTGCTTCACCCCACCTGCCTCTCTCCACCCAGGAGTATAAATGGGTACTGGCATTAGCTGGGGAGTATACCTACTTTGGGTAGCATATGCCTCTCCAGAAAACAGAATGAAAACAACCAGAAAACAAGGAAAAAACAGTCTACACATTGATGTATCAATTGGTTAGCCCAATACTTTCAAGTCCCCAAAAAACAGTACTAAAACAGACATTTAGCTTACAATATTGTTTTACCATCAAAACAGCAAAAGAACAGTGCAACATCTTTAAAAACATCCTTAAAACATATTTTTATCCTGTTTTGTTGTGTGAGGCACAACAAAACTGAATAAAAACAAAATATCATCAAATAAAACAGCCAGGAAACAGTTGGTGCAACGTACTCATTTTCAGGAAACAGGGAAAAAATGTATTTTATTCCTGTTTTCTTACAAAAAACAGGGAAAAAACGTGTTTTAAACAGAAATAAAACAGGAATTCTTCAACAAAATTCGGTGAGGGTAACCTGCAATGGACTAGGCCAAAAAAAAAAAGTTCTGCTTCCGATTACATGGCATTCGAAAATAGGGCAGGTAGGTAGGGAAATTTTTTTTTGCCAATTTTTGTGTGTGTGTACGATCATATGGAGGCGTCTGCGTGTAGTCAAGGGTAAAAGGTAGAAATTGATGGTTTTGGGGTGTTTTTTCCTCATTTTTCCAATAAAAAAATTAGGGTAGGGGCTGTCAGAATAGGGTAGGTAGGGAAACTGGAAGCAGAACTATTATTTTTTTGGCCCTAGCATCTCATCCAGGGGAGTAGAAATATTCTCAGTCGTTTCATGCAACTGAAACCGGCCTGATGGGCCACATTGGCTCATGACAGACTTTACTTTCACTTCAGGTTAAAAAATCTGGTCTAAAACCAAGACTACCTAGAGAACAGAGTGCTTACCTAACAACGCCCGTGTGTCCCTCTGAGTGGGCCCAGTCTATAGTACTGGTGCAGAGCCCCGTGGTCAGCTCCCAAAACTTGAGATTCCTATCCAGCGAGCCGCTGATGATTTTGCTGGCGTCAAACTGCAGACATGTCACTGCATCGCGGTGGCCCTCTAGAGAACGCAGGCAAGAACCCGTGGCAAGACTCCAAATCTTTGGACGCGAAAAAGAAAAGATGGTAATGAGCAGGAAGTGGACTACTTGTTACCAGCATTGTGTTGTAGCCAAGTCCATCCCGATTTGATCACCAGACTAGGCCACATGTAAATCACAAGTCTTGTCGCAAGTAATAGGTGAAGAACAATAATAACGGAAGGTCTTCGTCACATTTCATTAGAATAGCTTGTGACTTGGCTTGAGAACTTGCGATGCTCGACTACAACGCTGTTAACAGGTTAGGGCCATTTCATAGTGTGAATGCAAACGTGAATTTGAAAAGTCTGGCTGTTAGTCATCACACTGTGAATATGCAAAAGTTTATCACATTCAACTGTGATTGACCCATGTAAGTTTAAAAACATGCGTACGGAAGTTCATCGGTAACAATGCTGCTTTATTATGCACATTTTCTCGCGGACATTATTAAAGGGGCACTAGGTCCTGAAATCCCGGAAAATTTCATGTTTTGGATTGTTTACTTAGCCTATTTCAAACATCTGGTTGAAAGGAAACCAACCTAATGTCTTACCGTTCCCAAGAAAAGACGAAAAAATCCGCTTGTTTACATCAGACATGACGGAGTACGAATACATTTTTCGTGTCGTTCTCAGCTATACGCGTTGTGTGTCTCGGGAACAGCGCGCGGTGACCAATCACCAATGCAAAAAATTGTGGTTTCTTCAACGTCCGCAAAAGGCGAACACTTTACGCGTACAAATGAAATCACAACTAGCATCCAAACAGCTCGAATTTATGGGGTCGCAAAAGTGGACCCCAAAATTCGTTCTCGCACGCATAATACAGGAATAACACAAAAACGCCCAGTTTTGAAAGGATAGTTGTGTGGATGTTTATATCCTACTTTTAAAAGTTATTTCCGATTATCATCATCTCGTTCAAAGCGCGTTTTGTAGCCCAATTGGGCTGTTCCAGGACCTAGTGTCCCTTTAATAGTAAGAATGCAAACATGAATTTGTGATGCCTAGCTTTTAGTCTTCACATTGAAATATGCAAAAGCTTACCACATTCAACTGTGATTGACCCATGTAAGTTTAGAAACATGTGTACAGAAGTAGGTAACAATGCTGCTTCTAACGGATGTTATTAAGAATATTCCCATTGAAATACACCTGGGAATAAAACCTAATCCCCTCTGATGTTTAGAATAACATTTTGCGTCCCCTCAAGAAATAAATTTGTGGAATCCTAATTATTGGAAAGCTACCTACCTTGATTGTTTTATCTGCTGATCCTGAGACTATTTTTGTGGTATCAAATTGCAGACACAAAACAGCGCCTGTGTGGCCCCTAATGTAAACAAAAAGAAAATCGTTCAGAAGACTTTGAATCAACAATTTCTGTTAGTGTTTTAGAAATTTTGAATTCAATAACAAAGTTTTTGCTTTTTGGTGACATTGTTTCATGGGTGCTGTATACTCAGTGCTGTTGGACGTCTTGCAAGAAAAACTTCACCAGCTTACTTGGGCGGGACTCAGGACCTTCTGCAAACTAGTGCAGATGTCTCATTACCACTGGACTACCTAGAGGGGCCTCGTAGCCGAGCGGTTAGAGCGTGGAGCTACGGAGTGGAAGGTTGGCGGTTCGAATCCCATTCGGACCAAAAACTGGAAAACTCTCTCTGACGACCCAACAGTAAAATGGGTACCTGATTCGTTCAGGGAAGGTAAGACGGCGAGAGGAGAGGACTGGGCACCGCCACTCATATGCCGCGCCCAAGACACAGTGGACCTCTAACATCCCACTGCTCCTACGGCCAGTAATGGCTATGGGATCTTTACCTTCACCTAGCTAGCTGGGGTTGTCATTGCATTAATAAGCGAATAACTATGTGCTTGGCCAGTTTTAAAAAAGTACAACCTACTCTGGGGACTGAACACTGATAATGGCCCGAGCTGAAGGCAAGGGACATTATCAGCATACAGGCCCCCAAGCTGGTCTTAACCCTAAAGGGGCCGGGTTATTTTGACCATCTCTCAGCCGGGGGGGGGGGCGGATTCGGCCCCCCCCTAAGATCTCGGCCATCGAGTGACGAAAAATTTTGAAACTCGATACATGCATAGAGCAACTCTTCCTTGACATACCCAAGAAATTTCATGACTATAGGTCAAAGGGTTTTGGAATTATGGCTAATTAATTATTCATATGTACGAATGGCAATTCTGCTCTGTGTACACGACGTATATGCGAAAATTCAGTTTTCACGGCGCATAGCGCCGGAAAATTTTTCGCTATGCGGCAACCCGTGGTCCGATTTTTATGTTTTTGGTATCAAAAGATGCGCAAAGCTCGAGGCTAAAAAGTCATATCAGCTCGGGTCGCGAAAAAATTTTTTTTAGAGGCTATCACGGAAAATGTTGAGGGGGGGGCGGGGCGGATTCCGCCCCCCCCCCCCCCCCGGCCCTTTTAGGGTTAAATGTACTTGTTTGATATCGGCCAAGCACATATTTATTCTCATTCATAAATAACTTTTTGAGTCAAACAGTCAAAAAAAAAGTCAAAATTACAAATTTCCAACGATTTTGTTCAACAATTTCACTTCATGTTTTTGAAACACCCCTTTAGCCATGTTATGGTATGTACCGCTTGCCAGTAGTCGTAACATTTCCTTATATGGAGATTGGCATGCACGTGGCGCATACTACGCGATGTGGCGCAGAATGCAGCGGTGCCGGTGTAGTGTGAATTTGAACTCTCTCAGTACGGACTCATTGGTAGTATTGCGCATGCCTAAGTGAACATTGTGTTCCGGTTGAAAAAAATGTTTTTACAATGGTTTGAAAATGACATATCCAACAGTTGCTGATCTTCAGCAAACGTCAGGGTTTTTTTTTGGGGGGGGGGAGAGGGGTTATTTTGAAGATCATACACATACTAGCTCTCTTTCACCATACCTGAGCGTATGTCGGCAGACTCCCGTTCTGATGTCCCACACTTTGAGTGTTTTGTCATAGGAGCCACTGACCACCTTCTCATCGTCCACCTGTAAGCATCGGACCGTGTCTTGATGTCCCGTCATGGTCACCCGACACGCTATGCTTGACCAGCTGTTCTGCATGGACAGATCCCATACCTAATGCGCAAATAAAAATTGTGAGATCGAATTCTGTTAAGGTTGGTTCATATGCCCCGTGAATGCGAAGTCAATATTCACTGCGAAATTTGCCGGAGTTGTTTTCAAGGTGTGCGATTTTGCGGGGCAAATGAAAATATGAATCGGCTTTAAGGCTGTTTCATCTTAAACCTCTGTGAATTTTTCACTGGAGAGCTATTACCGTACGATAGGTGAAATTTCATGATGTCACAATTGCAATGCCTTACTCGTTATGTCAAATTGGGTGAGAGTGCAATAAGTGTACATGTAAAATTGTCGCGTCGATTCTGCAACAAAGTCGTATCTCGCGCGAATACAACAAGGTCGTACCCCGCATATCGCAACGTCCATTGACTCTGTGTGTACATCCGGGCAATTTTAAGTGAGATACAACCTTTTGACATTGAAAAATCGCCACTCACGTACATGACGTCACACGCCATTTTAGGAAATACGACCTTGTTGCACGGACACGAAGAAATAATATATCTGTATATTCGTTGCGCAGGCATGGGCTCAATGCCAGTCAATATTTGGCATCACTAAAAATTGGGATAAATATCAAATGCAGAGGCTGAAATAACAAATATCAGATATTTTCAAAATGTTTACTGTATTTGTTTGAACACAGACGGATGTGCTTTGGTCAAACTTTGTACTGTAAGTGCATTCTAAGTAAGTACTTATGAGGCTGACACTTTTTTTACACCTAAAAATTGATTGTACTAATTCTGTTCACATTAATTTTGTGGAGACTAATTTCACCCTATTGAATGGCACATTCTTTGTACTTCAACAAAATTGGGACATCAAGGAAACTGTAGCTGTGTTGTGTACAGTTCAGGGTACAGTTCAGGAACATGCAATGGTACCTTGATGGTGCGATCCGTGGAGCCTGATACTAGCTGACTGCCTTGAAGATGGAGACATCTCACTGTGCCTGAGTGACCAACTAGAGTCTGTACTGACCAGGGGGAATTGGTGCGGATGTTCCATACCTTGAGAAGGATAATCAATACCCCGCTGTCAGGTTTTGAAGCATGCATTTACGTCTTACTTTAAAAGTTTGTCAACCTTGAAATCACTGTGATCAAAACCTCATTTCAAATCTCAAGTCCTAATGGGTCAAGTCTCAAAAAAACTTTATGTAAACTTTAAACTCTTAAGTTTGTTGAATTTCCAAATCACTGTGGTCAAGCCTCAGTTCAAAGTTCAAGTCCTAGTCGTTCAAGTCGTAGTCAGTCAAGTCTCAAACTACTGGGGTCAGTTCTTAGTTTAAACCTTGGGTCCTAATTTGTCAAATTTCAAAGTCCTGTTGTCAAGACTCAGTTCAAATCTCAAGTCCAACCTACTTAAAGAGGTTGTGGAATGCTCGAAGACATTTCCGTCATTTTTTGGGTATATGTAGCCTAAGGTGTGATGAAATAAAAATGACTATTGTTTCTGTCATGAAATGAGTACAAAAGGTACTTTTGAGAGCTATTTTTCAGGTCCTGTTTCGACCCGAACGTGCAATTTGTGTAAAAGTTGTCGTTGCGGGCAGCGAACAAAACACAGTAAATCGTGACGTAATAAACAGGACTCGTTTATGCTACTCTGCATCGGGAGTCCTGTTTATTACGTCACGATTTACTGTGTTTTGTTTGCTGCCCGCAACGACGACTTTTACACAAATTGCACGTTCGGGTCGAAACAGGCATGACAGGACTTGAAAAACAGCTCTCAAAAGTACCTTTTGTACTCATTTTATGACAGAAAAAATAGTCGTTTTATTTCATCACACCTTAGGCTACATATACCCAAAAAATGACGGAAATGTCTTCGAGCATTCCACAACCTCTTTAAGATTCAAAGCACTGTGAGGAAGACTCAGTTCAACTCTATAGTCCATGTCAAGTTAAGAAATCATTGTGGTCAAACTTCAGTTCAAGTCCCAATTGGTCAAGTTTCACACCAATGTTCTCAGATCTTACTTGAAATCTTAGTCCTAATCATTCCAGTGTCAAAGTAAATATGGTCCTTGTCAAGTACTAATCAAGTCCAAAATTAGTTATCTGTGGTCAAGTCTTTAGAGGCTGTGGTCAAGTCCAGGGTGACCGTAAGGTCAGAGCCAAATTCTGCTAAATGCACATCAAAAATCTATCAGATTTATAAAAAATCTGCCAAATTCCCCAGAATTACTCGAAATACACTTTATAAAATCACATGCAGATTGGTAGTATCGCCTTAATTATGGTTTAAATTACATGTACATAATAAACAATCTAGTCAATAAAGATGTTGTGAAACTTTTGGTAAATTTCGGGCAAAACGCAGAACCCGGCCACGACGAAGTCCGTTTCCCAGTGAACCTCAGCACATAGACCAGCCAACCTGTCCCATTATTCAAGGGTTTGTTTGAAAAGATTGCATAATTGAAGCTTTTTTAAACAAATGTAAACTTTTTTGTTAAAATGTGCTGTTTTTCTGTCAATTTTTGCAGGATTCTGTCAGAAATCTGCCAAAAAATCCATTCTGTCAAATTTTCTGTCAAACTCGTATTTTTTACAAAAATTCTGTCAAATTTAGCTGAAAATCGGCTAAAAGGGTCACCCTGGTCAAGTCTCAGGTCAGTGCAAACAGGGCCCAAGCAGTAGTACTCATGTCAAAACTCTGAAGTCTCTCCGATAATGTCAACTCAGTCAAACCTTGATTGTATTATCCGATGAGCCGCTGACAATTCGAGTGTCGTCAAACTGCACACACGATATGCCTTGTGTGTGGCCTTCAAACGTGCGGACGGAACATAGACCCTTCAGCCAATTGCGTCTCAGCCGATAGCGTTCAGCAAAGGCCTGCTTCCACTGTATAAACAAAAATGGGAGGAGGAGGATTGGTGGGGGTGGGGGGGGGAGAGACATATGAAATGGTTCATTTCATTCCGAGCTGTAGTCAAGTCCACTTGTCACAATTTCAAGTCAAATCTAAAGTTAGGTCACAAGGAACAGAGGATGACTCTTGGCTGAGCTCCCTGTCACATTTCACTTAAATAGCCTTCTAATTGAGATGTGAGACTGAACGACTTGCGATTGACTTGTGCTTGTGATGACGTGAGGAATGATTACTTCAAATAGTGCTCAAGAAATGAAATAGTGATACAAATAAAACATGGTTTGAGGGTGGATAGTCAATATTAGCTCCCCGAGGTTTTGGAAGTTGACAATTGTCAAACTGAAAATGACCTATTTTACCAGCAAATCGTGATCATTACTGCACAACTTAGCAAGGTTGATACAAGGCACACACAGCTTTGTGTTTGAAGTCAACAAAATTAATTTTAGAGTTGATGCACGATTCCGAAAAAAAGTCGGGCAAAAAACAGTTTCAAAAAGGCGGGTGAAGGTGATTCAATGACTGTTTCATGAACGGACAGAATCATACACAAACAGCTGTCGTAAATGCCGTTATTATCCTCATCCAAAATGTTGAAATTATTTAAAATGTTGCGCAGCTACGCCAAGCTTCATGAAATCGATCGTAAGTTTATGGCGCGCAGCTGCCCAATAAATTTGTTGAGGAAGTCCTACGCATGGCGTAAGTTGTGCACTGTTCGTGAAATCGGCTGCAGATTTCCTCAAACTATGGACTACATGTATGTGCATGAACAGTGAATGGTGCTTCATTACAACTGGTGAAATCTCCGAGTGCGGGATGCACATCATCAAACACACACACACAGGTTCGTATTGTCGTGAATTTCTATACGCTCGAGGACAATGCTTTGTGTTCCCCTCTGTTCCTGTAATATAACACTCTCCCATAGACTAAGCACATAACCGTATGATCGAGGACCGTTTTAAACAAAAGACCCAACGCTCGAGGACTGAAAGGATCTTTGTGTGTCTATCCTCGATCGTAAAGCCATACAAGAGCGCGAACCCATGTACTGTTTTACTTGAGTGCCAGTCATACAGCAGGAGTTTATTCAAGAGTCCTGATTAACTCTCTCTCTTTGAAACCATTGATGGGGTACTTGAGCAATGAGGTCCACTTACATGGATATAGGAGGAGATGTGGTTGATCATCTGTTTCTGCTCCTCGGCCTTTGGCAGGGCCCACTTGGGAAGTCGACACAAGCTACGCCATAACGTGGGCTCATTGGCTAGCTCATACCATGCACGGCTGACACACGCACACCTACATAGGCTTACTGTGATAACAAGCAGAAAAACACATGAGAACTTTTGCTACATATAGGCCATTTTTCTGTTGTAGGGGAAAAAGGATGAAACTAAAAGAACGGCTGATCTAAAAAGAATTCAGCTCAGGAAACAAAAGGTATCTTTTATGGAGAAGCAAACTTTCCGAAGGAAAAGAACAACCCCAAAACCATTAAACATTTAGACAGCCACTCATTGACTATGTCACTTGTGATGCCAAACCGACAGGCATCCAAAACATCTTTTCCATAATATTTTGCACACATTAACGCTAACACGACTCAACCCAACAAACCCCAACGGCATGTTTTGTTGGAATCTGTCAGGATGGGTACAGTACCCCTAAAACTGACAGTCTTTTACATTGGGTTGGCACACCTCCAGAATCAAAGTCAGAAATATGTGTGCGCAGTTTCCCATATGGGTGTTGGAATATGCCAGGATGGGTATGGTTCCTAGTAAATCATGCTAGGGAGTTAGGGTTAGCAGTTTCTGTCAACACCTTTAAATCACTCAACAGTTTGCTTAAAAGCTGGCATCAGATGACAACAACATCCACTTGTGTAAACAAATGTGATACATGTTTATACTACACAAAAAAAACGGACGTTCTTTAGCATCTTTTGTTGAACTAGCTGTTCACCTGGGTCCAAGTAGGCCAGAATACGGAGGGAGAGTTGGGCTGGTAACCACGACAACAGATCTTGGCAATTGTGCGGGCAGCTTTGATGCAAAATGGGCGCCATGGTAACGGACAGCATGTGCATTTGTGGAAGATCGCACTGCTCCTGAAAGGAAAACAAGACAGGAAATGCTGTGTAAACAAAACTCCATTAAATAGTAATTTGTAAAGTGTTAGGTTAAAACCCGACACTTCAGGGTAGAGCTTTAAATAGAGAAATGACCCCCCCCCCAAACAAAAAGGACTGATATTTTTTACACTTTTCAGTGTTTTTTGGCAAATTCTAATAAATTCTAAAAATTCCAGATCTTAATTTTGCCTCTGAAACAAATTTATTTGAAGATTTGTACAGGTGTAAACATTCCAGAAATGCATAACTCAAAATTGTATCTGCAAGGAGAATACCCACAAGAATTTTTATGTTATTAGTCTTTGCGATGATTATGCAATTAACGCTAACTCCCTAGGCCTTTTTGCTAGGATGAAGCCTCAATCTTGCAAAATCCTCCAATTGGCCTAGGGGAAAAATAGCATATAGCCTAAATCCTGCAAATTCCTCCAATTGGCCAAGGGGAAAAATAGCATATAGCCTCAATCCTGCAAATTCCTCCATTATTTCTTGAATATGGTCCGTGGAGGGCTGACAACTGCCTGAATCCTGCAAAATCCTGCGGCAGTGACTGTCAATATGTTGAGGCTTGGCCAGTGGCATCCCGGAGCAGTACGGAGGATTTCAAGCATTTTATCCAGGCCTATATTCATGCATGGCTGAGCAAAACACAACACAAGGTCCGGCCAAGACCTTGACAAAGTGCATCCTACGAAATCAGTAGCGCACTTTTGCCGTGTAACCTCAATCCTCCAAATTCCTCCACTTTGGCAAAGAGGATTTTGAAGGATTCAGGGCAGTTATTTCCAGCTTACCAGGAGGCGTTTCATCATGGTGTTCTTTTGCTGGTCGTTGAATTCCTGAAACCACATCTGGATCATCTGTTTAAAAAAATTGACATAAAAAAATACTTTGTCACTTAAAAAAAACTGATTTATCCAATTGTATTTATTCTCACAGTTTAGTTATGTCAGATATTCTGTTTGTAAATCTTGGCAAACAACTTTGATAGTTAGCAGGCTCTATAGGCAGGTTTTCAGAATGGTACTTTCCTTGCCTTCCCCCTCGGTGACTTGGGTTCGAATCCTGTCCATGCCGACATGTAGCCTGCTTTTCAGTTTGTGCCTGATTTTAAGGATTAGGCCGAGGGAATGAAAGTCATAGAATACTGTCCTGCTGATTTTGAAAAACAATGAGGCTTTTTTTTCATTATTCATTATTCTGAAGCACTAACTTTCAACCAGTCATATCGCCAACCGTTCGTGACGTAGCTGATGCAGCATCTCACACACACGTCACAAACACACCCAAAGATTCTAGAGCAATATCGCCCCGGCCCCACATGTGCGCTTGCCATAAATCGATTGCCCAGAGTGGGTATTCTAATTGCTCAATTGCGACTACCCTACTAGTCTTTTTCCAGTCGTTTTCAGGCTGCGCGCTGTGTGGTTCAGATGACAAATTGCATGATGTCGCTATGTAGACATTAAGAAAGTGTTTGGGAAAACGGCCATAGGCAGTCGTTGGTATCATGCAGCGCTAGTGCTGGTAACCGCGCGCTATACATTGAAATACAAGTATTGTATATGTACGGCGTGTTCACCGTACTCTGTCCGCGCGCGTGGGCAGATTGGGTTTCGTGCCAATGTGGTACACAGAATACGACTATTCCGAGTTAGAAAAATTGTGTAGAGCGGATTCTGATAAAATTAGAAGTAAACTGTTGTGGCAGATTAATATTCTGGGTAAATAATGATTTTTTTTGTAAATAATGAAAAATTTCGGTGGCACCTTTCGGCACATGCGGGGGGTGGACGGTATTCTATGACTTTCTTTTCCTCGGCCTCACCCCAATATACATCTGGTGTTTTCCTCCCTCTTCTAAACATATACATTTCGACTGTTCTGAAGAAACCCTCGGAAGCACGGTAGGGGCTGAAAACCCCAAATCTACCACCTTTTTTTTTTCCAGTGTCATAAGCACTTTTTTTGGAATTCTTGGTTTTATTTATATAAATTGAGTCTAATGAAACAGACTGACCTCCATTCTGTGTTTGAAGACAGCTCCCTCAACTCCCAAGTGGCAACTGTGAGGTTTGACTTTACAGCCTCTCTGCCTCATCTGAACCTCACAGGATGAGCTCTTTGCTCCTGGGGACCCTGGCCGATGGTTCTTGGCGATGCGGATGTCTCGTTTCCTGCAGACTGCCAGATGATCTGGGGAGGATGGCTGTGAGATGGTGACCTGTGGATTCAGACTTGGGGAGCTGAGGGAAACACAAGCCGGGAGACTCCTTGACTTCTGGTGATCAGCTGTGCGACGGCAGCAACACGATAAAGACTCAGAGGGTAGGGGGTTGTCTGTCGAGGACTGGTTTCGTTTTCTTTCAAGAAGCCGAGCACTGGATGAAGGGGAAGAGGATTCTTTGTTCAAGTTGCAGTGCGAGTGGTGCTTTCTGCCCGTCAATTCCTGCTTGGAGCTTGCCTGAGCTTGCGACGCTAACTGAACAGCCATTGGCAGTTTAGCCTTGCCCATCCGTAAGCTCAACTGCAGGGGGCAGGCACGCTTACGGGGCCAGCTGGCAAAAGTGATGTCCGACTTGCTGTTACGACAGGAGCAGCAGGCTGGGCAATGACACTGGAGTGTCCTCATGTCCCACTCTTCTGTGGTTTGCTTACTCTCCCCCAGGTTCGACTCCTCATCCAGATAGGGGCTCCTGCTCGTCCAAAAGTCGTCTCCGTCGTCACTGCTTTCTTGCAAGGACTTCCTGATGCACTTCTTCTCCTTCTTGAGGTGGCTCTGCAAGTGTACCTTCCGGTCACGTCCCCTGCCCTCGTTCTTGCCAAACATGGCCTTCACCAGGCTCGGTCGGACGCAGTTCTGGTAGACCACCTGACTGCTGTCAGGATCCCTGGAAGGGTCTCCGTAGGTTGGCATGTCGCTCTCGCTTGAGGAGCTGTATTCTGACAGTGGTTGGCTTATGTTTGGAGAATGACTGGAGCTGGACGACGGGACGTCATCAATGTCCATCACGTCCAAGGGCAGGCATGCAGCCCCACCATCTTCTCCTGTCAAGGCAGACTCGGTCTCGGGCTCTCTGCGTGGCCGGCGCGTGAACCAAGCCACCTTCTCCCATACCCTGGACTTGGACTTGACTCGCTTCGTTGGTGGTCGTATGCTGGCACCCTCTGAGTCGCTGGACGCTCCATTACTAGGATGATCGACATGGTCCATCGGATTCGCTGCTACTACAAAATGAGAATAAACTGACACAGTGAACTTGACTTAAGTGCAGCCTAATATTTAAAGCTTACTACAAAAGAATGTCGTTTTCAGATACCTTGGATATATGCACAAAGTAACAGAAACAATTTATTTAAGTATTTCCAACAAATTTCATTGGAAGTAACTCACATTTAGTTAAACTAATTGTTAAACTAAGACCATGAAAACTATGCTGTGTCTCTAAACTGCTAAAAGTAAAACAGGTAAGAAAGTTGAATTTTCTTTGAAAGTAACATTACTACTACTGATCAAACTTACATGTATAAAAACCTAGACTAAAATAAAGACTTCACTTGCATGACTAGTGCTTGAGGCTGCAGAAGTCATTTGGAATTAAAAATCATTTGCAAAAGTCATTTCTTAACCTTAACGTACCTGAACCATCAAAATCCACACCCCTGTTCCGGGGATTTTGGCGGATTCAGGATACCTCCATATTAAAAAAAGTTGGGGGATTTTGATGGATTCAGGACATGAAGCCTAGCGGTACTGCAGGATTTTGATGGATTCAGGATACCTCCGTATTGCGCAGTTAGGGGACTTTGATAGATTCAGGATCTCAACAGATATACTCCTGGCTAACTGGTGGATTCTGATGGACTCACTGGCCACCAACATTTTTTTGCACGGCAAAATTGATGGATTTTGGTGGATTCAGGGTACTTAGTAATAAATATACCCAAGGGGTTAGGGTTTTAACAGAACTAGTAAAAGTAAACATACAATGACAGAGGTGTACTAAACTATACTTTTACCGAAAAATGGGAGATCATGTAGTTATGGGCCCGGTTCCTAAAAAAGTAAAATCTATGTTTAATTTATTTGGCTTACCAAACTAGTTTGTTGGCGACAATAAGAACATGCAGATATGTCATAGTTTTGTCGGGGTTTTGAATTTATGAGGGAAATTTGGTGGTAAACATGGTAAAGTGACAATGACAATGACAAAACGCAAAACGAAAATAAAGATGGCAATCACCGGCTTCACAGCGATGTACCGTGAACGCGCTGAATCCCACAGCACCAACCATACACTGCATACGAAAATCATTATTTCTACAAATTCTAACTAGGCCAACCTTTGGAACTGGAAGTGGAAACCGTTTAATTATAATATAAATTAAAAATGAAATTGACATGATTGAGAGAAGTCTGCTTTAGGGTTTGGTCCAAGTAACTTGGACCCAACTTATTGCCTTTTTCAACATGCCTAGCTTAGCCCCATAAATGTGGCCTATTTACTGGACTGCCTCCGTAAACATAGGCCACACATCCACATGTACAAAAACGTGTCGCACTTTGCCAAATTTTGATTTTCGCATTTAGGCTTAGTTTGTAGGTTTTTTTTGCTTTAGAAGCATACTCACCCTATTTATAGGCTAATCAGAAAGTGCTGCCTTTTTCAGATGTATATTTTTTGTGAAATTTCCAGATTCATTTTTACACGTTTGCGTACCAAAATTTCAACATGAAATTTCACAAAAAGTAGACATCTGAAAAAGGCAGCACTTTCTGATTAGCCTATAAAGAGTATGCTTCTAAACTTTAAGCAAAAACACCCTACAAACTAAGCCTAAATGTGAAAATCAAAATTTGGCAAAGTCGACACGTTTTTGTACATGTGGATGTGTAGCCTATGTTTACGGAGGCAGTCCAGTAAATAGGCCACATTTATGGGGCTATGCCTAGCTAAGCTAGCCGGCACCGGTGTGGCAGGTAATTCTGTCCCCCCTGGTAAATGTGTCCCCCCGGACAGATCTACCGGGTCGTGACCCGGTAAATCTGTCCGGGGGGACACTTTTAGCTAGGTAAACCTGTCCCCCTCTAGGTAAATCTGTCCCCCTGCACGACGTTAAATGTGTCCCCCCTGGTAAATGTGTCCCCGTGCAACGTCACAAGTCTAGCACCCAGACTGTATATTAGTGAAGTTATTAACTGTTTTTGCGTGGCGCCTTGCTAAATTCGGAAAGGTGCTTACGTCAAAGCACAACTCCCGTTTGGATGACGACTTCGGGAGCGAACGATTTGCATGGTGGGCGTGCGCGCGAGTGTACCGCACCTACGGGCCGCGCCAGGGCCGCGGCCGGGGACGGGGACAACAGTGCACCAGCAGCAGGCCTGCGGCACGGTGACCCGTGTCGCGTATAATTTTGCCAATTTTCCTCATTGAAGTCCGCCATGACAGTCACACGCGTATCGGCGGCTGATGCTCGTGCGCGCTAGCGATAGGTTGAGTATTAGATTACTACGCGTGCCTTCTTGCAGAAACATAGATCGGTTGATTAACATCTAAACGTTAATTTCATTTTGATAATTATTGATGAAGAAGGGTGTAAAAATCTAAAAATGTATACCTGTGCGCTGAATTTATTATAATAACATCAATATAACAACTTATGCGTGCAAAACCAGGGGGGACAGAATTAACTGGAGGGGACAGAATTAACGGGACAGGGGGGAAACTTTTACCTAGGTAATTCTGTCCCCCCGGACACTTTTACCGGGGGACAGAATTACCGTCCACACCGGCGACAGAGGCTCAGAGCAGTGCGACTACCGTACCACCAGTGAGTGAAGACAAGTGAGTGAAGTCGACCACTACGCGTACTACGACTGTTCCATTTTACTTTACTGTGCTAGGAGTAGGAATGTTAGCCTTGGCGTGTCTGACCACTTACCTTTACCCAGCCTTTCAACGAACAATTATGCTATGTTTCATAGTGTGATTACTTCATGTATTTTTTTTATGCAAGGAACAGACAGTCGAAAGACGAACTGAGATAATTCACGCCATCTTGAACTCATCATAATCACATCAAACTCGTCCCCATAGTGCGCAGCATGTCTAATCTGAAGTGGGCCCTGGGAACAAGGTTACTTCTACTTTTTGCCGGGCAGCGATTTAATTTTGGACTCAGATGTGAGGGGACGGTATTTATACAGCTCTAGTATGGGAGGGATAGAAAAGTGTATTTGTTCGTTAATTTATAGCGAAATGTAAAGTGCTGGACTCCTATCCTAAAGCTATTTCCTGGGCTAAGGCTAACACAAAAATTATGTCGGCTGGGAATGAAGCGTTAAGGTTTGGTGGGGGCAAGTGTACCCCCCCCCCCCCCCCCCCCCCCCCCCCCCGCCAATCGTGGGTAACACTAGACAGTGTCTTGGTCGTTTATTTCCCTTAAAAAAAATTCGGCTAAATAAGTTGCGACTAATATTAAGTCCATGCGTGGTTAAAATGAAATCATGGAGCAGATTCCAGAGGGCGCGCCAATCTTGCCTGAGCATTACAGGGCCTGCCAAGTGCATTCGCTACCGTGCAGCTAGCACTGCCTCGTGGCGGTACTGCCAAGACGGCACTGCATCATGATTCGCAGCACCAGTTGGCTCAACATCGGCAATTAATGGCACTGGCTCGATTGAACCGGCTGCTGTCGCTTTTTGCCACATGACGGCATGCCTTGCTAAATGTTATGTCCAGGGTCTGGCTCATCATGGGTCTTTTCTTGCCCACTGAGCTCTGGGTCATGGAATTGGAAAGGCTCGTGGCAATCATGGCCTTTGTTCATGAAGGCACTGTCTTGCGATTGCACTGGCTCATATTATATCTGGCTCATGGTAATGGCTCATAGTTCTGGCTCATGATGGCATTTGCTCATGAAGGCACTGCCATTTTGCGCGGTGGTATTGGCTCATAGCTCATGGTAACTCATCATGGCATATTGCAGCTCATAGCTCTGCGCTCTGGCAAAAATGAGCACTCATGGCATTGCCGCATGACGGCACGCTTTGTGATGGCTCTGACCATGCTCTGACAGAGTCTGTCTCGTGGCATTGGCTCATAGCTCTGGCCGTGGAACTGCTCATGGATGATTACTCAAGACCGTGGTATACTGCTTTGTGGCCACGGTGCACGCACAGCACGACAATTATCTTGGTACACGGTACTACCAGACGAAACTTTGAGATGGCAGTGGGTCATGTAGTCTGAGTATCACCCGTTCTACGGAGCATCAACGACTATGGGCCATGCGGGAAAATAGCACCTTTTCACGGCAATCGGGCACTACCTTTTGGTAGCAATGATGTGACTTGTCATGACACTATGTCATAGCTCATAAAAGTGGTGGCATGTCACTGTGTGGTGCATATGGCTCTTGACGGCACAAACTTATGATGTGCACTATGACACGTGCTTATGATGGCACTGTCTCAAGATGACAATGCCTTGTAGTGGCATGCACTGCCTTGTGGGGGCACTAGCAATGACACTGGCACTGCCTTGTAAATAATGATGGCATAAACTTGGCACGTACTCGTGGCACTGGTTTATGACGACACTGCCTTGTGGTTCGTGGCACTCACTCATGGATCTTCGTCATTATACCTTGTTTTGGCACTGCCTCTCATGGGGAAACTTCCTTTCATTCGCATGCATGCAACATAACTGGATCCTGCTGGTGCTGGGAAGTTAACTCTGGTAGCACTACCGTACAATATCTGTGCCCCATATGTTGCAGGCTTCTTATTAAAGATACATCGCCATGCAGCCAAGAAACTGGTTTGGTACAGAAGGCAAACCTTGTGTTTGTCTTAAGGCTTATATATTTCCTCTTATACTTCACGACGGCACCGCGCTTGCCACATGACAGTAAAGCCTCATGCCGGCACAAAAGATGTCATCGTCCCATGTAAGCTTGGTTGACTCAGACGAATAGGGTACAAATCATATCGACTGTGGCTTCTTGGAGCACAAGATTCCAATGCCCGACAACTGGGTCAATTCTGGCTTCATGCCGGCACAACACTGTGCCAGTATATGCCACCAAAATGGAATAGTCGTCTCAAGCAATAATTTTGCGACGCGTCGAAATACTGCCGGCCTTTTTAAGAGCTATATAATGAGGCATAAGAAAGCACTTCGCAGTTCTTGGCAGAACAGGCGTCATTATGAAATGCACTCATGTACTGTATGACTCGAGGCATACATGTATATGAAAGTTAAAGCAGAATTTGATCGGTAGGGTAATTAACGTCGACGCCATATAAACTATACAATTGTTGACGTCATGATTTTCGGTTCGCTTTTGCGTGTTTATATTCTAGATTATGATTTATGACGTCCCATTTTCAAACATTTCTGTTGCCAGAATCATCGTCTTTTCGTGAGCTGCCCGGTAGGCTATATAAGCACAGTTACCATGTCAATTTGAGCGTAGCCAGTGTGGGCAAAGAGGAGTCAATAAATTGGGGTGTACATCTAACTTATTCTCTTTGTATATTACGTACGTCTTTCAGGTGTGGCCGGAAGAGTACATCACGATAATTAAAGCTTTTCGAAAAAAGATACTGAGAGCTGGCGGAAATCGGCAATATCATTATTAGGGGGAAAAAATGTATTTCTTCATATATCATCACAATGAAGGTCTGTCTTTGCAAAAATGATGATAAGACATTAATCTGGGACTGAGAAACATTCCAATTTTGTTAGGAAATCATTTTCTTGACTCTCCATAAACTTTGTACACAACCGCTGAAGTGGCCAGGTTGCAACATTTTTCCAAACTGAGTCAGTACGTAACGCATGGGTGATGGTCATTTATCTACATGTAATTGTGTGGTTTGAAGAAAGATTAAGAACCCAGCTTGAACATTGTGCTGATATTCCTGTCCTAGCCCTCCCGTGAGGAAAGGATGATCCTGATTCTGGACTACAGAGGGCGCTGTTTCGGAAAATCTACAAATAAGTGCGCAACCAAGGAAATAAAATCCCATAGACACCAGTAGTCCCCGTACTTTTACTTCAAAATTCTTTTTAACAATTACTGAGAACCCCCACAGGTGTTCCGGTTGCACAGTAGTGATGATCAACATGTATTCTTTCATTTTCGTTTCATTTCTTGATGGGTTGACCAATAACTTTTTGGAAAAAATTCTCACCCCGAAAGACGACCGCCCCTAAAAAAGCAATTTTTTCCCGAACTGGAAACAATATTTTGAAATAGGATCCTACCAAACATGGCTAAATACTGGCGCCACTTTCGGTCCCAATTGCATTCGTAATGCTAAGAATTGGAAGCCCCAAGTCCAGGCCAGGAGGTGCATTGCCATGTCTTCAATCTCCGAATGGCTCTCGGACAACTATCCATGAGCTCGGCGGACAGATTTTTGGCCTATTTACTTGGTTGCACCCTAAGGGAGGTCGGTATGTATACTCAAGTCCATCACAAGTCCCAATTCATATCACAAGCTATTCAAAGGAGCTTTGACAAAGGCATTCCTTTATTGTTCAACCATGTTTCTTGTGAATGGAATCGTGAATTACTTGCGATTTGACTTACAATGGCTTGTGATGGACTCGACTACATTCCTGGGAATGGGGAGAGTAAAAGATTTCATGGTTATTGCCTCTCTGGACTTCCTGAAGCAACTCTTGAAGCTTTTAAAGTGTTACTAGTCCCGACACATGAAAAACATCAAATCATATACAAGTGGGACGCCGCTATAACGAACATCGCAGGATCCACAGAAATTGTTCGTAATATCGATCGTTCGGTATAACGATTTTATTAGCCGCCGGTACTCTGGTACTCACTTTTCAATAAATAGCGACCTTTAGAACTTCACACTGCACGTCCCGGTTACTTACTGAAAGACAACTTTGAGCAGGTGCCGACTATTGAATTACATGTATGTCATTACACATTTTTTGAGCTTATTATACCTACAGCAATGGGTGGATTTCCCCTTCTATTCCCCGGAAAAATAATAGCCACTTGCCGCTCTTCTGGTGACATTTTTCAAGAACAATGTTCAGTACGTTTGTACAAAAAAATCGGGAGCCAACCACAATGTTCGGTATAGCGGTGTTCGGTATAGCGACGTTCCACTGTATGTCATGTCATATTCCTTTCGATCAGTGACTTTCATACAATTAATCTCGGCAAAAATGGGCTTATAAATACACTTTAGTGATATTAATGTTTGAATGGGATGGGACGGGCCAATTTAAAAATACTGAACGCTTCAGATGCAATGTAGACATGCACAAACATCAACCATACGTCATATTACATTGACATTTATTTCATGAGATAATTATGCATGTACAGTACTGGTCCAGTAATAAAAATATGATGAATATGAATAATTGAATATAGTTATAACCATGCATGTATGTTTTGTCCATAATCTGCATACAAGTATGACAACAGAATAGCATATTTACAACTCGCATTAAAACTAAAAACGGCAATATGAAGGGCAGACATACATTTCCATTTCATTTTCAACAATTGGATTAAGGATTCAGTACTAAAATTTTGTTATGTTTTCATTTAAAATAGAAATTTTAAAAGACAGATCCAGGGGGTGGGGGCCAACGGGGGCCATGGACCCCCGGCCCTGAGAAAAATAACCATTCTTTTAAATTTTAAGTGACGTCGCAATAAAGGCAGGCACTCAGCGCGTACACCAACTTTTCCTAAAAAAATTTTTTGTTAAAGTGGTCAGAAATTGCCTCATATCGCACCACAGAGTATCTAGAATCTGGAATTTTTTGGGGGCCAAAATTTTTTAAGCAAGCTTCGAACTCCACCCCGTATTTTTTGGACCCACTTTATGGGGGACCAACATTTTTGTTGGCCCCTCACTGAAAAATTTTGCTCTAGATCAAATCCGCCCTTGTTGAGGGAACCAATATTGTTATCAAATGTGGTTTAAAACATAAGTAATGTTTAATCCCAAGTTTAAACTATTCATCAGAGCAGACTTGTACGTATCACTTTGTAATGAACTTTTATTTCATAGCTTTTATTTCTACTTGCAAGTTCCAAAAATGAGAGGTTATCTCGCTTTCAATTAAACATGGTCGACATGTGACAAGTGACTTTAACACTGCTGTGCAGGAATATTACTGTTGAAATATTACAAAGCATTTCAACACCACAATTAACTTCAGCTTTGGCAAAGTTGGTGCCAAATATAAATACAGCAAGGATTCAAGCATATCTGAAATGTTCACAATATGTCATTCAATAAGAACAACATTCTCTTACCTCTTAAATATCATTTGCCTATGTGTATATGTAAGTGTTAAAATGAAATTTTATATTCCTACAGTAACATATTTTGTCTTATGTATGAAATATTATGATTCAATGTCAGATAAAGTTTCAGATATTTTTTCTTACTCATTTTAAATTTGTCAAACTGTACGTATTCAGCTTTTGTTGACTTACGCAATTGTAATATTTCGGATCAGAGTTCTGTACAAAATACTGATATCAGGTGGCATAAACATAACAATAAGCAATAGTTTAACCTTTTTTAAGCTGACATATCAGTGGATGTCCATTTTAAAGGTAACTAAACAAGACTTGTTTGAATATTTGGATCTAAAAAGCATCAATAAAAACTTTTGTAAGTGCTTAGGACAACATTTTTAATTGCCATTACTGAGGATAAAGCATGTGACTTCCATATGTGTATAGTCATGATAGTTGTGCTAATAAAAACAGCCGCCATATTATACATGTAAGCCCCAAAATATCTACAAAAATTCTTTTGCAAAAATGTCTTGTTTGCAGGATGGCGATCTAATGAGCAGACATTCCGATTAATCAGCATGTCTGCTGATTCACAACAGCATTTTCATTTTTGATTCACAACAGCATTTTCATTTTTGTACAGTTTCAAACACCTCACAAAGTAACATCACATATAATTGCGCTAGTATCAAGGAATGATGGGTGGGTTGCATATTACAGGAGCTACATAGTCTCATGCAATGTCAGGGTTCGACCTTAGCGGTAGTCCGGTCGCCAAATGCGAGTAAAAACAGCGGCGGACTAGTATACAAATATTGAATGCTTCGAGTGGTGTAGTAAAACTAGCCTCCCGAGGTGATCCATGGACATTCTATTTTCCCGAGGCGAAGCCAAGGGAAAATAGAATGCTCCATGGATCACCGAGGGAGGTTAGGTTTACTTCACCACGAGATAAAACATTCAATATTTGTTTCATAACACTTCACCCACAGATTCTGCTTGGTTATAATATTTAAATTATTTAAATCTGAACACAGTTGAAATAAACTTGAATTTCAATACAAAACTGGAGGAAAATGTATTTCTCTCTTCCAAACTACCCCTTCGCGAAATGTTTGAACCCAACTCTGCGGCGCGCTCTCTTTGGAACAAAATGCGCTGCGTGCAACGCGCACACCAGCATGCATTTGCACACAAATACCGCGCCATGGAAATAGTACTTTGGTTGCTAATGGTATATAGTACTTTGGTTGCTACGGGTATAGTACTTTTGGCCGTGCACAGAGAGATAGCACAATTAGAAAGTATCACGTGACTCGCTCTCGGCCAATCAAGACAAAGAATCTGTGGGTGAGGTGTTATAATCAAAACCATTCCCTAATATCCGAATGGCAAGTCAAAATTATTGTAAATAACATTAGTGTTTATGACATTCTGGGGTACAAATTAAATACTATAGCAGACCAGGGAAAAGGCCCATGGACTATATACATGTATGAGTCTGGTTCACGTTCGGCTAGTGAAAAAAAGTTAAGGGCGAACCCTGAATATGTGTTGGATGGAGATGTACATTCAACTTCAAGCAAACTTGCATCCTTGATGCTGGGTAACAAGTTCGGCATTTAAAAAAAAACTTTTAACGACCGTAGATTGCTTCAAATATGAATGAAAAGTTTGCAGAAACACCATGTGCGAATAATTTCTCAACAAACAGAATTGTTCTGAAAAGAACCAGAGGTATAAACTCGACGTTCCGGTCAGTATGCTCTGATCCTCTTCAGGAGAAAGAGCACTCTCCTGAAGACGGTCAGAGCATACTGACCGGAACGTTGAGTTTATACGTGTACCTCTGGTTCTTTTCAGAACAATTCTCTTAGTTGAGAAATTATTCGCACATGGTGTTTCTGCAAACCTTTCATTAGTCTGCAACATCAATGTGACTGATCTTTAACTTGATCAACTTGTCATTTTGAATTTGAATTGAATGTTCAATCAATTCCAAGCTGGAATAATCGAATACTGAATTTTTCAAAAATGCACCGTCCTCCAGAAAAGTATGCCTACTGTTGAATGCAATTACATGCTTGTACCCCGGTAGAAGGGAAACTAACTTAACATTGGGGAATGAACGCACTACATGTACAATTATCCATTTGAGACCAAGTGCAAAATATAGTGTACACAAGGTTCTACAGCCTGTCTAAAAAAAAATGGTACAATCAGCTAAAAAATTGGTTAAATATGAAATTTCAAATTAAGTCAGTCTTACTTGGCATAATATTAAAGAACAAAGACTGGGCTTTCCAATAGTGTTTGTTTGATCTTATTTGCTTTTGTCAATTCAGAGATAGAATCAATTTAGTGCGATACACCAAAATCAATTTTGTGCCACTTTTATGCATGGGCAGAGTTGTTTCGAGTACTGTGCCATGCTGTCTTGAAGCTCACAAAAGATTGCAACTTGGCAAAAGAAACAAACTCGCTTTTTGTGTTCCGCAGTAAACTGGAGTTATCTCTGGATTGACAAAAGCAAATGAGATGAAACAAAAAGTATTGGAAAGCCTGGTCTTTTTTCTTTGATGTGATGCTCAAAACGACTTACTTATGTTGAGATTTACATGTAATATTGAAGAAAAAAAATGTTTTCGATTGTACCATTTTTTTGGAGACAGGCTGTATTTTCAGCTACATGTACATGTACATGTATCCATGCAATACGCATAATGATTTACATGATGAATTAAACTCACGTATACCGGTAGTCAGAGTAGGGTACTGGTATACATTGTATTGGGAGTACTGATGTGTAGAGTATACATACAGGTACATTATACATTTACTTCTAAACACAACGTGTTACAACCTTGTGATTTACATTGTACTTCTAAATGCAATTCTGATATCAGTGAGGATAACTTCTAGGATGGCATCTGCTTTAGAAATTTTTATGAGTAATTCATGTACAGAGTTAATAGTTCATGTTCAACCTGTACAGCTTTGGTTTCTACATTGTACATACATTGTATGCTCTCAGGCTCATAACTCAGTGCGTGGATTTTACACGAAAACAATACAAGTAACTGAAGTAACATGTTCATTCTTTAAAGCCAGAGTCCATAATTTGCAGCCATCCGAAAAAGTAACTTGCGTATTATTGTTGAAAAACATACTTGGTTGAAAGATAGTGAGTGGACTAAACTCCCTGTGAAATTAATCTTTCTGGCAAGCTATCATTTTGAAGTAATCAACGAAAGAAGGCCTTTCCAACAGTGCGTCTCACGACGCACCGTAGGAAAATTTAAATTAGTAGTTCGTTTTGTTATTCGGCGCAGCGCGCGCAAGCATTGGCGCGATGCACATGCGCGTGCGGTTTGCTATAATTCGTCGGATCAGTGCGCGACATCGCGTATGGCTGCAACCAGCTCAGTGAGAACGTGTCTCGGATGCTGAATTCAGGCCCAATTCAAAACATGATTAAGCAACTTTTGATTTGAAATTGAGATCCTAGAATGCTGTTTTTCTCGGAATATGCAGCTGAAGCCGAGCTGAAACTTCATCAGTTTAGTTGTTCAGCACCCCTCTTTAGATTTTGAACACTTTTGTTGCTTCAAACGAACAAAATGCACAAATTACAAATGATGGACTATATCTTTAAGGATAATGTTTGAAACATGTCTGCATACTGTTGGTTACAGCAACCTTTATGGCTTCCCAAGATTACATGTAGATGGCATCCTACGGGATGTTCACACAGCGGTGGGCTCTGAAACAACAATCAGCCCTCTGATTCCGGCCAAGTCTTGGTTGGCATCGGTCTGCGAATTGTCCAATCTTTCAGTCGCTACTTCAGCATTGATAGCGTCTGGTTTAGTCTCTGAGCAAGCATTTTGCGTTTGATCAGTTCTTTCTCCAGCCGAGTCATTTGCTGCTTCCGTTATTTCAGGGGTCACAGGTGAGGAGTTCTCAGCACTAGTTTGCTGACAAGACCCCTGGTTGCCCGATGATTGAATTTGGAGGTTGGACAGCGAGTGACAAGAGCTTGAGAGATGAGTTTCTGAGCTTCCTCTTCCCTGAATAGGAGTGGACGGGCAAGAATGATGATTGTTTTTGTTCTGATTACACGACTTGATGTCACCAAGGTTGAGATCACTTGTGATAATGGGAGAGCTCTGTTCATTCCAGAGATAGCCCTGGGTTGACACTGGGGCTGTTGCAGGCTTGCATGTGTCGCTCAGCGACACACCTGTGTTGGACATCTCAAGTTTTAAAAGGTTCTTCTTGTTGTTGTCTGCCACGCTGTCATTTCTTATCTCGGTCTCCGAATCGGGTGCTTGGCTGCTGAACGTGAGTGTCTTGACAGGTTTTTCCCGTGCGTCTTCCCTGTGGAAGGTGTTGGAGGGAGGCAACTGCAGATTAGCGGAGTGGTAGTGCTGGGCTTCCATCGGATCGAAGACCACCCCGTCCTCGGCGCCTCTCACGAAATCGTTGACGGGCATGGAGGCATCGTTATTGACCAGTCTGTAGTCATCTGTCAGTTGCAGGTCGTGGCTCGACTTGCCCGTAATCGCCTCAATGATGTTGGTACAGCACATGCACATTGGGATCTCGGTACCATTAACGGTGTAGCGGAATGGCTGGGTGGCCACGTAGCTCATCAGAATGCACATGACCAACTCGCAGATGCGGAAGGCCAGCTGGTACCAGACCCAAGACCAGGGCTCCGGGACCTTCTCTCCCAACGGGCCATACACGACCACGATGCCGTACAGCTGCAAGAGGCCAATGACAACGCCAAAGAAGGATGCGAACAGTGTCACTTTGATGGCGCTGCCCCAGTTGTTCCTGGGCTTCTTCAAAAACGGCGATATCCCGTACATCGTGGACGTGCGCCTGCTGATGCTCATTCGGTTAATCTCCCGGAACTGTCGCACGGACGATTTGTGAAGCCGACGGAATATGATCAGGTAGCTGATGGACAGGAATAGACCCCAAATGAGGAAGACTCCCTGGCACAGCAGCAGGAGCACCTGAGCTGAGGTGAAGACCCCTACGACGACATCCACAACGATGGAGACTGTGAAGTGGAATACGATGATGCCAGCCAGGACCTTGGCGCGCTGGATCTTGGGTGAGACAAGCCGAGTCCTGGTGGAGTGCAGCAGCGCCAGGAACAAGATGCTGAACGCAGAGGACAGGCATGGAAAGCCCATACCAAGCAGCATGTACGCCACCGACAAGGGGAATATACCCTTATAGTTATAAGCATCCACAAAGAAGTAGATGGCGCGATCCAGACCCATGAGCAACATCATGATGTTGAGAGCCACAAAGTAACCTCGGCTGAGTAGACGCCGGCTCTTGAGTCGAATGAGACTCACAAATGAATACAATGCAAGCAATGCAAATAACGATCCCAGAATGTAAATATGGATGATCCAGAAGACGCCATAAAGCGGTAAGGCTTCCTCCCAGTTTGGTACTGGCTCTGCAAAAGGGGGAAGCTCTGCTGCGCCTGTGGGCTCGGGCTCTCCACTGGGCTCGGGCTCTCCAGTGGGTTCTCCCTCCGGCTCTGGCTCGGTTTCCGGTTCCGGTTCGGGCTCCGCCGTGCCCATTTTTCCCATGGAAGTGTCCATATTGCGATTAACAGGTGAGGTGGTGGTGTTTCCCATCTCGTTGTATGGCACATCCCCAGACGTCGTTGGCAGGGACCAAGACAACAAGACACAGAGGAGAGTCAGACTCAGATAATGAGATGCCATGGTTATCCTTCTCCTTCAGTTGAAATTGGTAAAAGCATCCGATTGTCCAGGTCCTTGCAGGCTAGGTGCGTGCTTCCTTCAAATATTTTGAGTGATGGCACGCAAGTACATCATCTGTTGAGGTAAAAATATATAACATTACATGTAATAACAGAAACATGTATTTGATGACAAGATAAAGACAGAGACAAAAAACGGTGATTGAGATCTTAAACATTTCTTGCTCCAAAACGCACGTAATTCACATGGTCATGCAAATGAATAGAACTCTCTCATAGGACGCAATCTTCATAGGAAAATCCGTGTTCAACGCCATCAGGTGTGTGTGCACGCGCAGTGTGCAAAATGTTCTAAACAAGCGCATGTTGCTCGATTTTTCTTCGAAATACAGCGCAGCCGATGCGCATCACAAAAATTTGTCGCCCAAAATGTCGATGCATACATATGTGGCAATCTGTATCAAGTGACGTCATTTGAGAGAGACCTATTGGATATTATCCAAGTTCTGTGTGAAGCAAGACCAACTTGCAAAATTTTGAGAGAAAAAAGCGACAAGTAATATATTGCCAACCAGCCCTATTCATGCAGCCCTCATTTTCGCTGACATTAAAAAATCAGGGACCCGGTCTTCAAAACTAAGCCTTACATTGGATATTAAGGTTATCGACTGGGAGTAAGGGCAAGTGACGTTTGCGGTTGCAGGGCCCTGTTTTGTTCATTACTAACCGAGCTACGTACGTACGATTTCACCTTGAAATCCAATCTGTACTGATGGACACAGGAAAAACAATTGGGCTGGAACATCCATGGAAGTCAAACAGGAAATTGCCATCCAATGACTATTAATCACATTTTTTTATTTACAAAGGAAACAAGCAATTGCCACAAGCGAGTTTCATTTCCAAGTTTATAGATCTGCACTTTGCATTGAACTGTGGAATGTTACTGCTGTCAAAAAACACACACACTTGTGATTAATGAGTGCCAAGTTCTGGATTTTTTTAACCCATTTATACCCCGTAGTTTCTGTACTATAGCCCCAAACCACCCTGCCTTAGGCCTGTTGCTCACCATAATGTGGATTCATCAATATGTATACGGGTCATTCCACCGGGTTGGGGAACAATGTGTGACATATGACCATATTAAGAAAAGCATGAATGCCTTGCTAGCAGTTGCTCTACATAATATTTGTTGTTGTTTGTTTCGCTACTGCAGAAAGCTTGAAATAATTTCAATGTATTTTGCCAAAAATATGAGCAAAAAATGTCATTTTGGACGTAACATTGACACCGTGTCAGTGTTACGTCCAATTATGACATTTGTACCTTTTAAAAAATTTCTAAGAAACATTACCCAAATTCAGTTTGCGCACTTCTTACTATAGATGCAACACAATAAGAAAAGCTTTTGCTACAGTAGTCAGGTATCAAATGGAGCAGATATGAATGCTTGGTTGTGTGGATGTAACATTGACACGGTGTAAAACCCAAATGTCACACTTCCATTGAGTGATTTTTACACCGTTACATCCACACTTGAGGTATTGTTTCTGCTATATTTGAACCCCGACTATACCAAAACAAAAGCTTTTCTTGGTGCTTAGGTGTCCATATGCAATGTCGGTTTAGGTAATATTTTACATACGTGTAAAAAATGGCCAAAAAAAAAGAATATTTGGATGTAACATTTACACGGTGTCACTCAATGTTACGTCCGAATTAATACATTTTTGCTCATATTTTTGTCAAAATACTTTCAGATAATTTCAAACTTTCTCAAGTATTGAAACACCCTAAGAAAAATATTATGTTGAGCAATTGTTTAGAATGCATTGATACCTTTTATAATATATGGATGCAACATGCACTGCTTCCCAACCTGGTGGAATGATCCATACACCCTCCTGCTGTGCTGTATGAAAAGTCACATACAGTAAAAACAATCAATCCTCGTCCCCTGTCATGCCTTTTACACAGACCAGTTACAAAATAGTCAAATCACATTTCAAGTAAGCTCACTGTGACTACAGTCAACAGATAAAAGCAGGCATGTGGTACCGGTAGGCACAGCTGGCTTATCAATCACCTACAGTCTAAGCATAGCTGTATCAAGTTACATAAACAGTCTCAGCCAGTCAATCCAGCCTTAATTAAAGGGAAGATACTGGTACAACATTTGCAAACATCAAACAACGAAATGATCAAATATCACAAAATGTTTTACTGGATTGTTAGGGAATGACAGTCCAAAACATCCTGTAAAATTGTGGCTCCAGGTGTGCTGACATTTTCAAGAAAACTTGTATTTTTCCAATGCTGGTTGGCCAACCAGCGTTGGAGAAAACTGGCTTTTTTTCAAAACCGCTTCTAATTTTTCATATTAAGTTATTCCGCATTTTCTTTGCAATTGATTACACACCTGTGAAGGGGTACAAGCCTGCTAGACTAATTCTCTGACCTTACAACTTCCCAAAGTCTATAAATTGTTCTGTTTCATTTTAAATGGGGTCAGGGAAACAAACTATAAGAACATGGTTGGTTTTCTTGGATTTTCCAGCATCTCGGAACCCAAAACGTGAAGCAAGTCAGTTAAAAAATATATCATATAAAACACTAATCCTCCAAATCCATTCATTTCACAAAATTGCAGCAAAAGCAAATGTTGTACATTCCCTTTAATATACTGTAGGCTGGGAACTCTTTAACTGTTCAAACTGTCACTTCATTGATTTTGTCTGAAAGGACAACTTTACACAGGATGTTTGCATAGGAGGGTTTTAATGGGTTAATGAGAGCTCAAATCATATCCATGTATGATAATACTGTAACCTCTTTCATACCGGTATCTAGAAAGTACATTGCCTTATTATTTCTGGTGTTGTGCATGTACTGGTCGGTACCATTAACCCTTACCCTACTTGACCCTCCAATGCATGCCAATTGTGCCTCAAGAAAATCTCCTATGTTTTTTGCATGGCCCTCCAATATCTGCCATGTCATTTCAAGGGTAACTGGACAGGCACTCCAATACATGCCACAGAGAACAATGAGAGTCCTCTGATAACAAAGTGAGTGCCCCCAGCTGGTCAGTATCAGGCACCCTCCAGGGCCTCCAACTCCTGCCAATTGGAGCCTTCACTGTTAAGACTTGTTATCTGCCAAATAACTGCAGCTGGAGGGCATTGGCATAACCAACTGACATGCAGTAAACTACCCTCAGAGAGTAAGGGTTAATCATTCATGTACTGACTTCCTCACCACGTGAGCAGACTTTACCACCAAAGCAATCCAGGTTTTTATCTGCACAATAGCATGTCTTGAATTCTGTTATGAAGTGCCACTTCACATCTTGTCTACAAACACACCAATTGTTGTGGATTGGAATTTGGCCGCCAACAAGTTCATGAAAATGCATTGCTGTGTGTGTGTGGGTGTATAGCTTTCACCAAATGTACAGTACTAGGGTCGACTGTTATTTAAAGGGAATTAATATACATCATTTGCTTTTGCTGTAATTTTCAGAAATGGATGGAATTGGGGGATTGGAAATATATAGCAAATATAGTTACACTGACTTTTTTGAGGTTTTTGGATGGAAATTTCTATAAAAACCAAGAAAAACAATCATTTTCCTGTAGTCTGGTTCCCCGGCTCCATATAAGAAGAAACAGAGCAGTTTACATACATTGGGGAATTGTAAGGTCAGGGAACTAGTCCAGCTGGCTTGTACCCGTTCATAGGTGTGTAATCGATTGCAAACAAGTGCGATGGTCAATTGGGGCCAGTATTTGAATAAAAGCCAGTTTTTTCCAACGCTGGTCGGCCGACCAGCATTGGAAATTGATACAAAAATACCACTTTTCTTGAAAATGACAGTATACCAGGTGCCATGATTTTACAGGATGCTTTACACTGTCATTCACTAACAGTCCAGCAAGGTATTTCAAAATGATTTGGTAGTTTTATTTTTTGATGTTTGCAAATGTTGTATTTTCCCTTTAATACAATTTATGAGCAATATTTTGAGAAGTCATGGGGTTTTACCACAATATTTGCATTCATCCTGTTTGAAGCCGTCTCTATGGCTTAAAGTCTATTGTACGTGTGTACATTTGATAGCTTTGGGCAAAAATAAAATGTTTGAAACTATTCATAAGATGGAATTGTACAATGTATGAACATAAAAATGTTTGCCTTTTTCCTTTCAGGAAAATTGAAGCACATACCGATGATACCAGTACACATGCGAAGTGAGAACTCAGTACATGTATAAATGTTCCTATTTGGCGAGAACATGGTCCAGAGCATACTGTACATACATGTACCGGGACTAACCTGTGTTCTCTTTTAGCACTGTTATTAAATGTAAAAATTGCAAAAGCCTAACTAGGATTTTCATTCAAAGTGGGTAAAAGTTTTAGCACGTTGTTAGTTTGGGTATGAATGTTACGGAAAATTGTTATTTTCCTACGCATAACTGGACGATTTTAAGGTGTTATCGTAGACTCCCAATCTTTGGGGGCCATACTCGTACAAAAGAGCACTCAGCAGAAGTCTCACCGTAAGGCCAAAAAAAAAGTCTCCGGTTTCTGGTATGGAGTTTGCCCAAAAAGTGGTGCGGCGACGCGGCGTTTTTTTTTTTTTTAACTGATTTTTTTGCTTCAAATGTCGTCTGATGACTGCAAATGGTACCCGACTAAACTTACCGTAGTGCAAATATATGGGAGTCCAGAGAGGCCACATCAACCCGTATCATAACCCAATCTAAAAACACGTTAAAATTGTGCAGCAGCAGGATTCCAGTCAAACCAGTGAGTTTGGCGGTTTTGAGACATTATCTTTCATTGAAAAAAACCTTTTTCATTTTGCCGACGCGCATGGCTACGGCGACGCGCGCGCATACCAGAAACTGGAGACTTTTTTGGGGGGCCAAATCTTCATTCAAAGAGGGGAACATTATAAAATGCCAGCTGAAGACAAAGTCAATGGAAGGATTTCTGTATTTTAAAGAAAGTGGCAAGAAAATCTTTTTTTCTGTGTGGTACATAATTTTCCGAATAGCCTTTCAACATTGAGGGAATTATTTATCCCCCCCCCCCCAATTAGT